ATGTAACGTTTCCGTGATGAAAGACGGGAATTCTGGTCATTGGCAGCCTCAGAGGTCTGGAAGGAGAATTACTGGCCAAAAATGCATGCACCGACCCAAGATCCTCGCAGTGATCAGCGAAGTCACACCTGAGCTCATTACCCCATGTTGAATGAAGCATCAACAGGATTTCCTTCCTTGCCACTTTTATGGGAGGGGTCGGGCAGAGACGGTGTACAAAGGTCAGAGCGGAGAGTCCAAGGAATTGGAATATAAAGCTAAAGGGATATCAACCTTCTAGAGCCATTCCCCTGGAAAATATGTTCGCACCTTGCCTCTCTGTGTTTACTCCATTCGAAGCTTCCCCCTGCCTTCAGCCACCTGTCAGCAGATCAAAATCTCTCTCTCTCTCTGATAAAGAAACATATCAACCAACATCAACTCCAAGTGCACTTTCCAAAATGTGGCTCGCCTACCCCTTCGTTGTCTTTGGTGGAATCATAGCCACCGTTCTATCGGCCCCAATCATCAATGATGGAGGTGGTACTGCAAGAACCGAGCAGGAATCTACAAGTGTTGCAGCACGTGTTTTAATTCCCGTTCGCATCGCCCCGGAAGCACCGCGAAGCCTCTGTGACAGAAGCCTGCCACCACCATTGGGAAAACATGGCAATAAGAAGAGACAGGATTGCTTTAGCTATTCCAGTTACAGTGACAATCCCGAGAAATCGAAGCGACAGGACGATTTTGGATATTCTAGCTACGCTGATCAGCCTGAGAGGGAGAAACGAAAGGTTCCTTCTCGTTATGACAGACCTGTGATTGCGAAGCGGCAAGATAGCTTCGGCTATTCTGATTACGACGACAACCCCGAGATATCGAAGCGACAGGACGATTTTGGATATTCTAGCTACGATGATCAGCCTGAGAGGGAGAAACGAAAGTTTCCTTCTGGAGATGACAGACCTGTGATTGTGAAGCGGCAAGATAGCTTCGGCTATTCTGACTACGACGACAACCCCGAGATATCGAAGCGACAGGATGGTTTTGGATATTCTAGCTACGATGATCAGCCTGAGAGGGAGAAACAACAGATTTCTTCTGGTTATGGCAGACCTGCGAATGCGAAGCGACAAGATAGCTTTGGCTATTCCGATTACGATAGCAACAAGGCGAAGAGGGAAAGGCGACAGTTTGGCTATAGTAGTTATGCCACCCCTCGACAAGTCTCAGAGGGAGAAGAGTAAAAAGGAAACATCGGCTAAGGCTGAAGATTTAGGGTATGCTCCACGTTAACCGTCCATCACCGATATATGAACAAATATCCAAGCTGCTGCCTGCATATTCCCATTGAAGCTAGATAAGTGGCTAATCCTTTCACAGAGGGTAGACGGCATGATAATGCGGAGATCGAATAGAGCCAAATAAATTAGGGGCTTGGGGATCGTTGGTTGGCGTCAAATGTAAATTAGTTCAGTTCAGCGTTTAGGAAACGGGACAAGAACTAGTTCGCCTCTGGAAACCTCCCAAAAAGAGAAAACGACTGTTCTATCGAGATATGGCCCGTTCTTTTTTTATGTGATCCTCTCCAGGAGCGATATTTCACACTGGAAGTTGTGGTTTTTTGACTTTGTATCTACCAATCTAGTCGTGTTATGAAGGTAGACAATTTTCGGTTTATTGGGCAGTTGGAATGCGATTGGGAGTTACTCGTTCCAGTTTTGGCTGCCAGTGACAAAGCTCGTTCAATAAATGTAATCGGTTAACCCACACCGGTAAATTTGTGTACGCCGCTCTAGATGTTCGATGGCCAATTCAATCGCGTTCGAACTCGAGCCATACGTCGGGTAGTCAGCTGTTCAACAAAAGTTGAAAGGTCAAATTATCCGAGCCAATATATCACAAACAATGGTATTAAGTGGTTTCACCACACGGCTTCATCTTCGTTCCCGAATATAGACAACTCCGTTAGCTCGGATGCTATGGGCTGACGCTGGGTTATCACTGGTGCCGCTGGCTATCAGGGGAAAAAATGTCATTCCGCCGCTATTAGAAGTTTTGTGTCCCCTGTGTCGTCTATACGTAGGCTCGTTGCACTAGGGCTCATATTTTCAGTAGTAATCCAACAGTTAATTTCTAGTTGGCATATATGTCATTGTCGGTTGTACCGGTCACAGAGTATTCGGATCCGCCTAAAAACCCAAGCCTGCTCATATCAAAGTCCCGTGGTAACGGGTTTTGAGCACCGCAGGTCGGGGTAAAATACAAACCATGGGCGAAAGTAAATTGGGTGAAAGTTCAAGAGCTTGTCAGGGGTGTAGTTTAGGATCGTGATCAGCATATTTTCGCGTTTGCTCTTCATGAGAAGTTCGCCGTTATATGTGTGCTACGGTTGGCAAATGTGGAGTGTAGATGGTAGTTGGTGAATTAAGTGCTCATGATCTGGGAAGCATCACGATTCAAATTAGGTAAGTTAACGTAAGGCGCCACTAACTTAGCCGAGCAGCCGGCCAATAAAATCCAAACCTGTCTTGGCAGCCGCAACCTTATCCGAACTTCAATTCGAGCAGGCTGGGGTCTATATAAAGTATTCTCTTCGCAATGGGCTCATCGTGTCCGTTCAAGGAAAACTTGGAGATTGGTTCGACTACGTAATCTGGATGCTTGCATCCGGATTGATTATATTGTCCCTTCTGTAATACTGAATCCCTAAATTCTTGGGCCAACCGGAAATGAGTTAGAGCCACCCATACCATACCCCTATCTACTTGTATTTACTGACGTTACAACTTTAGGAGTACAGAACATATGTGCAATTGCACAACTAGTGAGGGTTTTTGTATACCTCAATCGAGTGGATTCGAAGTTGGCTAAATTTGGCGAGCATCGCTTGGCTATGTGTTCTGGGAAACGCGCAAGCCAACGAACGAAGTGGCTACTCCACATGATATTTCCGTCATTATAGCCCCCAGAGCATTCATGATCCGGTATCTTAGGGTAGCACAGTCTCCCTCCTACCTTTTTATTTCACTTTGGATCCATACTTTTTAGTGCTTACTCGCTATATCTGCGACCTTGGATCTGGCACTTCTGACACCATAACTACTGCTTTCAGATTATATGATCTGGCGAAGACGGATTGCTGTCAGGTAGTGTCACACTTTGGGCAAATTGGTGCATTCATTCCCAGTGGTGAAAAAAGAAATCAAAGTATCAATAACCGGCGGAATCTTGTTGTGTCCTAGAATTTACCAGGCAATCTACCTTACACTTCCATCTCCCATTATCATTTGAATCACTACCCGCGGTTCTTACTCCGTGGATATCCACACCAGAAGATGTGTGGAAAATGTCAGGTTGCTCAAGCTTAAGTGCATTTCTATTCCGGAAAACTAGATGCCTATTTTCAGTGCTGAGGTATGCATATGTTTCTCCTAAGTTGATGCAGTTTGGCAGCTTGAAAACAAAATTGGAGACGTTTCCTTCCCGCATCTGGCCTTTTCAAGCCATTTGCCCCTGGCATTTACGGGTTTTAGCACCCCCTGAAACTTGCTAGAGCAGTGTACTCTTCTAAGCCTGCTTTTCGTTGTGAATGGTCATACCATGCTCGATCTTCCATCTCCAACCGGCGTTAAATGGCCGCCAACCACAGAAATTTCTCATAACAGTTTCGCCCAAGATATAAAATACTTGTTTTCCTGGTCAAATTCCATCATGCATCCCAGAGATCTCATTCATCGGAATCCCTCACATTTTCGGTGTTAAATTTGGCAGCACTCCACGCTTTACGAGACTTGCAGCCTCTGCGCAGGAGCATCAGACTATATCCAAGAAACTCACCACATTTGTTGGCTATTTTGCTTACTACTCTCTGCACCAATTTTTTGTGGCAACCCACATACTCTTCCGCTACTGTTCTCGAGCCTAGAGATAGCAGCCTTGACAGTGTACTCAGTTCAATGTTTTCCTAGTGTTGACAGATGACTTCATAACAATGGACAAGAAGTACAGACAATTCTTTTCCAGATCTGTGAAACCTGTTTTGTATTGTATTATCTTGTTTTATCTCCCATCTGCCTTCTGAGGTGCATAGAGAGAGAATCACAGGACAACAGATGCTGATTGATAGTAATACTTCTGCAGTGTTGTACTTGTGCTACAGTGGAGCAATTGCTTTGTGACACTGATGTGAGACTTGAGTAAGTGGTCATCATGAAGCAGAGTTGCAGTAAGAAAATTAACAAAATGTTCTAGAAATAAAATCTTAGCTTTATTAAGTAAATAAAACTAAGAACTTGATGTTAAAAGTAATAATGAGTATTATATGAAAAATAATAATAATAATAATAATAATAATAATAATAATAATAATTTAAAGACAAAGATGAAGACTTACTCTGATATGAAGAAGACAATGTAAATGCAGAGAAATGAAGAGATATGATTAAGTTATAATGTTTTGATATCTAATGCATGAGTTTATATATCTCTGAATATTATATAGTCACTGATTATCTTAGACAATAACAACAAACATAGGTGTTGTTTAGTGTTTATGAGTCTATGAGATAGTTTGTAAGAAGAGAAGAAAGCTGATGTCTTCAGTAGAAGAAGAAAGACAACCTGCTTGTATATATAATGTGATAGAAAGATGAGAGGAGTCAGTTGAAAATGAGTGAAAAAAGAGAACATTTAGACAACAACTGAGAGCTTACAAGAGTGAAGATAATGCAGCTTATGTGTTACTTTCAATCAGATAATGAAAGCAGACAGTTAGTGAAACACTCATTATTATGCATGCACTTTACACAGTGGTCTTCTTTGTGCTGACTATCTTGATTGTACCTGATGCTTCAGCACTGGGATTTTACAGTAGTATGAGAAGATATTGATTCATTCATTGTGATAGTGACAGAAGTAGCAGTGGTAAGAGAAATCAAATCTACTGCTGAAGCGTTGAAAACCTGCAAAAATTATACATTAAATTCTTTTCAAAAAGAACCTTTGATAATATAGAACGAGAAAAAAATCGTATTTCATTGAACTTGGCTAGCGATCACTTTCGAGCTAGCATCGCATTCATGTTGAGCGGGCTTGAGAATCAGAAATCATAGGCAAAAGCCGTAGCAGATGAACGGGGCATCGTCGCGATATTTAGTTATTTAGCGTGAAAGTAAAACCACAGAAAAAAATCCCCTTGATAGAAAAGAGGATGTATTTTGGCGAGTCCACTGTAGTAGACTAGGCAAACTCGCTACCCAAATATCTGAAGGTAGATGATATGAGATTTGCCAGATGAAGATCATATCAGAACTCAAATGCCAGATATCTGATGGGGAACTGCATAACTGAAGAACTCAGCAGACAGGAGTACAATGCAGGATGGCATGATCCATGCCTCAGTGGCTCCGGCCCATTAAGGAAAATATATGACAAAATTGAACAATGAAAAAAGGCAGTAATAAGCAAGATACTTTTCTATTCTATCTTATCTGAGAACAGTAAATTATCTTGCTTCTTGTCGTGTTAATTGGAGGAGATCAAAACATAGAAATGAGAAGAATGGGGAAAGATGGGGCCAGAGGTCGAGACGAAAATGTAGAGACGAAAAAAATGAAAGGGAAAATTGATAACAGCATCAGTCCTGTGACAAAAAAGAAAAAAAAGAAAAAAAGAAAAAAAAGAAAAAAAGAAAAAAAAAAAGTAAACTTAGCATTGTCAAGACATTTGATCACACACAAGAAAAATAAGAATCAGACAATGAGAAATAGAGAAGTAATAACTTCATCACATCAATATTTTATACAGGTCATATGCTCCCATGAGAACTTGCTAGCTCCTGATAGCTCTCGGGCACTCAGCAGGCTTGGACAATGGAAAGGCTGGCCTCGAAACACACACGCAGAAAAATTGCGAATGTGACTTAGCGTAGGCTTGTGTTATCGCTACTACTGCAGTTAATCCAGTCTTGAGCAACTTGGGCAATTCTCAAGGCATTTTCCTTGGCGAGAGCGCAGGCGATTTCAGACTCCTTTGCAGCCTGTACAGCAGCCAACATGGCACGTTCAGCATCATTCGAGTGGTTAACAACCTCAACGAGAATTTTGCCAAGCTACATGTTTTCACCAAGTGGTTAGTTTTCCTTAAAATTGGGAGTTTAAGGGAGTTAAAAGACAAAGAGAGAAAAGAAGGAAAGAACAGTGGGTTGCTGAAGAACAAAGTGATGAAGGAGAAGACTGGTGTGGATCCGTACCTGGAGAAACTTCTCTTTTTTGGCGCCATTTGGTTCATCACGAGCTGAATTCAGTACATTCATACACAGAGCACTAACATTACTAATCCCAGAGAGCGCCGGTGAGTCCGCCATCTGCGAGGTGACCGTAAGGGCGTCAGATGCTGGGCGGGACTGATCCACATTACTGTCACGAGAAGAGGTGCCCCGGTTGTCCTCGCCACGTTTGTCGGCACGGGAGATCCCCCGGGCACGACGGCTGAAAGAGCGCTCCATGGGGCTTCCGGTACTCAATTTCCCGCTATTCGCAGCTTTGACGCGCTCGAGATCCTTGCGCTTGGCAGTGGTTGAACTGGATGCACCTGCTCCTGAATTTGCACTTGCGGTGATCGAGTCGTTCTTCTGTTTCGTGAAGAGACCACGGAAGTTAGACAACACGCCACCAGCCCTTGTAGAAGACTCCTTAGCCTTGGGGTAGTCGAGGCTTGTCGAAGCGGAGCGGTGCTTTGCTGAGCTCTCTCGATGCTTCCTACGGGGAATCTCAAATGTATCCCTTTGTACTAACTCGGTAGAAGGGTTCGAGGTAGCTACATTGTTCAATTTCGATTTACCGTGGCTTCCATGTTCAGACATGCAATGGCGAGATGAACGATGAAGTAAACGCTGCGAAGCACTGCGGTGGCGGGAAGTAGAGGAAGCGTCACGTTCGCTGAAGGGTTCATTCTCTTTTTTATTGTGGAATTGGTCCGCAGAGGTATGGGAGTCCAGGGGGCTCGGGACTACATACTTCTGATGAGATCCAGGCTGGGAATATACGACATCATTGTCGTCGATGAGGGTTGTGCTCTCAGCAAGCGGGGACGATGGCAGCGCCTTGTAACCCTGGCTGGTCGCATCTGCTTCTGAATAACGGGGTGGGTCCGGGCTGCTACTATTCAAGAATGGGTATCTCTCGTTGAACATTCCAGGTAATGGCACGCGTCCTGCAATCCCATCATCGTAGAAAGGATTTGTGCCGAACTTCTTCATGTGTTCGTTCTTTGGCATCTTGGCGTAGGTAGCGTCTGTGCTTCTAGCCTTCTTGAGTTTCTTGTCTCTTGCAACTGCTACCTTGCCCTCCATAGGTGAAGAAGTGGAAGGATTCAAGGAGCTGTTAGACTGCGAATGCATGAGATACTTGGGGGTGAAGCTGCCAAAAATACTATCCCCCGAGAGTCTCTTCGAGCTTGAGTGGCGGTTGGCGCGATTTCTAGTAGATTTTTGGGACGAGTCTTCAAGTGCGTCAGTCATATTCCCCATAATAACTTTGTCTGCCTCTGGGGAGATGCGGAGCTGAGGGCCAGAACGACCTGCTGCAGCCAACTCTTTTGATCTGTACCCCTCGGGCAGGCTCGTTGGAGGGGTAGAATCATTCCCATGCAGTCCCATGTGGCCTGTGTCGTTGGGATCAATACTATCAATAGTTTTCTGAGACCCCAATTCTTTTTGTCCTCCAGGAGTTTCGTCTTCGTAGATTGTACTGGTGTAAGCGGAACTAGAGTTGCGAGTAGTTTTTAATGGAGGACTAGCATGTAGCGCGCTAACATCAACCTTGTCCCGTCCATGTACCATCCGACTTGGGATAGGGATAGAACTGCGTCGGCGGGGAGATGCAATTTTCTTCAATCTGTTAACTTCACCAGTAGAAGGAGGAGTCAATACCTTTGGCGAGGCACGGGGAATTTTCGACGCTGCATTTTCGTTGCGAGGAGTGGTGTAACTATTCGACACTTCCTTGTCATCCATCATATGAGCACCTGCCTGTTTCTGATTATTGGTGGGCCCGGGATTCTGGCAATCGGTGCTGAATTCGAAAGAAAATTCCCGTAAGTCACTCTGCGGCTGCTGTTGTGAAGAATGTTGGGGCGACGAGACAGTTCGATAACGGTTCCGAAATGGATTGGGTTTAAAGGTGGTATTATCATTGTTCCCCACAGCTTGGTTTACGCGGTTCGATTCACTGTTTACCTCCAGTGGTTGTGTTACTGCCTTATTGTTTCCTGACGGGATCATGTTTGGTAAAAGTTCTGAATGCTCGTTTTGAGACGCCATCTCCACTGGATCATTTGGCTCCACTGCTTGATAAATAGTATCGAGATGAGAATTGTTGGCAGCCCAGTTTGACGCGATTCGCAGACGACTATGCCGTAGAGTAGTACCCCTTGGGGGAGTCGATGGCTTTGATGGCGGCAGAGGGGGAGGAACTTCCGTTGGTGTCGAAGGTGCTACACCATCGTTGGGTTGTGAGGAAGGCTGTTGAGATTCCTTTCTCTCTTCAACGCGACAATAATTGGACTCCCACGAGTGAGGTGGTTTCCATGGGGATAAAACCGGCCACCTCTCTGACGCTTCAGGTCTTCCCACTTTATTTTGACGAACAGGAGTGTCTTCTGCCCCAATGGTACTCTTCGAACTACGTGGACGCTCCTCTTCGATGTCTGGGATATCTAGAACTTTTGGCCCTGGAGTGCTTGGAAGAGGTTTTTCAATAAGGGGGTCATTGTTGCCAGTCGAGGCAGCACGCGTCTTCGCGCCCGCGTGCAGACTCGACTTTCTCTTCTAAATAACTGTTAGAAATTAAGAAGAGAAAACAAATCTGGCAAAATAAGGAAAGAATAGTAAAAGTAAAAACAACACAGACATCGAAATTTTGAAGACATACCGGAGGGGTAGCAAATGCCTGTGCTGGAACTGGACGAGAAATTTTGGGCGATAGATCAGCTCTTTTTACAACACGGCGAAGCTGTTTTTCCAAATCAACGAACGTTAACATATGTTTCGTAATCTTCATAAACCGTTTTTACACCGAAAAGATAACTATTCAACACTCGAAACACGGACATACCTTTCTAGACTGAATCTGCTTTGCATCACTCTTGCTTGACGGACGAAACGCATTCGCCGCAGCTAAAGCCCAGCGTTTCGACAACGGTAGATCCTCGATTGCCGCGTTCTTAGAGCGCCCACCCTTCTGCTTCTTTTTGTTATTCTTCTTCCTATTGTTGCGTTTCTTAGGTGGCTTTCTAGTCATCTTGATGTAGGATTCCGGTACTGCCGTTGCAAACCTCATAGAGCCAGCGCGTTGGGCCAGCGCTGAGCTACTTGAAGCTCTAGCTCGAAGTTCAGGGCGAAAGAACTGCCGTGGAGGAGACTCATATCGTCTTCGCAGCCCAAGGCTGTCGAGGGAGCGTTTTGCAAGGGGGAAGTGTGATGGTGTCACCATGGTTTGTCTTGGTGGTGTTTGAGTTTTCACACTTTACAGACGTGATAAACAGTTGGGATGACGATTATTAGGAGAAGGTTACAAAAGAAGGAGAATATGGGGAAAATAAGAACAAGAAGAAACAGAAGAAGAGGAGAAGAAGAAGGAGAAATTGTGTGAAAATTTGTATGATGTGAGTCTTCAGAGAGACTCAGTTTAAGAGCATTGTCTCATGAAGCATGACTAAACCAAATGAGAAAGTTGTGATGTTATAGGAGTATCTGATGTGAACACTCATAGAGTGTGGAGAGAAACTATGTCAGAGCTCTGAGAAACATTCTCCCTACAAAACATAAAGAGAAATTAAAAAGGTTAAGATATATGTAGTTAAGAAAAGATTAACAAAAATGTTAAGAAATAGTAAGATGGTAATAACTAGAAAATATCTTTCTCTATCAATGCTCAAAACATTGCAGTTCAACAGCTCATCAAACAGCAGCCATAACAAACAAGAACCAAGGGAATGTTATTAATGGCCTTTGTTGAATATCCAGGAAATATATATGGTCACAATGTCAAGTCTAGCAACCTTGCAGTGGTATGGGCGCTGATATAATGACAATGGCAAGATAGAATGCATGTCAAACCAATGTAGACAACATGAATATGATCCCCCTCAGCGCTAGGAGTTGGGGTCAAGCTTCTAGGCTAGTGGTAACTGAGGCACTGTCATTAAAGATGGGGGATAAGGACATGAAGCATCATTTATACTAGACTTCAATGGCAATATAGAAGGGAATTTTTGGGAATGCCGGTTCAACGGTGGACGAAATCCAGTAACAGGAGATCGGAACGTAGTTGAAGAGTAAACATATAGCCGTATGTTTTTGTGTCCATGCTATGTGCAATATTTATCTTTCCGCAAGAATGGCACGTAAAATCGCCCAAAAAATGGGTATGTTCTTATAGTATGGCATGGAGAACCATCTTGTGAATGAGTGTAGTGGCAGAGCAGGCGATAATGAAGTTCATTATCAGGAGCAGCAGTATATAGAACAGAACAGGTACCTGTAACGTCCAAGGATTGCCCCAAGGAAGACAGGACTGGTGTCCCAAAGCCAACGAATCCAACCACCTAAAGGTTAAACAATCAAAAGCAGGAATGTCTCCACCTCATGCAATGAGTTTCATCGCCCCGTCCCATTCATTAATTCACTCACTCACTCACCACCATCCACCTCAGGAGTTTTCCTCTTGGACGCTCGTGATGGCGTGTAGACGTCAGAAGCAGAGCCAGAGCCAGAGCCAGAGCCAGGGGTAAGGTCTTCCACGACGGGACCTAAACCATCATCATGCCACTCGCTCACCTCCCATTCCACTCTCGTCGATCGATCCGCACTGATACCCACCCCGCGTCTTCTCCTCCCAACCCTGCCTAGCCGGCTCCCTTGCATCATTTCCTCAAACCATGGAATGCCATTGACGATACCGAACCGATGCTTGACCGACACTCGTGGTTCTATGAATCTCGGGCCCAGTTGGGTGGACGCAGATGTAACAGCGGAGGGAACCGGTGGACCAGTAGAGGTGGTGGGAGTGGCGCGGCCGCTGGCAACTTCCACATCCGTATCAACATCTGAAGGCAGAAGATCCAAATCCTCTAGCGCGCCCTGGTCCTCGCTGAACAAACTGCCTATGGTCACCGAGATAAACTCAGCTTCCTCGGGCGGGTTTTCGCTCCAGTATGACATAGGGGTGCCGCAGAAGCCACAGAAATTGCGCTGGGAATGCGGTGCGTTAGGCGGGATAAAGGTGCGGCGGATAGCGCTGTGTGTTTCATCTGGGAAATAGGATGTTGTGGTCGACTGGTACCAATCCAGGGGTACGCGGAGCCATGCCGTTAATGGGGCTGCTTGGTTTCTCCCTGGTAATAAATCCCCACATGCAGTCGTCGGTTAGTGTGCTTATGTCGGGATCTTGTTGCAATCCTTTGTTCGGAACAGGGAGGGTTAATGGGATTTAACATACGGCGGTCACTGCTTGTATCAAAATAGACCTCAGCGTGCGTGACGGCGTTGCGAGGGATAAGAATGGCATATTGAATGCGGCCGCAGGAGCAGGATCCCCGAAGTGTCCGGTCCCGATCCATGTTGGATAGTGTTAGTACGATATCCTCTATCGGGAGGAAGCCTGTTCCAGAGAAGCAAGAAGAAAAGTCTCGGGATATAGGGAGTCGATGTCAAAGACGGCGTGGAGGACAACAGTAATGTGTGTTAACTCAGCCCCCAGAACAGTGTGATATTCCAAGAGCGAATTCTTAGGGTTTAAAAGACAGCAAATATGAAGAAGTTGGCCATCTTCCATCTGCATCTCCATGTCTTGCAGAAATTGTGCAATAGTCCCATGGTTGCGCGGGTGCGAGTTGGAGTGATCTACGTCAACATCGGCTGTCGACCATGATTCGGGGCTGGAACTGAGAGAGCCGCAGCAGAAGAGGCTAAAAACCCTATTTCACTAGCGTCGTCTTTTTAAAGGAGCGGCTTTGCCCCGCATCTCGAATCCCCGTTCCCTTTCCCTGCAACTTGTTGGCGCATCCGAGGAAAGATACCGAGAGCATCAAGTAAGATATTGTTTATATTCGCCGACTTCTACATGCCACCAGCACGGAGGAAATAGCTAACTGTACACGCATCCATGGAGGACTATTTAACTCGACCTAACAACTCTAAGCGCAATCTAGCCATCATTCCCTTATCGTGCCTGTCTTGCTTGCCTTGATATTTCAATCCTTGTCCGCTCATTCTCGTCACTCATCCCTCCAATCCACCCAATCCCGCCATTCATTGATGGTAGCATTCGCATGGATATCCAATCCTCAGCTAAATATACTCACATTTTAAACCTATTTAAACCCCCCTCCAATCCCTCCCCCACGACAATCAGGTTATGCTCTCAGCTCTCCGTGGCCAGGCGTCCTCGTCGTCTTCGTCCGCCTCTCCCTCCCCATCTCCCATCTCCCCCTCAGCATCTATGTCTCCCTCCAATCCTTCCCTCTCCCCTTCCGACCACTCCAACTTCACAGTCGTCCAGACACCAGCCACGGGAGCCCGGAACCAAGGCCCTGCCTCCGTGTCTATGACATCGTCCGCATCGCCTCAGCCAAACTCCCGCCTAACCTCACGGACTACAGACAAAGAAAAACCACGCCTTACAGAGCAGGAAAAGAAGAATAACCACATCGCGTCTGAGCAGAAGCGGCGCGCCGCCATTCGTGAAGGGTTCGATAGGCTGACTGAACTTGTTCCGGGGCTCGAGGGCCAGGGCCGCAGTGAGGGCGTGGTCCTGCGCAAGACTGTGGACTTCATGCAGATGAAGTTGCAGGAGCGGAAAGAGCTGGTGGAGGAAATTGAGAAGAGAGGCGGTTCTCCTGAAGATGCTCTGCGACGATAGAATATCGGAACGAACAGGATCGAACGCTTTGATACCTGCTCTCCATACTACCTACGTGTTTTTTTTTTTTTTTTTTTAACTTTCTATGTTACTTTCCCCGCCACGAACGACTTTTTCCTCGCCTCAGATATTGGCGCGATGTATAGCCAGCCATTGTTCCGGGATGGAGGCTGGGAATCGGGGAGTTGTAGGAGCGGACCGTTTTTCGGACTGGGACATATTTTTACTGGCGCATGAGAACATGATGACCTCGGGATAAGCATATCCATACGCAAAAATAGAGAGGGGGGAAAAGCACAGGAGAAACCGAGCTGTTTCGCCAAGTTTCAACAATTTTTCCCATCATGTCCGAGACAGACTAGAAAATGAATGGGTGTCCCGATTCATCCCAACTTGGTCTATATTCTCGCGTGAGAGAGAAGGTGGTCGTCGTTTTTTCTCCCTTTTCGCTGTTTGGGCTCGCGCATGGAGTTTTTGTATTATCACACGTTTTCTCTTTTTCGTTCGTTGTGGTTCTTGCGCATGCTTGTAACTATATAGTATTTACTTGCCCTTTGTTCATTTTGGTTCTAGTAACCCTACATACCCCAGAATCCGCTATTCGTAGTGCATGGATTCTTGTTTTGCTTTTCGTCTCAGACATTGATTCTATATATATACTCCTCAGTTCTATATAAATATATAAATATATTTTCTCTCCCCTAATTATGAATTTAATTTGGTCCCTAGATCATTCTTTTGACACCATCCTACCAGGTTCCCGTTGACATCAATGCACTGTAGATATTTTTAAAACGTTTTAAGATAAACACTTTTGTGCAAAGCAACCTTGTTTTTGACAGGGGATGCTCTTGCCAATCAATCCTCGTCGTATTTTTGCTGCTAAAGAATTGTTTCCGCCCTTTATCACACAAGGCCAAACACCTCAACTTGGAACATCTGCTCACAAACAATTGGTAACCAGATATCAATTAGAGAATATAAACGGGAAAAAACCGCCGAGAAGAAAATCCACTCTCTCCCCATCCGCCCTTCCTTGGTTATCTGGCCAAACATCCACACCGTTCCATCACCTCCCCCCACCCCACCACCCCACCACCCGCAGATCACCCCGCAAAGCGGTCCAACACCCATCGATTCAGCCGGAAAAAAAAAAAAAAAAAACGAACAGAAGGATACTCCCAGGTTTTCTTCTTTTAAAATATAAAAAAATGACCGACTCCACATCTGAAAGACAACCCTCAGGCCCACCGCCCTCATACTCCGACGCCAGCGCCGGTGCAGGCAAAGGCAGTGGACGCACCCCGCTGACTCTCCCACGACCCCCCGCCCTCGCCCTCCCAACCCTAATCGACCTGCGATCCAAACGCGTAATCCTAGCCTCCAGCTCCCCCCGCCGCCGCCAAATCCTCTCCTACCTTGGCCTGCCCAACGTCGAAATAATCCCCTCCAGCTTTGCCGAAGACCTGCCCAAAGCCACCCTCTCCCCGCTCGAATACTGCCTAGAAACAGCAATCAGGAAGGCGCAGGCGGTCTACAGACAGGAAATCGACAATGAGGAAAAGGGCGAGCCGGCCCTGATCCTCGCCGCGGACACCATCGTCGTCGACCCCACAGCTTCCGGCGGCGCGCAGATCTTGGAAAAACCCCGCTCCGAGGCGCAGCATATAGCCATGCTGAAGTCGCTGCGTGACGCGGGCGACCACACGGTCTACACGGCCATGACAGCGATGGTGCCGTTGAAGAGCGCGCGCGATCCCGGGTATGCGCTGGAGTCGACTGTGGAGGCGTCGGTTGTGCGGTTCGATCCGACGATTACGGATGAGTTGATCTTGGCGTATGTGCGGACGCGGGAAGGGGTGGATAAGGCGGGTGGGTATGGGATGCAGGGGCTCGGGTCGATTCTGGTGGAGAGGATTGAAGGGAGTTATGATAATGTGATTGGGTTGCCGTTGCGGGCTACGTTGAAGTTGATTGAGAAGGTTGTGGCGGTTGCGGATGATGAGGAGCTGCTTGGTGGGGAGGCGGAGGAGATGGGGCAGGAGGAGGAGTTGGAGTAAGTGGGTACTTGTTAGAAGGTGATGCCTTATAGTTATTTATTTTATGTCCCTTTCAATTGTACGTGGTATGCCTCGTTTGATACTAGCGGAGCAATGGCGCTTGGGGTATGGATGGGGTTATTTTATTTTAGTTCCATTCGGCAAGATCGTACGCTTAGCAATATGGATAGGGTACAGACAGATAGTGTTGGGGGTCCCGGGTTGATCGGCCCTTCTACCAGCAGTGCGCTGGTGGTGACTGAGCTCTTTTGCCCCAGTAACCTACAGGTTATGAGCCCGGCCGGCCAACAGATAGACATGATATTTTGACGTCCTTATATAGAGACAGAAATAAAGGAATTTTTACAGTATCAGAGTGAGGCTGGAATCTAGGGGAAGAAATAATGTACGTGAAATGAAAAGATGCGGGAAGGAGAAAAGAGAAAAGGGACAGTAAAAGGACTAACTTGGAAAGCTTTGAGAAGACATCATCAAAAACAATACCCCTAAAATCAAAAAAGGAACAAATCAATATCGAAAAGGACAAACGAAAAGACTAAATAAGAGAAAACAGATCACGCTTTCCAGATTCGCTTGATGGCTTCAGTCACGCCAACATCATTCGTCTCGAACTCGTACAACCCAACTGCAACTGTCAGGGTCATTACGCGAAGAAGCCAGTCGAACGCCTTCTTGGCTTTGGGAAAACGTCTCCCGGGGATATAATCGATGATGCAAGCCCTGTATTCCAATGAAGAAAAAAAAATCATTACGTTAGAATTGAAAATGGTGTTTTTGAATCCGAACCTAGACACGGGCGAAGATACTACGTACTGGAAACCAATGTGTGAATGCATCAAGATGGTACCGCAAAACACTGCATCCATGACCGGGTTAAGAGATCCACCAGCAAAGGGGGCAATCGTCAACGGGATAAGGGCGACAGCGATAGCTCTATTGAAACGTTCAAATTAGCCAGATGGCCGGCTTTTTGTCGAATATTTCCATCATATCATGCCATTGACTATCCTATTTTCAATTCCTCTTTTCGGGGAACAAAGCGCACCTTTCAAAAGTCCAGTGGTAGCTGCCGTGGGAAGGAGAAGTAGGAGGAAGGGGAGCGGGATCGTTCACTAAATGAGTACCATGGCAATCAGTATACAGGGCAAGGATTTTGTGACGCCCGTGGGAAACGATTCGTCGTTGGTTGCTAAGGTAGTGATATATATTTTTTGTGGAATTGTGGTATCACTCGTCTGAAACCGCAACCGCAACCGTGGGCATCCGGGCAAGGTAAATCGAATGAGGACAAATAACGTACTTGTTCCCTGAATAGTTTCTACAATTGGACAAATATCACAATCAAATTAGCCGACTATCATCAATCAACCCAGTTTAACACACGATCTATCCAGCCATTCTTCTTTCAACCACCTCCCGCAACCCATCGAAGAAGAAAGAAGCAGGAGCTTGGATCACTCACGAGGTGGGGGTGGCAGGAGATCCCTCCGGCTGGTCGCATGGAAGCCAGCAACATTAACTGCAACATTCCTTTGTTTCGTCTGGAAGAGACCAGGTTTCAGTGTCGAGGCGATTGCCAGAGGAGAAGTAGTCGAGGAGGCCGCCCGAGATGTGGAATAGAAAGCAGCATTTCGCGCGGGATTGGAGAGGGCAAGACAACTTCTTCTCAGCAGAAAGGCTGAGGGGCGCACGATCGATGTCATTGCGGATATCCTGGCCTTTAAAAAGGTCTTCTCTGTCCTCTGCAATTGACTGGGCAAATTGGGATGCGTTCTGGGTTCAGAAGCGAGGGATCAGGTATCTGTTGGATGGGTTGAGGTTGTTCTCGGGATTGGATTTCCTCGGGTCGGTTAGCTGGATCAGTCAGCGGAATAGGCGGCATGTGATTGGTCGGCAGCTAGGCTTCGGAGCCGAGATAATCCGGGATTGGAGGCGACAAAAGAGGCTTAGCGCTGGGAGGCTACAAGTAGATATGATCAAGGGGAGAACTAAGCTAAGCCGAGTTACTTACATACGTATTACCAAGTCAACGGGGAGTTGGAGAGAGAGTTGTTGTTTTGTGGATTGATATGGGTGGGGAGAGGCGGAAATGACAGAATTTAATAAGTGGGTTTCTCATCCCTATTGCCCGAAAGAAATTCCGAATTTGCTAGTAACTATGGCTTTGTCTACCCTCTCATGAGCAGCTCTACTCCATAAACAACGCCCATTATTTGGACAATGCTTGTACAGTACTATACATTTGGTTGATATGCAACGAATGAGAATCATTATTAATTAAGCCAACTAGTTATGATGCTTTAAGTTAAGATCTTCAAAATGGATTTTCATCCTGCATGCAGCCAACCACGCCGGTCATTTTTCGCCAGCTGGGAGCAATAAAATAACATTACTCTGAAACAATGCCTCCGATTGACAATCATCTACTTAAATCTTGGCTTCCGAAAAGGTCTAATGATCACTATCAAAAAGAGCAGGTTAGATATTGACAATCCATGAAATCCAGGTATTGCTAGAAATGGGAACACGAGCGCTGAACACAAAAGAGAATAAGGATCTCAACAAACCTTCTGGAACTTCAAGACGGCCTTTCCAAAGTTCTCCCCACGGAAGATGCCCGCCAGGCCCGCCGCTGCGTTATCAATGCCCACCGTCTCGGCAATGACGGGCTTGAACGAGCCCTCCTTAATCCACCGCGAGACTGTCTCCATATGCTCCTTCGCCCACTTATCACCCATCCCTTTATCTCCAACAATAAACCCACGCATAGTAATCCTCTTCGAAACAACCATAAAGATATTCTTAACCCCGTACCTGTCCTGTGGCTTCAGGTTGTACTGCGAAATCATGCCACAGGCAACAATACGGCCGAAATCCTTCATCGCATCGATCGCTGCCTCGAGATGCTCCCCGCCCACGTTCTCATAGTAAATATCGATCCCCTCCGGCGCAAGTCGCGCCAGAGCATCGCACGGCTTCTCCTTCTTGTAGTTGAAGCCACCGTCAAAGCCCAGTTCCTTCAGGATGTAATCCAACTTGGCATCTGAGCCAACGCTGCCAATCACCTTCAGACCCAGGTGCTTCGCCAACTGGCCCACGACCTGTCCCACCGCACCCGACGCGGCGGAGATGAAGATCGTCTCGCCCTTGACCGGCTTGCCGATTTCCATGAGAGATGAGTACGCCGTCAGTCCGGGCATCCCGAGCGGGCCTAGGAAGACGCGGATATCCTCGAGGCCTAGGGGGTTGTCGAGCGGCTGTACGGTTGCCAGGGCCGCGGGGGGCAGGGCGACGTATTCCTGTACGGGCAGGAAACCGACGACGAGGTCGCCTGGCTTGTACTTGCTGTCGTTGGACGCGAGAACCTTAGCGATGGAGCGGCTGTATATAGGCTTTCCTAAGTCGAAGGCTGGAGAGTATGATTTGGTGCCAGGATCACGCATACGGCCACGCATGTAAGGGTCGAAACTGGTGTAGAGAGATTGAACGGTGATGCCATTTTCTGGGGCGGGGGCGGAGGGGTCCGTTGTGACCGTTTGGATGGTTAGGTGCTCGCCCGGCACAGGGTATTCGGTTGGGACTTTGGAGAAGCAGAGGGCTTTGTTTTGGGGAGCCATGTTGTATGCTTTTGTTTGTGTTTGGTGGGGAATTATGAATGTGAGAGCGTTGTGTTCCTAAGTACTAGAGGAGCTATCTGTGGTAGATGGAAAGCGATTTTTAGGTGGGATGAAGAGGGATATTTATGTGAAGAGTCTGAACTCAATTGATGGGAGATTTGGTTCCTTTTATACTTGGAATTTTGCAAAATATGTTTCCACACGTACATGGGTGGGTAAGTCCTCAGAAAAGACCAATATTTTAACTGTACCAACAACAGAGATCAAAGGTTCGTTGTCTCTCTTTTTTACCTTCTCAGCCTAGGTTTATCTTGGAAAATGGCAACATGAGAACATAAATTATTTGACTTACAAATCAACAATATATATCTCTATGCCATGCTCTCCAAATGGCCACCCGTGGATTGCCAAAGAACTCGATGACATCAGGATGTGTTGCTGCTCAACCCACATATCCCGCTTCTGCAGCAGTGTTGCCTCGGCCTAATCTCCCAGAAGTTTGAGTTGTGGCGGTGGGTTTGCCGTGCCCACTCGCACGAAACCGCTCATACGCAAAAAATATCCTCGTAACCCCTTGTCGTCGTGCTGATGAAGGTTGTGTATATATTATTATCTTACAGCGCGTTGCGGCTCAGTTTAATAATCAATGGCTGGGTTAAGTTGATCTTGTAGTACTTGGGAAAAAAACTTGCAGCAGAATAGCGGAGTCCGAAAGTTAAATGCAATATTTTAACTCCGGGCCGAATGTTTCCTTTTCCTGATTGGGAAATTCAGTAGCAACTTATAGCAACTTATCGTAGGCTCGTAGGTAGTCGGTTGGATAATTTGTCCGCCATAGTCATTTTTGATTTTAATACAGAAGTAGCCTAACTACGCACGAAGTCCGTGACGACGGTAAATCCGGCCCTAAATGTGTTACTTAAAATATCAGTTGTGACCGGCGTCCGTTGCTCATTAGGACCAAATATGGGAGGGGCTACGGGAAATGGAGGCCTTGATGCTGTTAAATTCACGGTGTTTCTTACACAGATTGATGTATCCTACGCCAGTAAGCATTTTCGGCTGGAAAATAATTGAACATGTGTGAGATTGAACAAAGGAAACAGGTCTTTTGAGTATATCAGTGGATAGGTATGTCCATACTGTACAATGAAAACACGACAACATCTCTCTCATCCATCTTTCCCCACCCTTCCACCCCTTAAGTCTATCTAAAAATCATCAAACACACAGCAGCAACAGGCAGAAAAGTAAAGGAATATCAATAATAAACAGCATCCAGAATGACAACGGGATTAGTGTGTGGGTAGTGTTTGAGCGCTGGAATTGCGGAGAGCAGCTGTTCTTCGGGCCTTCCTTCTCTCATTTGTTCTTCTTTTGCTTATTTTTACAACTATGAAACGTTCCGGCTCATGTCTGCTCTGATACGTTGATAATCGAGCATACCCTCAATGCTACCAACAGCACTGATGGCAATGTCTTTATCCCACAGTTTCCGCTGGGCAAAGCTCATGACATCCTTCTCGGTGATTCCGGAGATGGCACGCTCAACGTCCTCCGGGCTAAGGCGGCGGCCGCTGGTGACGATCTGGCGGCCGATATCTTCGGCGATGGCAGTGGTGCCGTCGAGAGAAAGGAGGATGGATGCCCTCAGTTGGGCTTTGGCGCGCTCGACTTCAGCTTCAGTCACGCTGAATGACAAGCGAGACCATTCGCGGAGGGCGAAGTGGACGAGATCATCGAGTTGGGTGAGGTTCTCAGAGACGAGGTAGATACCCCACAGGCTAGAGTGGGAGGAATATTAGTGGCATGCTAAACGCAAGGATAAACAGAGAGCAGAATTGGCTGAAACTTACCCAGTATCACTGTAGCTGGTGGAGAAGCTCATGAAGCTGTTGGCCAGGTTATGATGGCCGACAAAGTGGCTGAGCTTGCTGCCAAGGTACGGGGAGTTACCCATGGCACGGTCCCAGTTACCAACGATAGCCTGAGTGATAAGAGCGGTGAAGTAATCGTCGTCCTTCCAGCTGACTCCCTCAACAGCCAGGGCAATGTTGGCAGTAGGGATAGTGTCATCACGGAGGCGAACTTCGGAACCGATGAAGTCGGGGGTGCGCTTCTGCTCAGCGGCGATGGCAGAAGCAGCAGAGCTAGGGGGTTGGCTAGGGAGGGAGCCAAACTGTTGCTCAGCCAGCTTTACGAGTTGGTCGTGGGGAATGCCACCAGCACCGACAAGGACCATGCGGTCAGCCGTGTAGTTGGTTTTGATATAATCCACCAAGTTCTCCCGCTTGATGGTTTGGATGTTTTCCTTGGGGCCGAGGATAGTTCGTCCCAGTGGCTGGTTCTGGAAAGCGGTCGCATGCAGATGGTCAAATACAACCTCTTCAAGTTGTTTATCAACCTCCTCTTGCTCCCGAAGGATGACATCCCGTTCCCTCTCAATTGCAGCAGGCTCTAGTTTTGAGTTTTGGAGGATATCAGAGAGGATATCGACGGTCTTGGGAACGTCGGCGTTGAAGGATTTAGCGTAGTATACAGTGTTTTCTCGCTGTAAGTGAAACAATAGAGCCATCAATTTATGTTGCTTCGTTTATTGAAGTGTTTGATGATTAAATGACGCCACGTACCGAGGTGTAGGCATTGAGATGTGCACCCATGTTTTCAATTTCAAGTTCCAATTGATGTTGCGATCGCTTGTTGGTGCCCTATAAACCGATCAGCGACAAGTTCACAGGAGAGAAGGTGATCGTTAAACCCGGCGGCATGACCGACCTTGAAGGCAAGATGCTCGAGGAAATGTGCGGTTCCATTGGTCGCATCGGTTTCTGCCCTGCTTCCCGCATCAATCCACACGCCAACGGTCGACGTCTGGGCCCATGGCGAGTACTCAGTGGCAATCTACACAGGTTAGCATCGATTTATCTCCGTTGAGTCAATTCCAATGCCTCACCGTTAAGCCATTTGAGAGGGTTGTCGATTGGGTTGTGGCGGGAAGAGTGACAGGAGTTGCGAAGCCTCTTTTTACGGGTTGAACGGCTTTCAGGGCTGCGCGGCTACGCAGAGCCTGGTTAAAGTGCAAAGCCAGTCGCCGGGATGCCATGGTAGAGGAAGTAGAAGGAGAATAGAGAGCGGTGCGGGACTAGGGAGCGTGGATAATGTATAGGATATTCAGCCTAGAGAGTTGAACGAAGTTGATGTTCGGAAAGTCAAAATATGCAGAGCTTCCGAAGTCACATGACCGCTTGATGACCCGTGATCTGGCTCGCTTCCAAGGTTCTCATTCGCTCGTTGTCGTCCCGTCCCGACATTCCCTATCCTCTCCTCAGTCTTTGTTAAAGATACGGAAGTCTATTAGGCGGCCTACTAGCAGCGGTGATCGAATTTTATTAATGGTGACAATCGCCGCTGTACGGGCATGCCAAATGTCCTGTGGCAAATGATGGATCCCTTTGGCATAATATTTTTGATTGATTAGCTGGGAGTTGCCGAAACCTCATTTGGATTCTTCCCTTAAAGGCGTATGCTAGCGTTACAGTGGTCAAAGTAGCTGAATCTTTGTTTGCGGAGCTGCGCATGTTCCGCCTGTCCTCTTCCACCTGGAAGAACGAAGTCGAAACACCATTGTTGTTTAACAGCTGATTGAAACCGATATGAAGCTATGTCATTGCTACCGCCTGGCCCTGTGTTCAAGATTGAAGAGGAGGATTCCAAGCTCACGCCGATAATATCTGCATTCTGGTCCATTTGGCAACAACGCAATTGGTATTCCCATTCCGTCTGGTGAATAATATTTCCCCCAAGCCGGCCTTTGGAATATCTCATCTTGTCGTTGGGGTTTCCTTCATTAGAGACGACGGTGTGGAGCCGTTTCTTACCTTTCCTGGCTTTACCCATATGAAAGAACAAATGCAAAATGTTTACTCTGCAACTGCCGAAGCTTATATGGGGAAATCGACGGTAAGATGCTCAAATGACCGAGAATATATAGCTGATTATCACTTACCCAACAACAAAACTCCCATTCGTGTCTTCCTACTCAATGATCTTCGAAATGAACGCCAGCAAAAAGAACTTTGCGTTTTGGAGCCGATCCCCGAAGCGGTGGGCAAAAGCTACCGCCCTCTACTCAACGATAAAGGCAGAGCGTTGGGGAATGGTAAACTTCTTTTGAAAGCCAAGACATAAGGAAGAGTTGACGACCACTTCATGCTATACAAGGCGGCAGCGGAGGGTCGCAGCGAACTTGCCCGAATACTACTGGATAATGGCCGTATCGACCTCAGGGACCCGTCTCACCTTGGCATCAAATCCTTGAACATCGCGCTTTGGCAATATCAGGAGGAGACAGCCATCATGATCGCGGATAAGTACCGAAAAGAAGGCCTCAAGATTGAGAAGGGTTTGAAAGCTCTTCTAATGGCCGCAAGATTTGGGTTACCCGACTTAGTCGAGTCGCTCATGAAGGCTGGTACTTTTCATTCGTAGAACCAGCAAGTTCAAGGCTCTGTCTGGCATGGGACCCTGTGCAACTCGGCCAACGATCTCATCATTTTGGTCCCAAGCCAAGGGCTGGATGGTTCTCCGAGCAGAATCAAGAGGATCCAAATGGTAATTAGTCGGCCACCTGCCACTGGTGTAGTGTCTATGGGACATTGAGAGCGCGAGCGCCATGCACGATGGAAAAATTTTCATTTTGAACCGGGTAGTTGGCGAGTTCTGATAGACGTTTTCGGTGGTGCAAACTTGTATATCTTATGTCCTTGTTACCGCGATGCATCTGACAACTGCCCGCAACGAATATGCTTCGTTGCCATAGGGGCCCGTTTTCCATTAATGTCGTCCGCTGAGGACCCTGAATTAAAACAAATAATACTGAGAGAAGTACGGGCTTTATTGCGAGTGGTTCTGGTTTACCATTTCTTTACATCTACTCATTATTCTTGTCTGTGAACGTATGGACCGTGGACCGTACTAATTAATTATTATTTGAGATACATATGTACTGTTTCTTATTTTTGCTTTAGCTTCGAACTCACCTACTCCGTCCTATCTAAGTAATACAACTGGAAAATAGAACGATCTACGCCTTTTAGTTAGAAACCACTCCTATAGTATTTAGGGATCCAACTCCCGCTCACACTCCATATCCCCTAACAAACACCTCTGTTTTTAGTCCTTTTCTACGATTCTCACACAGTGACCGACTTGGGCGGCATACGTGCTTCATCATCCACTATATACTACACCCTTTGCTGACCTGTAGACTGTAAAGCACCACTTTTGAAGTATTAGGTTCATTTTATAGCAGCTGTATTCGAGCATTAGTGTTGTAGAAGCTAACTTATCTTCCTAACTCTGTATTCCAGTCCCTCCTGAGAACCCTTCTGGAGAAAGAAACATATTAAAATATCTCTGTACTGATATCTTTACCATACTCCCTCATATACCTCCGCACACTAGCCAACAACGACATATCCTCATGAAAGCCCAACGATTTCGCCCACGCAATATCAAAATTCACCGACCACCCCTGCACAATCCGATCAACATCTTCATCATACCTCTCCTCCACCAGCGCCCTCTTCTCCCTGCCACCAACCTCCTCCAAAACATCCAACATCTCCTGAACAGACACCTTAATCCCGGGCAAATTCACCGACCGCGAATCCCCAAACGCCTCCTTCGGCACATCCTTCGCATGTATTAGATTCCTCACAGCCGTATACGGCGAGCAGATCCACAGCTCCGTCTCCTTCTTGACAGGTAACATGCTCTTTGTCCCATTCAGCGGCTCGCGCAAAATGCCACTGGCAAAGCTACTGGCCGCCTGCGTCGGCACCCTCGCCCGCACCGTCACAGTCGGCAGCCTAACCACCCGCCCATCTAAGTACCCACGCCGCGAGTAATCGTTCAGCATCAGCTCAATGACCATCTTCTCCATCCCATACGACGACGTAGGCATCTGGGGCATGTTCCGCTCTGTAATGACAAACCCGGGCGCTGTGGGTCCATACACCGCAAGCGAAGAGGTATATACGACCTTGACGCCGGGCATGGTCCTGCGCAGCCTATCGAGGATATAGTGCGTTGCAAACAGGTTTACGCTCATGCCTAGGTCGAAGTTGGCTTCGGAGCCGCTAGACATGATGCCGTGGAGGATGTAGACGACATCGTAGCGCCGGGGTGGGGAGGAGGAAGGGTCTATGAGGGAGTCTACGGCTGCGTGGGAGGTTAGGTCTGCTTGGATGGAGGTTACGCGGGAGGCGTGTTTGCTAGCGCTAGCGGGGATGGGAGGGGCGGAGGTGACGTCTGTGATGGTTAGGGCTGTGTCTGGGGGTGTGGTGTTGAGGAGGGCCGCTGTTAGTTCTTGGCCGACGAAGCCACCGGCGCCGGTTATCAGGATTGCAGTGGGCATTGTGGCTCTGTTGGGCTTAGATTGTATGTTGTAAGTTAAATGTACAGTACTTAAACTACCTTGCTCAGAATCTTGGAATGAGGGGATCGGATTCGCTGTTCGCGGGTAAGAATACTGACAAAAGTGCGCGAGAGTGGGTGCGGTTGGATATACGCAGGGCCAGTCAGATTAGAATAAATCATAGACAGCTGAGATTGTCTCTTGTGTTTACTTCCAATCCATCAGTAGCATTTCCCGGTATCTGGTGGATGGTGCTTGCTTGATCATTTATCCTAAAAAGTATTCGGATGATCCCCCGTATGTGCGGAACCCAATCCCACTGGGTCCGTAGCTGGTTCGGACTTACGCCCGAACGCCAATAACTGCTGTTCGTTCCCTCTTTAAAAATTGGGCCGGGAGCACGCCGGTTGGGAGGCCATAGCTGTCGGTTTGCACGAAAGGGGTCAGGGTAAGGTTTATTATTGCATATTGCTTTTCGACTGGTTCTACATGTACGTTGTATTTGTCAGGGGCTTCCTTCGAGGGATCGCGAGCACAGTGTCATCCGGGCAGAGTTATGCTTAATAAATGTCAATTGAACGGCTTTTCCAACATAGTGGTATAGTGTACAGTGCAATATGACATTTCCAATTGGCCATATGAAGACACCAAGGAGGAGTCCAACCAAGCCATGAAAGAAATAAACCTCTTTTGATTTACTCGAGAAATATCGAGAAATATGAACAAAGTAAAGGACTGCAGGAAAACGGACAGGAAAATTGTGAAAACATCATACATGGATAGGATAAACTGCGGCCCACAAAAGCATTTATCTGGAAACGCACTCAAACGCCGGAGATTGCAAATCGCATAAAACGGGAAATCCAACAAGGGAGATAGAGCCAGGAAAGATTCAAAAAGAAATGCATCAAAACAGCAGAAACCAACCCAATTCCAAAGCATTAATCAGGTTTGCCGGTAGATACCAGCAACTATACAATGGTCACGTTCGAAGGGTTCTGTAGCCAAGTTGTTAGCATTCGAAGGCATGCAAATGAGAGGTACAAGGGTAAGACGTGAGAGAAATACTAACCTAGTGTGAGTTGTTCCTTGGGTTTTATCTTCTCCTCTCTCATCTTCTGGACTTCCTTGGCGAACACGACCTCAGGCTTCGCTGTGCTATCGATACAATTTGCCTTGATACTGACAATAACGCCACCACCCGCCTTAAGGAAGAGATGGGCATTAAGACCCACAATTCTGGCTTGGTCAGGCTGGGCAACGTCTGCAAAGATTACATCAACCATTCCGACCAACATTCTGTAGCGAAGGGGGTGACGTGCGTCTTCGACAATGGGAATGACATTGGTACGGTGAGTAGCCATTCCAATCAGGTCACGGCCGGAACGATGGGAGAACTCGACAGCGTAGACGGTTCCAGTAGGGCCGACGAGGTCAGCGACATGGCTGACAGAGGTTCCGCTGGCAGATCCGAGATACAGCACTTTCGAGCCCGGGCGCATGTAGATGTTATCGAGACCACCAAGGATACCAGCGGCCAACTTGCTGCGGAAGGGATTCCATACACGGTACTCAACTTTGGTGGCAGCGGGAGTTTCACCATTGGCGGTAGGTTCAGTTGATTCGACGGAGATACGCTTCTCGCCATAGACGGATTCGCCTGGGGTGAGGTTCTTGGTGACGAGGAGATCTTCCTTTCCACCACGAGCGACGAAGACACCGGGGTGACGATGGGGTTCCTTTTTAGGGCGAGATATTGGTAAGCTTCGTGCGTGCATAAAAAAGCACGAACATATGGTATCCCATCGGAACGGGTAACTGTTTCAAAGGCAGAAACCAGTAATTTCATCATGAGAAACCTACAATGATAACTTTGGCACCGCCCTTGGCGCCGGGGCCGCCGCCTCGTCCACCTCCACGACCTCCACGGCCACGAGGGGCTCCTCTACCACCGCCTCTACCTCCGCGACCACCGCCACGACCACCACGGTCCGAGAATCCTAAACCGCCTAGCAATGGGAGGGAACAACGACGTCAGTCAAGGGCTTCTTCGCATCCCGCATATGTTTTGCGTTTCAATTTCTGCTTCACAGCTTCATGACGGCGCAAAGTGCGTGGTCGCATTAAAGCAAACCAGCACATGTCCACTCCAACAGGAACAGACAGAGAATGTTCTCAAAGAGCGGAATTGTTATTGGATACACACCTCTCCCACCACCACGTCCACCACGTCCACCCCGATCACCTCCACGGCCCCGGGGGGCTCCACCCCGTCCACGCGGAGCTCCAAACGCCATATTTTCTTTATATTCTGTGAAATCGTTGGAGCGGAAAAAGAAGGCAGGTTGGCGAAAATCGCGAATGGGCAGCAAACGAGCCTTCAGTGGAAATTGAAAATTATTCACTCGTCTGGTGAGTTAAAATCCACGCAAAATTTTCGACGGGGACGGAATGAAAAAGGAAAAAAGAACGGATTTCCTGGCCTACCCTCGCAAGACGTGATCGTTCAGCACGCGATCAAAATTTCGGTCTCGGTTAGGTACCCGCAGCCGGGCAAAGAGGGTATATGAATGTGAGGGTAGAGTTGTTCGCGGAGTTAAATGGACTGGATTAGGCGAAGATGAAGTTTTTCCCAGCCAAAAGTCAGTTCCTGCTCTTTTGGGCAAAAAGTTTGGGAGCTTGCAACATGGTACTAACCTTAATATAGACTAGCTTATATTCATACCCTTGTGTGAGTATAGGATCACGTGATATCGGGTCAATATCACGTGAATTACTTGGCCCTAATTGAGCTGTTGGTCACCATTTAACTGAGTATGGATGTACAAAGCTCAATTCAGCGAACATTAGCCTCTCTAAGGTATCTACGATCATAAATTTACGCACTAGCTATCTCGATATGTGATTGTCATAATTTGTAAACCATTAACTATTTTGATAACGTTCAAAACCTGAGCACCCCCGAAGCCCACTACCCTAAGAGTGACTCAGCAACCCCTACTACATACACGACCCGATTGCACGTATGGTAAGGACATATATAACATTCAACGAAAAACAGCCCCGTGCATTCTTCGCTGAAATCATCTGTAGGCTTATGGCTGGACAATATTTACTGCTCACGAAATATTAGCTCTTTAGACCAAGCTTATCTGATATTAGATTATTCATCCTCTTCTTCCTTTAATATCCCGCTAAGATTAATCCCAATTGAAACTATAATTTCATGGCCGTTATGGCGGCCAAAGGGAATTTAAAATAAAACTGTAGATATCCCTCTGCTTCCGTACCTCCCATATATAATCAGAAGAAAACAACAGGCGGCCACCCCTTTTTTTATAGGGGGGGAGGGGGAGAGGTAGTAGTGAGTAAATCAAACGGAAAAAACATGTCGATGACCCCGCGGCGAATAGCGAATTCTATATTCAGAAAAGCGACGAAATTCCACTCTAGCGGGCTCACAAATCAGGATTTCTTCAACGCGAGGCCCGATTGTATATTTCATGTATTCTACCAGGTTTTCTTTCGTTGCCGAAGGAAGACACATGCAATGAGCATGAATAACCTTGAGCGATCGTTTATGTTCTTCCACGAGCTGTATAAGGTCCCGTTCCGAGAATTCGACCGTCAAAGATATGGCATTGAGATTCGGCCAGCGCCGTTCACGGTATGGGAGGATGTCTGCCAGCTTCACATCCCCCCACTGTTCACGCGCTGCGAACCAGTAAAGCGACGTGTCTATCTTGACTGACTGGACGGAATCCGTATTGAGAAAGGCACTGGTGAGATTGTAGACATGTTGTTTCCCAATATTGTCGCCATCCCGGCATGAGTCGGCAGGCCCGAAATGTCGATCTATGCTGTAAAACCCCAAAGATAAATCTGTTGCCTTGCCTACAACGCGACTGACGCAGAGCAGCTGATCAGAGGACATCTCAAGGGTTTTGAAATTGACAGGTGTGGACACCTCCAGGCGACATTGTTTCGGAAAGATGTTTGCATGCTCAAGAACTGCGAAGATGGAAGGTAGCAGTCCTACTGGAGGTGGATGTCGCGTGAAATGACGAATTCTTTTGGCGCGGAGCTCGACACATGAAAAACATGATTGCCAGTGCGACGGCCGGGAACAGAACTTTATCAGTAACCTATCACACCACTCTTGGGGTAATGTGCGCTCGCATTCACCAGCACGGATGGTTACTGAGGGGTCCTTAGCTATGTCAGGGCTAAGGCCCAACGCGTTATCGTCCTTGTCCGTGATGACGATATGCTCCAAAGCTAAAAACCTTCTCAGTAGGGAAGATAGTCGGGCCATGTATGAACCATCATGCCGAGCGGTTTCCTGATCTTTGAAAAGAAGGCAATAATTGCTGTACCCTCTTTTGAGGAGACTTTGATAATGAGTGGGATTGTCCTGGTCATAGAAGCCAAAGCCCATGGCACGCCACTCCTTCGAGGCAAGAGAAAATTGGCTGTTGGTACACTGTCTAATCTCGCTGCAGAGTTGCCTGCGCAGTTGAAATTCTCGGTCAACCATGTATCTGGCGAATAAGGAAAAATCCCGCGCGAGGAGGGCATCATAATACGCCACGGAGAACTTGAGTCTGCGGACCGTCGTCGCAAAATGTTCATGTTTCAGGATTTCTTCTAGTTTGGTCAGCGTCCGCAGGGACAACGCTGAGATTACAACCTGTGTATGTCGATTGAGGGCTGCAGTTGTAATCTCAGCAATGCGTTTGGAGACGAGTCGGAAAGATTTCAGGTCTGACACCACATAGGAACCTGCGTGATCGAAGAAATACTCCGCGACAAGGATCAATATCTCAGCTGGAAGATGTTGGAGTCTCATTTTATATTCGGATGCATGCATCAGCACCCCATACATAGTAGGAAAGGATAAATTGGCGTGAAACCTATTGTCCAGTCACCTACGGCGGGTTATTTGTGTTTGGCTTCTGAATTCTTGAGGTGGCGCAGGCCAGTCCATTTTCTCGCGCTCGTATGATTAATTGTTCTTTATTGGCCCGACTGTCGAGATCGTGTCAACGAGTTTACAATTGGCTGAATGAACGCGGGTTGCTTGTGTCCTCCTTGGTTCAATAGCGCTGCTAAGATTTGGTGTTGAACCTTGGAATATCCCACTTGTCAACGAAAGCCTGGATGCATGGCTTTTCGAGTGCTCCGTAGAAAATTGTTGGTTCAAGACTCGAGGTAAGTTATTTAAGCCTGTGAAGATAAAGCTATTAAGCATGGAGGACAATTCCTACCTTATTGACAGATCTATTTATCGCCATGCGCCTGGCCAAGATTCCCCCGCTTATTATCAGAACTACCAACATACGCCAGCATTTCTTTTTCTTTCCTTTTTTTCTCTGCTTTCTTTTTCCTTGTCTTCTTCATGACAAGAATCCAAGTTTTGACTGGATTTTGTTAAGAAAGGGCAAGCAATGGTATCTTTGCTAGGCGCAGACAGAGTAACAAAACCCATTTATATATAACCCTGTACTGGGTTTCAGCCCCTGCATTGTATAAACCTTCGTGCGAGTATCCAGCTGCAGTCCTGGTGATAATGGTCATGTCATACATGCAACTACTGGTGGATGAGAAGATTAATGTGCTCTGCCCAAGAACAGTACTAGCTCCTTTGTTTCCAATGTCTCCAACATGGCAAGGTGTTTGACATCATCCACTGGGAGAGTTCTGCTCCCGTTCTTCATTTAGAGCGGTATAACGAAGATGGTACTTGCCGTACTGATGGGAGGCAACGACGTCTTTCTCGGGTTGAGGATCTATTTGTCAATGACTTGGGACTATTGAGGACTGTATACTGAGATGGATCCTCGGGCGGAAGACATGGAAAGGGAGGACGGAGGCGGATAAGCTTACGTTTGATGGAATGATCCCGTAAACGAGACTAGAGCTATCTAGCATGCGGATATGCTAAACAATATTCTCGTCAAACAGTTGTTTACCCTACTCCAACCAACCCCAGGGTGTGAAGAGAACGAAGGGCTGAAAGCAAAGTTTCTGGGTCGTCTAACGCGTAACTTCCTACCATATGCAGAGCCACTTCCAGTGAGCTCTTATTTCAAAAAAAAAAAAAAAAAAAAAAAAAAAAAAAAAAAAAAAAAAAAAAAAAAAAGTAATGGACAACGTACCATTACCTTTACTTATACACGCATCAAATTGTTGCGATGCAGAAAAAACGGACCCATCCCGAACACCAGTTGGTCGGCCTCAACTGTGGAGATACGTATGACCAGATAGCACAAACTACCAAATGCACAAGAGGATGAAATAGGGAAACGCACATGAGTTAGGTACAGTAGTACATCAAGCAAGGAAATCAACCCTTAAGACCATCCTTACCCAAACAGGCTCTGGACAAAAAGGAAACACAAGCATGAATAGTCCAAATTTCAACCCTTAGAACCTGCCTCCGGGGGGAAAACCGCATCAAAATACTCATTCGCTCGCTGGCACGTACCCCTTGTACCCTTCCAGCCCTTAAACCCCATCCTCTGTATGTTACAGGCCGTCCAGACCACCTGCGCCCAGAACTGACGCTCCACCTTCGTACCGCCAATGCTATCAACCGTCTCCTTTTCCTCAACCCATGCGCGCGTCGGCTTCCCATCCGGCCCACGGATGGGAGACTCGAGTCTATAGCGTTTCTTGCGAAGCATGAAAAGGTCAACGGGGTTGATTTTCGGTTGCGAAACGTGGATGAAAAACGGGTGCGGGGCTTCTCCAGCATTGGGATCCCTTGCGCGATCTATCCCGCCGCTGGTTAGCCTGCGGTCCTCCGTGGGACTGTACTGGACCATAGCGTAGCCGGTCATTTTGCCGTCAGGACCACGGCGACCGATGGAGCGGATGGGTTCTCTGACGGCGTAGAAGGGCTGGTTTAGGATTGAGGCTGCGGCTAGGAAGGATTCCTTGTCGCCTTCGCCTGGCCCACCCTGGGTGAGGAGACGGTGGTAATGGGTTGGGCCGTAGTAATTGTAGTAGCTTGCGAGCAGGAGGGTTTTTGCGTGGGTTTTCTTGGATATTAGGAGTTGTCGGCCGTTGGTGGACGCTCGTTCTGATAAGGATTCCTCTGGATGGGAGGTGATGTTGTAGAAATATGGAGATGCGCTGGATACCCAGAAGTCTGGCCATGTTACCAGTCCGATTTCTGTAAATGGTGTGGACTGGAAGAGCTCGATCGCGTCGTGCAAGGGGAAACAATCGGCGTCTAGCCAGAGAACTTGCTCGAAGGATGAAAACAATATTGCAAATGTCTTCAGCCAGTAACGTTCCAGGTTATAGTTGGTGTGTGCTCCAAGGATATCGGACATTACGATACAGTTGGCATTCAACGTTGGAAGTACATCTTCACAAATAGTGGCATCATAATCATCTTTCGAAGCAACAAAAACTTCCACGGGGAACCGGGTGCCGCTTTGCCGGAGCATGCGCAGCGATATCAGCAGGGTGGGCAGATACTTGCTAGTCGCAGCGGAAACGATCCCCCGAGTGCCTCTCTCATGAACCAAATGCAGCCCCAGGGTATCAGCCTTGATTATCCCAACGAACTTTTGGTGGACCTTCTGCATCTGTTCCACGTCTGCATCGGGCATGTATAGGAGGTCCGGGCGAACATAATCCGCAGTGGGATCGAAGATAACCTCGGCTACCCTCTTTAGCCGCTTCGGCGCATCGACTCCTGGTGTGTTTGACTCCAGAAGCTCGCGAAGTTTATTCCAGGATTGAACTTTACGTTTGAAGTTTGGGATCCCGCGAGGTGACAGAGCTGGTGACAATGGGATAGGGTGTGAATTTGGACCGAGCGTACGCTGGAATCCGGCGAACAAGAGACAAAGGGAGAGAGTGAGGATGGCCAATCGTCGGATTATTGGACCTCGAGGTAACATCCCAATCAAGCGGTTTGAGCCCATTTTATGTAGAATTGCCGTTGGAGGAGCGCTCACCCCCCAGGAACTGTCTCACGGGAAGGGCAGCACTACCAGCTAAACCGCCGGTATCAATGGCTGGATCCTGTTGCTTTCCAGTGCATTTCTGTCAAAAAGAAATCAAAACATGACAATTTGCAGGTTGATCGCGACGATGATCTTGACGGCGATGGGTGATTGGGTGAGGTGATGGCGGAGGATGTTTGAAGTCGGCGATGAGGTCGACATTTCACCCCTGCCAATTCTAGTGCTGACGATCATACTGATGACAGTTAACAATGGCCAAAATATAAGTAACTATGTGTGACCGTACCTAACACTTTCTCCTTCATGTTTTCACTGTCATGTTTTTTTATCTACGCTGATAGCCTTTTAAATATCAGATAGTTTAAAAAGCAGTAGTAGGTATGACTCCTCTCAAGCCGCTGTTTCTCATAACGATCCATAAAGATATGGGAACCACTGGCCCTTGAAGAACTCGTATAATCCAGCAATGGCAAATGTTTTCAAGAACAGTATTTTTGTTTGTGCCGCTGATGGAAAAAGTCATGTTTTATTTTACTTTTATTTTTACTTTATATTTTTATATTTTTATTTTTTCAGAGCCGAAAACTGCCCGTTAAAAGCTTGAACCCGCGCTAATTTTGCCAAGGAATAAGAAATCAATTCGCTCTTTGATTGATTCTCTTGATAGATTCTCTCGTGAGATAGCTCTATTAACCCAACCATTTTCTAAGCATTTGGAGTATCAACGGCTGATCTTCTACCCGCCATTTTCATCCGATGATTTCATTCATATATTCATATTTTAGCCCTTAAAAATCTTGGAATTTAAGGTTTACTCGGTGTCGTGGTGTAGTTGGTTATCACGTGAGTCTTACACACTCAAGGTCTCCGGTTCGAGCCCGGGCGACATCAAGAACCACACACATCCCAGGTTTTGTTTTTTTTGTCTACTATGATTGCTGTCATTTTGTATTTTATTTTTATTTTTTATTTTTATTTTTATTTTTATTATTATTATTATTATTATTTTTCACTCCTAATTATGAGAAGGACCATGTTCACGATCTACTTTTTGAATAGATTGAATAGGGCGGTTTCCATTTTTCTGACGAGAGCTTCAATTTATTTTTAGAACCGCCCAATTTTACCCAGAGTCAATCCGGAAGCGTTCGCTTATCCCCCGGCCTTCACCTCCATGACTTGACTAACATTTAATAACCAATGAACTAGGACGCTTTCTTCTAGACTGACGCCCAAAGGGACAAACCCTGTTTGACACCTCTTGGCGCGGTGGACCCTGCAGCCTGACTAACCCGCCAGCAGGATTGGCGAGAAATGAGATTTTGAGCGTTGGCGCTTGCAGTTTCAGTTTCGATAGCGGAGAAATCATCCGCGCAAGCATCAATCATAAACAGCGGGAAAAAAAAAAGCAACCATATGGGCAGATGGGCAACTTCTCCCTTCGCAGAATCCATCTACGACATATGTATGGCCTGTTGGCGAATCTTTTCAAATCATCATCAATGCCGAGTCCATCCTAAACCGATCCGTTGAAACATCACGCGCCGGCCAGTGAAAAAACATACAACGAAAATTTTCGCGCCCAGCTAGAGTCTCCTCTTCATTCACGTCATTTCGTCGCATGGGCGTTCTCATGCCAGGGTTTTCTGTGCGCTGGCTTCCGTGGCCTTCCTCGCTTCTTGTAGGATAAGAAGCTGGCCGCTCGGTAAATTTCGTAAAATCACCCATGGGGATCTGAACAGGGATGGGTGCCTGCGCAAACAAAATCTGACGTATTAAAATGCATTGCATGATTGACGGATCTCTGGAATTGCTGCAGAGTACGGATTATACACAGGGAGGCCAATAATTCAGTGGTTGCTATTTCCAACCATCTGTGCCTTGAGCTAAAATTTCTTCTGCATGAAATTCAACGATTATTCCCTGCTCAAAGTAAACCTCCCTTGCTATGAATTAACAAGGATAGTTTTACAAGTCCGGCGGCGAGAAGGAGATTACATGAACGGAAGAAGCTACAGAGTACAGGGTACAGACAATAGGCCCCAAGCAGCCTTTCAATATCACCGAGAATCATGAGTCGCTCAGGACGGAAAATTATTCATTCATTATTGAATTGATGTTTCTATTTCGTTCTTGATGGTTAGTTAACTGAAGGCCCTTCCCCCCAACCCTAGGAAGCTTTGCCACTAATTAGTAAAGCTAGTTAAATCAAACCCCCGTAACTTAGTTAAACGCTAGCTTATATTTACTACGTAGTTCAATGTTTGTCGTCCCTTCCTTCTCATAGCTCGAGAGCGTAACGTCGTTACTTTCAGCTGAGCAGGCTTGGGCGAGAAGATAACCGTAAGCCAGTGAAGTTATCACTGTCCACGGGTGTATATTAACCCACATATCTTGTGAAGTATAAATAGAAACGAAAGAAAAAAAGATAATGTTTAAGGAAATAGCGCCAGCAGCATCGCATAGCGTAGCATAACATAGGATGGCTTAGTTAGCCCTAGCAAGACCCCTCGCCAATATCGATTCCTATTAGCATTAGCATAACATCTCTACTTTGAAAACGTTTCGTTTCGTTTGGTTTCATTTCTCCTAACTAGCTTGACGTAATGTCTTGCTTGGCCGTTGGTCTCACCCGACATTTCAATGTTTCTTTTCTCTCTTGCTGCCCGCCCAGCAGAAAGTCAACTAGTCTTTCAGCTCCTCTTAGCTAGCTATTCAATAATGAACGAGGCAGGGCGGGGGGAAATATATGCGCTGGATTCAGTTGCTATTCATTGAGCCCCATCCATGTTCAATGTGTCCAAATCTGCTCAGCAGGCGGCTCGCCATCCACAGTAGTAACTACTAATATATGTTAGTTAAAATGAGGGTCTACTAGGGAGGCAAAAGATGAACTCTAGAGAGGAAGGAGATGGAGATGCCTATCTTGAGGTCAGCGTTTGGGAGAAGGAAGCACATACTAGCATAGTTCCTCTCAACCACATGAAGATAGATAGACGGGCATGAAAAGTTCTCCCTCCCCAGACTTCAGGATCCTCACATCTCCCACTTTTCCGCGGTCCCCCCCCCGGGGGCCCCGGGGGGCCCCCCTCCTCCCCCAGTGGTCACTCCGGGTCCCCATTTTTCCAGGGAGTCTATGGGTTAACTATTATCTAATTGAGCGTTATGAATAGGCTTTGCCTTATTGGAGCTAATCACTTGTGGCCGTGACGACGATGGCACACTCACAAAAAAGATTTAAGCGCTGGGGGATGTACGGAGTATGGATAACTACACATTTCAACTGCCAGTTTTTCTCAAGGTGGCGGAGCGCGCAGAAAAAACCTGAGGTGATTCCGCGGAAATGGACCGGTGGGCGGGTGGATGGATGGGAGATATTTAAGTAAAATTTTAATATTATTATTATTGTCACTCCTTGGAATAAGTTAACAGAAGATCAGAATTATTGCTCCTCTGTACTGGGTAGGTAACATACTCAGTACTCCGTACGGAGTACATATTGGAAGAAACTCGGGCTGTGTGGCAGGGAAACAGCGGACCCCTCCCACCTCTTTGGCCCAGGCCCAGTCCCCCATCTGACAAAAGAGATCAATTGACATCAATGTCAATGTAACTTCGTCACACCAATGCTTGTACATGTACACTACTGTTAACACGCAAACCAAACAGGTGGGCGCCACGAGAAATGAAAATGGTGGGGTATAAAATTCCTCCATCAAACATCTACGTTCCATGTCCACGCACTCCGTATGTATTGCCGGGGAATAGAAAAAAATTTTATTTTGAGTAGCATGTTTAATGTTTAATCATAGTGAGATGTAGGAGACAGGCAACTTGGAACCAATGTTTGATGTTGATTGATATTTTCGACAGATTTTGGAGAAAAAACAATATCAGGGCTCGTGCGGTAGGCTATTCCATCATATGGTCTACCGTTTCGGAAATCCGTGCCCTCGCGTTGTAATCGGGAGCGTGCCGGGCGCGGGTAAGGCAAGGTTGATGGATTTAATTGATCAGAGGCATGGAATATGTATATGTGATGGGGATGGAGCTTTAAGTGTGTGTGCGTGTGAACATGGCGTTCCTCCACATTCGGTCGTCGATCGTCGTTGTTATTTAGCTTTTATCAGTGTCGAGAGTACATGTAAGTATATGTTGATGTGGATGTGTAGCGCAAAGTCCGCGAAGGCAGGTTACATGTTTGTTTCTATTATTTTTCAGCCTATTGGTTACAGAATGTCTCCATGGAGGAACAGCGACAGAGATATCTTCTCAACCACGATCTACTAGCGGAGTACAGATGTAGTCCGATTAGGATAACCAACACGGAGTACAGGACATCACAGCTACTCCGTAGCACCTAGCATTGAGGTTGGTTGTTCCGCGGCCAGAGCGATCTTGGCTCTGCTGCTCCGTGTTCATAGCTGCACACTTTTCCGTGTCCCCCGCCCCGTTGTTTTCAGTTGTGAGCCTTGTCAATTGGGGGTATTCAGATATTCAGCCATCATCAGGGTTTGGTTTCGCCAAAGAGCCACCAACGTGGATGATAAGAAATGTGGGAGCATAGGTTTGTATCATTTATCAGCGAGGTGCTTGTTTCCATTTCTTTTGAAAGCTGACACTCCTCTTGATTAAACAATTGTAAGACCGGAGATCTTCAGGTTACCAGGTAGGTTGGTTTCGGTATTAGATATATGAGAGTTGATGTTTTCGTATAAAAGTATTATTTCCGGTTTCAATCCATGATAATGTTCCGAGAAACAATGCAGGACGTAGTTTTTATCGCGGGAGCGCTGACATCTGCACCGTCAACACATAATAATCATGCAATGGCTCGTAACCGCAGGGTCCATGAGGGCTAAACGTACCAATGATATGCGTCAAAGTAAAGCTGATATTTTCCTCGCTCATAAATCCATCATACCCACCAATCCCCAGCCACCCAAGGATTGATCTAATTCCTCTCGTAACGAGCCAGTCAGCATCCCCAAGCTCTCAATACTTCACTGTGGCCCACTGCATGAACTGAGGGAATCCGGTGCAGCACCAGGGCTTGGCTTGGCTATGTGCTTTTTGCTCACCAGTCGCGCCAGGCAAAATATCCAAGGGTTTAAATTAAGCAAGCCGGCGTCAACCTCTCCCCCAACCTGCAGCCAAGCACAGATCGGGCTAAGCGCCAGCCCTAAGCCAGCCCTGCAACCAAGATCTGGTTAGCGCGTCCTAAAATAAGATCAGAACCATGGTTCTCACATTCCGCTAGGCCCAATTGAGTAGCGTGTTTCTAATTCCAGGGCGGGAACGCTCGAAGCTACCAGAACTCTAAATGGGCAGGGGTGGAGCCGCTGAGGTGGGGCCTATCCTTCGCCGGCGGTTGTGGGGTAGAGATGAATGGATGTATGGATGGATGGCAGTCTGTGGACTGTAAGGACTATGAGGACTGTGAGGACTGTGTGGACTGCGCTGGTGGTACCTGTGCACGATGCGCCATGGGCCTGTGGGACTGAGGGCTTGACTGGGGCAGCATCGTGGGCGTCTGCACGATGTATATAACTCGGGATGGACGATCTGTTTCCCATTCCTTCTCTCGCTGGTTCCGTTGCTCTCCATCTAACCATTGACCGATTTGTCCATCTATCTCCTCGATCTTCTTCTGAGTGTTTTGTTTTTTGTTTCCTTTCCCTTCTTCCTCCACTACTGTTTGGTGTTTACTTTTCTTTTTCTTTTTCTTTTCCTTCTCTTTTTCCCTTTTTGGCCGTTTTGTGCCCATCTTCTTACTTTCCTTTCCTCCCGCTTTCTGCATTTTTTTTATCATATTTTATTTTCTTCTGTCGATATCCATTTCTTATACCTCGCTCCTTCTGATAGCTAGGCTAGTCAGTTCTAACGATATAACCGTCACGAATTTCTCCTTCTATTTCCACGACTCTCTATCTGCCAGCATCCTACCGAGCAAACCCGTTTAGTAGCCATTGTTATTGCCTTCCACCTACTATCTCGGAACCACCACCACCTCCTCCTCCTCCTCCTCCCACCTCAGTCTATACAAAAACAGGAGACCTAAAGGGGCAACAAACACAATGCAATTCCTTCTCCTCCTAGCCTCATTAGCCTCCACGGCCTCAATCGCTCTCGCCGTCCCCTCGGGCTGGTCCCCAGATACTGCCAAATTCTACTCAACCGTGGCTAAAGAGATCAAGGAAGCCAGGAAGCATCATAAAAACCCTGCGCTACCAAATTGTGACATGTCAAGAGCAAGACTACCAACGACAGATGAGCCGCTGCCGGCTGTGCCTAAGGGACAGAAGTTGTTGCATGTTACTATTGGAAGGGGGATTCAGGTAAATATTTATATTTTATTATTGTTTACTCCGTATATTTTCTAAAGGATCGCCATACACGTGGATTGTTTGTTCTGTGGTCTGTTCCATTATTTTTCTTCTTTTTTGCTTTTTCCTGGACCCCTGTTCTGTTTTATTTTCCGATGCATGGGTGTCATGGGCGTGGATGATATGCACAAAATGGAAGAGAACAAAGAAATGGCCGGAAGGGAACCCTGCAAAGAATGCAGAGAACCACGCCTTATCCGTCCCAGGAACTAAAGGAAACCAAAAGCCAACAAATTAATTCCCCGACAATAATATATATATATATATATATATACTTTTAAATACTATCTATACTAACAAACTTCTCTTTACAGAACTACACCTGCCCCTCCAGCTCATCAACCGACAAACCAAAAGCAACCGGCGCCCTCGCAACCCTCTTCGAAGCCTCCTGCCTCGCCTCCACATACCCATTCCTCCTCACCCTCCTCCCCCGAGTCGCCCTCCACATCTCCAAGCCCCCTTACCCTCAAAACTCCCCCTCCTCGTCCCCAGGCTCCCAAGTAGGCATCGCCAACCCCTTCACCTTCGGCCCCAACGACATGCCCATCGCCGGCTACCATTTCTTCGACTCCACCGGCGTCCCCGTCTTCGACCTTCAGGCAGACGGCCACGCCGCCGTCGAGAAGATCTCCGGTGTCCCCGCGCCCAAGGGTGCGATGAAGGGCGTGGGCAGGCAGAGTTGGGGCGCCGTGCCGTGGTTGTATCTTGCGGCTGTGGATGGGAGTCTGGGTAAGGCGAAGAGTGTTTATCGTGTGGGGACGGCGGGGGGCAAGGCGCCACCGACGTGCGAGGGGTGGAAGGGGAATGATGGGGATGGAGGGGTTTTGAGTGTGGAATATGCGGCGGAGTATTGGTTTTATGGATAGAGGGTTTACTTTTTTTAGGGTAGGGTGTGTGTATTTGGCACCTCTGTTGTGGTTGGGGATGGGACAGGGGATGTTTGCAAGGACAAAATATTTGAATATGATACCTGAGAAGAAAAAGAGAAAAAAAAAAAGGTTAACTAAACCAGGATGAGGATGACTAGATTTGTTGAGGAGGTTCTTTTTTGGTTTAAGTTTTTTTCGCTTTCGATTTATGCTGTGTGAGGTATATTCCCAGTGATATTTCTGTATATATATTTCCATATCTGTTGTGCATCAGGGAGTTTCTCGGAGTTGTCCTATTTACTTTGTTATACTTGACTCTGTTCATTTCTTTCACTATTCCTTACTATTCTCAGCTACGAATACTATTATGGTGATCCATTTAGCCCCTACACTTCACAGCTCCATCATTCTGCGAAGTAAACCAATATTTGGTGTTGCTAAGGATGCAATATTTCAGCCCAGATGGGTGGGTTCGTTCTAGTTTCCTGATGTAACGACGAAATATCATACATCAGAACATGAGGATCTTACAACTGAGAGAAAATTTTCATATCGGATTCGTTATAGTCGGCCGAATCGATATACTGCCCAGAAACAATTTCTTGGAGTAGTAATGCTAATGCGATGGACCATCAAACTAAGTGAAGGATGAATCTTCGTAGGCACATGTACACCATACCGTGGAATTTGAGAGGCAGAGCATGACTCCTTCCGTTAGTTTCCTAGCAAAGGATCAAGGCCTAGATCTAGGAGCGCAGTTGTTTGAGGTCGAATCATCGAGAGCATCCCTGGACAGGCGAAACCAAATTGCATTAAGAGTCAATGAGTTTCTGTTCATGGTACAAGTACATCGCGATAGGAAATTGGGGACGAGGTATAAAACATGTCTCAGATGGGAAAGGGGAAATCGATGGAACATATAATTACTTCCTGAGCAATAACAAAAATGCAATAGGCATACAAATAGGCATAGAACTTTTTTTTTTAAAAAAAAAGACAAAACCTCGTAATAAAGACATGATATAGTAATACGGGGAGATATCCCGTACAATACATATACTATTGACATTGCGCAAAAAACCTTCCTACCAATGTCGGATGGAGTTAGTACGCAGGGTTGTTGAACTTGTCCTGCTGCCAGTCGCCACTAGCAGGGCTGCCTCCCGCACCATTACCTGTACCAGCACCACTACTGCCAACGCCCGCTGACCCTGCCATGGCAGCTCCACCAAGCGAACCCAACGCTGCGCTCGCAGTCTGCCTCTCAATCTCCGACGTGCTCATTATATACAACATGACAAACAAAAGAATATGCAACGCCACACAATATCCCGCGAACAGGTTCCTGCTTGTGCGATTCGCAAGAACCATCCGGGTGACAGAGAATATGATGCGCTCCGGCACGCTCATGCGTCGGTAAGCACGGGCTGACTCTCGGCCACGGAAGGCGGCGAAGGGCGATATTTGCGCCTCGTAGGCGGACTGGTACCGGTCAACGGAGAGGCCGGAGGCGGAATCCGCAGACGGATGGATGGAGGTCGCCTTTGGGTTGTTGCCGTAGGCTGATGCAGATGACGTGGAGCTTTGGCCGCCGCGATTGTATGTGGAGACATAGCGCGTCTTCTCGTACAGGTTAAGGTTATCCTTTTGGAGAGAAGCGACTTCCTGCCGGAGGGATTTGACGATTGCGTATGTCTTAGATAACTCCTCTTCGAGCTCGTTGTTCTTTTGTTTGAATCGGTCTCGTTGGGCTTGGACCATTGGTAGGATTCCTGAGCCGCCACCTACAGCTTCACCGGCTCTGATGGCTTCCATTGTGTTTGCGGACGCGTTTGCATGGTCGAAACCGGATATGATTGAGGAAGTGGGTGAGGGAGCCCTACCCCTACGGGAGGAATGGGGGTATCTGGAAGCATAGGTGCCTGCAACTGACATGGCAGCAGACGGAAAACTTGGTGCCTCTCTTTGCATCTGCAGAAGGTCATTTTCTAGGGTAGCGGCCAAATTCTGCGATTTTTGTAGATCTGCACTCGTTTTGGACAGATCCTCCCGCAGAGCTTCTAGTTGATTTTGCAAATCTTGATGCGAGACTCTCAAAATCGTCAGCTCATTCGAAAGCTTCTTATTCCTAGTTAACAAGAGCTGCTCCAACGAGCTTTCTTTTGATTTGCCGGACTCATTAGGAGCAGTCGAGTTTGTATCATCCATCACGTCCTTATCATCATCATCATCATCCGCAGTAGAAAACTCTATGGACTAGTTTCAATTAGCCAACGGAATGGATAAACCAACTATCTTGTGCGGTGCATACCTTGATAGCTTCGAGTTCCCGCCGAATATCTTCATAGTCTGACCATTTATCCAATTTGGATTTTATTTCATCCCGTTCAGCGGTTATCTTATTGTTTTGTCGCTCTATCTGGCGGAGTTTGCCTTCCCATGAATGCTTGTCTGCATCCTTTTCGTAGCGGGCAGCGTCGAGTTTTCGTAAAAGGGAAGAATTTTCAGCTTGCAAGCGTAAAAATGAAGGGTCGTCCTCCAGGGTGCGGTGTTTGTTCTCTGACTGGGAATGAGATACAGCCTGCGCGAGCTCTAAGCTCAGCTGTTCGTTTCGAGCCTCGACCTCTGCCAATCGCTCACTAGTCTTCTCCAGCTCCGAAGCAACGATTTCAAGCTCCGCTGCGGTTGCGGCACTCCTTGATGTGTCCTCACCATCTGCTCGGTCCAATCTTTGATTTACTTCGTAGCTTGCCTTGATTTCCTTGAGCAGACGTTCGTGGTTTTCTGCCTTTTCCTCATAATTCTTCTCCTTAGCTTCCCAATTGCTGGTCTTCTCAGCCAGTACCGCGGTCCATGACGCCTCAACCTCCTGAATCTTTGCATCCTGGTTTTCCTCAACCTTGCGCCGGAGTGATCGTTCTTCCTCCAACTTCTTTTCTGACTCCTCCAATTGAGAAGTGAGGCGATTTGTGCTCTTTCGCAAAAAGTCTATTTCGGAGTTCAACTTGGGGACAGTATCTTCGGAAACGACTAGGGAATCAACGGATGCTTCAAGGAGTGGGTATGGGTCGGGGGCTTCTGATAATGCGGAGTAAAGCTGCAAAAATGCTGACGAGGAAGCCTTGCCATGGTTGGTAAGGAGGTCGATGAACGTTTGGTATGCTACGTGTTTCCGATGTTAGGGAAAGCTAACGTAAAAGTAGGTCAGCAGGGGAGGGACTTCTACATACATTTCAGCAATCCTTTATATTCCGCGAGTTTCGTAGCATCGTCGAGTCTTCGAAAATCCTTGGTTTTCTGAGCCAAATCTTTTCGTTGCACAAGAGAGTCGCGCTGGTGAGCTATGATGTCCGACGCTGTAGTATCAAGCTTTGGCACTAGGCTCGAGAGGTCGATGCCTTGGTTTCCCAGTCAGAATAGTTCGTAAATACCCATAGCACAAATTCATTATTATAATTACCTCTCCATACTGCAATAGCTTGCTGGAACTTGTTTTCTTCCTGGGCTTGTTTTTCGGATTTGGCGGGCTCCTCTACCTGACCGGCCTTACTTGGAGCACTCTCATCGAGGACGCTCTCAGCCGCGACAAGGGCATCCATCATGCTAACACGGGATCTGCTGGTATCAGGCGTATAATCTAAGCATAATAGAAATTCTAAATCAAATCCTCGGACCACAACAGACCTGCAGTGGCGATTGAGTTCCTCGCTGCCATAGATGTCGCCAACTGTTGATATCGGCACAATCCAAGTCGGAGTAGCTAATCAGATCGGATAAACATTGTTCCGTCCTTACTTGCGTTGCTTGCACCCAAAATGACGCCGCCATCGCAATCAGAGATAGCTCTTGACTCCCCGCGCGAAGCAACAGTGTTTCTTAGTCACTTTTTCAGCTGGTAGTTTTGGCGGGGAGAGATCGAATCAGTGGACTCGCTCTATACAATGAGTTCAGACGACGATATCGATAGCCCCCGCAAAAGACGGCGCATAGCTCCTCCTGAGACTGGTCCGTATGTGCTGCGACAGCTCATAGAATCGGTTCCGGTTGCTGGCGAAGGGAGCGAGCAAGAAGTGTATATCACATGTGTAGAATATTGGAGTATGTTGAAGTATCTCTCTCCCTTAGGGATAAACTTTAGGGGTGTTATGTGTTATTGACTGTTGTGATAGACGATAATCTCTATATCGGGACCTCCCTCGGGGAAGTTCTGCATTTCGTTTCCTTTCCCTCCGACTCTGAAGAATCAGCCGAGCCATCCTTTATTTTGGCGTCAAGACTACCCATCACGTTGTCGCAGAGTAATCTACCTGCAGACACACCACCGGGGGTGCAGCAGATACTCATTCTACCTTCTACCTACAAAGCATGCATCCTATGCAATGGCGTCGTCACATTTTACTCGCTCCCTGAGCTAAGCCCGACCTACGGCACTACGAAAGTGGGCAATTGTAAATGGATTGGAGGGCTCGATCTCAATGAACCAAATGAGGATGGGCAGCCTTTTGATCCCGTGGTTATGATTGCAGTTACCAATAGAATAATGCTGGTCAGAATCGGCGACGAGCCCCGAAGAGTGAGAAATATTGAGTTTCCAGGATGTCTTGTATCTGCCCGAAGAGATACAATCGCGTGCGTTGCAGACGCATATTCGTACTCTCTGCTGGAAGTAGAGCACCGTCAGAAGATTCCACTATTTCCAATCTCTTCGTCAGAAGAAAGCTTTGAATCCGGCCATGTGGAAGACATACCAGTTCGAACTGACACCCCAGTTCAAGGGAACCAGCCTGCATCGGCTGGAAATGTTCCAGGACACAGCAGAAGCGCGAGTCTAAATACACTTGGCGGCGTCGGACGGCGCCAACCAAGTCCAAGCCCTCATTCAATGTTTCCCGAAAGATCGAGCTCCATAACTCCAGAGCCCTCCATGAAGTCTAAGACTCTCCATGGCCCACCAGGCTCCCCTGAGAAAAAGTCTCCTGACACATCAGAACCATCTTCGGAAAACGGTGGTCCAGGCTCTGATGGGTCTTCTTCGTCAAGCCAGAAACCGTTACCACCTCCTCCGAAGCAATCCACCACGAGACTCAAGCCGCACGTTGTATCGCCGACCCCATCCGAATTTTTGTTGGTTACGGGGACTGAGCCGTCAGAACCCGGCGTAGGTATGTTCGTCAATGTCGATGGGGATGTTGTTCGGGGGACTCTTGAATTTCCAAAATACCCAGACGCTATTGTGGTCGATGACGATAGTAACGAGGGAAATCAACCGCGCGCGAGTGACGACGATCAAAATGGGTATGTTCTGGCAGTCATTGGTGCCGACGACAACGAAGACAGTCGGACATATATCGAAGCGCAGAGGTGGAATGCAGTTCCGGGAGAACGTAGATTGCAAAAGGCATTAGTAGAAATACCTGCAGCCCGCTCACCACCCGGCACAGTTGGAATTCGGCGTACCGTCGGCGCCAGCCGTGTGTCCTTTTCAGAAATCGTCGACGTTATGCGGATGGTTCGTTTGAAGTCGACCAGCATAATGGCGCCATCGATCCCTTCAACACCCCCAGAGAATAACGACCCGAGAACTCGCGCGTCCCTCGAACATCTACAAAAGGAAAAGGAGCTCTTCGATAACCAGGAAACTGATTCTGACGGTTCAAAGCTTCTCTCTTCGTCGCATGTCAGCCGTGACTGGGAAGAGGAAAGGAACCGGGAAGAAACCAAGTTTGCCCGTGGCCTCGCAACTGTCAAAAGTAGTATCATCATTTGGGAAGGGGATCGAATTTGGACGGTCCTGCGGAATCCACTAGCGCTTCAATTAGACAATTCTCTTGAATTGGCTAAGCAAATGAAGGAAGCCGATGGGAAGGATGCGGGTGTTGATAAAGAACCAATTATTAATATCATCCAAGGACTTCGAGATATGGAGCCCAAGACTGAAACAGAATACATTGGTTTGCGTTACGTCAGGCAGAAGGCAAGTTTGCTTCTATTTATCGATCTAATCGCCCCAAGCTCTACGGGCCCAACCGCAGCGACTATAAGAGCAACCGAAGACGCACTTGTCGTCGGGGAGCTCGACCCTCGAGTGGTTCTCCTTTTGATACCGCTGCTTAAAGGTGAAGCACTTCAAGGTCCACAAGGGATTTGGGTATATAATGGTTTGGAGAAGGTGATATCATCATTCTTCGCTCCACCAGATGAAGGAGTGGAAAATAAACCGCCAAATTTGACCATGGACGATAATATTCTCCACCTTCTTAAACGTTATCTGCTAGGTTGGCAGAAGAAACGAGGCTATGGGAGTGTGACGGATGAGACGTATGTGTTTAATAGCGTGGACGCTGCGTTGTTACATTTACTTCTTCATCTGGATGCGAAAAACATGCGCGAGGGAAATGTAGCTCCGGGAGCTTCTGTGCGCCCAGACCTGAACAAACTTGTTGACAACTGGAAGGGTAATTTTGATCGGGCTGTGCAGCTACTCGAGAGCTATAATAGGCTTTTTGTTCTCAGCAGATTATACCAGAGCCGGAAAATGGCCAAACATGTTCTGGCAACATGGAGAAGGATAGTCGAGGGAGAGAAGGACGAAGGAAAGGAGCTATCAGGTCCAGCAGCAGACATTCAGATTCGAAAGTATTTGGTAAAAATTAGGGATGTTCACCTGGTTGAGGAATACGGTCCATGGTTGGCTGCGCGTAACCCCAAGCTTGGAATCCAAGTCTTTGTGGATGATACCAGCAGGGTGAAATTCAATCCGCAGCAGGTAATTGCGTTGCTACAAAAGCGTGCCCCAGGGGCTGTCCAAGAGTATCTAGAACATCTCGTTTTTACAAAACACGTATATCTCCCTCCCTTTTTTTCTTCCCCGCACGGCACTGGATTAACCCAACTAACGAATTTCACAGGATACCCAATACGCCGATGACCTAATAGCCTATTATCTCGACACTGTCCTTTCAGTTCTCGAATCCTCCGCTGAAGCCCGCGCATCCTTAACAGAATCCTACTCAACCTACCGCGCCCTCCAGGCCCCTAAACCTTCCTATCTCAGCTTCATCACGCACAACCATCCTCCAGAGCCGTGGTGGCAATCCCGCCTCCGCCTCCTCCAACTACTAGGAGGCGGCTCAACAACCCAATTCACCTCCACTACCCCACCAACCAATCTCTCGTACTCGATCTCCACCGTCCTCGCCCGCATCGAACCCTTCAAAAACGAACTCGTCTCCGAAAGCATAATTCTCGACGGCCGCCGGGGCCGCCACCGCGAAGCCCTCCGCCTCCTTACCCACGGGCTCAGTGACTACGACACCGCCATCCGCTACTGTGCATACGGCGGACCAACATGGTCCACGTCAACCGTAGCAGAAATCGCAAGCGACACACAAGCTGAGCTCTTCACCTACCTCCTCACGGAGTTCCTGCAGATCGCGGACCCGGTCTGCCGTATTGAACGCACCAGCAATCTGCTCGCGCGGTTTGCGTCCGTGTATGATATCACGGACGTGCTCCGGTTGGTTCCGGACGAATGGAGCGTGGATATCCTAAGCGAGTATTTGGTGCGTGTCTTGCGGGGTGTTGTGAGTGGGGCGCGGGAGGCGAAGGTGCAACGGGCGCTAAGCGCTGGGCTGTATTTGAAGGTTGATGCCGGGTTTGGGAATAAGGTGGAGAGGCTTGGGGGATGGGTGCAGGATGAGACAGGGATTAGAGGGTTGAAGGGGAGTGGTGGGGGGAAAGAGAATGATGGGGACGATGGTGATTATGAGGAGGAGAGGGATGAGGACGGAGGTGAGACTAGTGGAGGTTTGATCGGGGGAATAATCGTTGATGGGGAAGGCATTTTACGATGAGATGATGCATATTCCTTTCGTGGAATGTAGATTATTGCATATTTAAGTTACCCCTGAAAGTATATTTTGGAGGCGGGTTTATTTCCCGTTCATTTTCTTGGACTCTCCACAAATTTCCGTTTCATATCCGCATAAACATGAAATATGATCATCACAACTCGTCAAAAAAATTAAGAATAACAGAAAACCCACCACAAACCACAACCCAATCAAATCAAATCAGTCAATCAATCAATCAACATCCGGCACCGGCAACCCGTCTAACAACCTAACCCGCATCCCCAACTTCTCCAGCGCCTCCCTGGAATTCCGCTCCCGCAGCGCCCGCGCCTCTTCCTCCGATACCAAGACAAACTCATACTGCAACATAGGCGTACCGAGCGGCACGTCGTATTTCTTCGCCATCTCAGGGTCCGTGAGCGGGTGCAGGTCGACGATGAGCGATGATTTGACGCCGAAGACGGCGTCGGAGGATTCGTAGGGGTCGCCGCGGAGGTAGAGGGCTCTGTATTTCATCAGTATGCGTGAGCGGGGTACATGGATGGATGGATGGATGGATAATGTGAATGGAATCGACATGGCCGTTGTCAATACCCATTCCATGCATCACATCACATCACATCCATTGACAGCGAGATAAAACGCATCCAGCTAGCTGTCCGGATGGTATCTAAAACTAGTTAACTAAGGGAAGGAGAAAGAACATACGTAATCAAACAATCCCACCCCTCCTTCCACAGCATAAAATGCATATGTGCCGGCCGATACGGATGCCTGCCCAGCTTTCCCAGCAGCCTCCCCACGGGCCCATCATGCGAAATCGGATAGGACACGGGCTTGATGGCCTTGAACCAGAACCCGCCCCGTTCATCCGAGTACATCACCCCGCGCCCATCCATGATCCGTTCCTGCCCGCCCACGCCACCGCCCGCGTACTGCACGTCATACCGCCCGCTACTATCCGTCTCCCAGATATCCACCTTGACCCCCTCCAGCGGCTTCCCCGCCCTATCGCGCACGGTGCAGACGACCAACAACGGCTCGCCGGCGCCATCGCTGAAGAGGGCGGCGCCATGATTCTCGAGCGTGGGGGCCTCGTGCGTGTGGAAGGGCCCTAGCAGGGTCCCCTCTGTGGCGCCGGGTGGTTTTGGGTGGTTGATGGCGTCGACGAGTAGCGAGAGGCCGAGGATGTCTGAGAGGAGGATGAACTCGTTGCGGTGCGGGGAGGAGATTTTGCCTACCTCGATGAGGAAGTGGAGGGCGGTGGACCATTCGGTGGTTGAGAGGCGGGTTTCGCGGGCGAAGTCGTGCAGGTGGGTTGTGAGGCGGGCGAGGAGGTAGCGGAGGCGCGGGGAGGGGCATTGGGCGTTTATGAGGTTTGTGTTTTGGGTTATGTTTTCGGTTGTGAGGTCTTTGAGCGGGGGTGGGGGGGTCATTGTTACAGGTTGGATTGAAGTTGGTGTAGGGAGCGTTCTTTGGCAAATGTAATGTACATGTACGGTTATGGGGATGCGTTTATGTGGTGATGCTTGATCCAATATATAAATATATATACTATTAACTACCTATGAAGCAGGAGATATAGAAATGTTTTACAAGGAATGTTTGTCGCCCTTCTTCTGTACACTAGCACCAGTACCAGTGCAAGGCGAAACTAAAGATATCAATTCCTTCAATGACTTGATATAACATTAAATATGTGATAAATTGAATCCATCTTCAAATATATATATCTATATCTCTTCTTCCCCCCAGTCACCCCATCTATATCATATATGACAAGCTTAAAACCCTACTCTCACCACTCATAACAGATCACAGCCATCCAGCCCAGGAAGATGTACGCAAGAGCTAAGATTTGAAGCTAGTTAGTTACTCATGTGGGGTGAAAGAGAATTGATTAAACAAGATACTAACTTCAGAGTACAGACAGGCTCATCCTGTTGCACTGAGTATATAGTTATCTAAATACAATAAACAGCTCAGTTAATAGTTATACAATACTCTTTTCATAAGCAGCATTTCTCAATCTCTTCATACTTCATACTACAACATTCATAGAAATTCAACATAGGAAAGAAAATCTGAAAGAGAGAAAATACTAATAATATCACTCAATGTAAATTCATGTGAAAATATCAAGTGAAATAAAACAGCAGAATATCAAACTCAGCTAAATAGCTAGCTAACTAATTTTTCTTTTTTCTTTTTTCTTTTTTTTCCTTCTTTTTTTCCTTTAGAAATAAAAAAAATCAAACATCTCAACTATTTTCTAAAACTCAAACCTCATTACGAAACTCAATGTTGCTGCCATCTTATCATTCAAATCCATTCATTCAAATCCATCCGTTCATGTATTTCAAACCATGTAAACTCTCATAACTCCCTTATTTCAGTTCCATTTCGTGTTCGCAAAAGGAAAAAAAAATGAGAGGGGGGGGAAAGAAGAGAAAAAGAAAAGAGAGAGGAGAGAGAAGAGTGAGAGAAAGGGAGAGAAAAAGAGAGAAAAAGAAGGGGGAAAAGAATAGCCTACATAGAATAGAAAATGGGAATAGAAGTGTAAATATAATATGATATGCAACGCACAGGGACGGAGGAGGGGGAACAAAACATGCCAGCAAATCACAAACCAGGAATGAAGGGCATTATGACATGTGAGCACATGAGGAAAAGGATAAGATACTGGCTAATAAAGGTAATAGACAAATCATGTACAAAGCCGGGGGAGGGGGGGGTGGTTCTAAAACGGAGTAGAAGTAAATGCAAAATGGAGGGGGTCGGGGGAAAAGGGGGGGAGAGACTTGTTGATGGTTAGAAGAACTGTCACGAAAGATGAGTCAAAAACACAAAAAGAAAGAGAAAATATAACTGCATCGGCATTATCAAAAAAGGAAAAATCACGAGAAGAAAAAATATGGAGATAATATATAAATATATAGATAGACACCCTAAATATCTTCACATAAAAAGGCAAAAACAAAAAAAAAAAAAATATATATATATATATAAATAAAGAAAAGGGAGGGGGCGATTCCATCATTCGTCATCTCGATCTATATCTCTCTCTCTCTGCCTCTCCATTTCCCTCTCCCTATGTCCCGATGACCGCGCCGCTGCAGCTGCAGCAGCAAGGTTATGCTTCCCCATGGTATCCCTAATAGCTTGCGCGAGCGGGTCCGTGGAGTCGTTGTCGTCTGTGTCTGTATCTAACAGCGCTTGTGTATGTGCATGTGGATGTGTATGTTGGTGTTGGTATGAATGCGGATGTGGATGTGAGCGATGTGCTGCTGAGTGCATATCTCCGTGTGTGTTATCATTATTATTATTATTCGTCCACCGGTCGGGCTCGTGCGCCGCCTCCGCTAGGCCCGCGAGCATGCTGTTTTCGCTCTGTGAACGGGGTTTAGAGGTGTGGCGGATGCGTGTTTGTGGTTCGGAGGCGCGGCGGGTATTCGTGTTATTATTATTATTGGTATTGTTGTTGGGGTTGCAGATAATAGGGCCCTGGTCGGTTCCGGCGGTTGAGCCCGCGTCAGCGTTGATACCACCGACATTCGGCGTCCTATTGCCCCGCTGACTCTTACCAAGTTCCGTCGTCGATGCAGACGCTGATGTTTCCGCCTCCGTTTCTATTGTCGGCATCGTTCCATCATGCATATTGCCATTGCCACCGTCTATACTACTTTGAGGACGAGCCAGGTACGTCTCGTGCAGCTCCTCGATTTTAACTTCCTTCCACGAGCACTTGGCGTGTTTCTTCGTACAGCCCATGCAGGCGGTAAGGTTCTTGTGGCAGTCCATCTGTAGACGGCGACAGCGGTCGCAGGGGGGGAGGATGCGTTCGCCGCGCTGGAGGCCTTCCATGCGGCTTACCATTTCGATCTTGTAGGGCCCGCCGTCGTCACGCTCGTAATGGTTGGAGGACTTTGGTTGAGGGAGGAGGGAAGATGGGGTATTGGGGATGGCCACAGGTCCGCTTCCTGCGAAACCTCCTCCATACTCGCCGGGGTCGGAGGCGCGGGGTCGAGAGCGGGAAGTGTGGCGCGCGGGCGGGGCAGGACCTTCTATAACTTCATCATTTTGGTAGCCCCGCGCATGGCGATCGGCTGTGGTGAAGAATTTTTTCATTAATTCTGCACGTGTAGCAGGGGAGGCTCCCTTAATCGAGGTCCCGTTGATTATGGTGACGTTGTCTGTGCTGGAATGAGGGAACATGAATTGCGCTGCGGAGAGGATACTGGCGTCATCGGGGGAGTGTTCGTGTCGAGAAGAAGAATTAACCGCGATGAAGCCCTGAGGGGAGTGAGGGCTCGAATGGCCGTTGCTTGTATGGGCGGTACCCATTCCATTGCCATTGGCTTCGCGGAGTGGACTAATAGACCGCGGTTGTCGTGCAGTGAGTGATAAATCATTTTCTCTCCTGCTCACAATAGCACTCTTGCGATTTTTGAATCTGTGGTTCAGCTGTCTGGCACGAGCCGACACTATTTATCATGTTAGCTACTGCCTACAACAAAAAACGGACATCACATAAAAAAAGAAAATAATTATGTTTCTCTGTTTCTTTCTTTCTCTCTCTCTTTTTTTTTTTTTTTTTTTTTTTTTTTTTTTTTTACCTTGATCAGCCAGATTAATAATCTGCCCCAGATTCTTTTCTAAAATTTCTAACGCGCCCAATTCCTTCTCCTCATCCTCCACGATTGGCTGCGGGGGGATAATCTTCTGAGGAATCCCCGACTTGATCAGGATGTAGTCCTCCTCTGAAATTTCTATGCGACTCTGCTTGGTATATATCTGGCAAACAGGTACTCCATTTCGCGTCTTTTCAAGAGTGAATTGCTCCGGTTTGTTTTTCGCAAACTCGACAACATCGAGCCAGGAGACCGTTGTCCCTTCTTTCCCATGAGATTTTAGCACCTTGGGGGGCCCGTCGAAGAGACGTTCGAAACGAGAGACGAGGATTGGGCCGAGGGGACATGCGCCTAGGTTTCCAGCAATGCTCTCGTGACGCTGGAGTACGCCGTCGTAGTCGTTTATTATACGGAGGATGGAGGGGAGAGTATCTTCTGCAGAGACGAGGGGAATATTATGGGCGTATTGGCGGGCGAGGTAGTTGATTTGGAGATGGTTGGAGTGGGTTTTGGGGATTTTGGTGGAGGGGGTCGAATGGGTATAGTCGCCCGATGGGGATCTGGGACGTTTGTTGCCTGGCTCTGGTGGCATTGTTCTTGACTCCATTGCGACGGGGAAATGCCGACTATGGAATCAAGACAAATTCTCTTCACCCAGCTTCCCGAATGTGAAGTAGATGGAGATATGTATCTGAATTTGCGCACTACGCTTAAAGAGGGCTGGCCAAACGGGGCGGGGTGTAGAAGGTGAGAGGAGGCCTCCTGAGTAGGGGCGCGACAAGGCGTAAAAAAGAGACAAAATCGAACAAGAAAAATCAAGATGAATAGATTCCAGACAGAGGCAGCAGCAGACTAGACGCAAAGGCACAGTCGTAAGAGAAAGGGTTGTTGAATGGGCAAAAATCAGATTATCTATCTGGGTCGTTCACGAGCTGGGGGAATGGAACCGTGTAGGGGGAAATTAGCCGCAACCTCAAAGAGGAACAAGCGGGGGGGAACGGGGTAGAAAGTGAGGAGATAAGAGGATTGGGGGGAGTAAAGTGGATAAAGTTGAGGATTGAACATGAAGATGAAGTTGGAGTTGAGGCGAAGTGGGAATCAGACTGTCCGGAGGAGAGGAGAGGAGAGGAGAGCAGAGCAGAGGAGAGGAGGAGGAGGAGGAGAAAAGGGAGGGAGGAACGGGGGGACGGGGGGGGTGGTGGAAACAGGAGCCGGCAGTGGGTGGAAACAAGAGAACTATGGAAGCAGGGCGTATAAGAATAATAAGGGGGGGAGGGGGGAAAGCAGACAAAGGGCGCGGCGCGGGAACTCGGAACTGTGACTATTACCACTATTACACCTACAAATTACAGTGCGTTACAGGGCGTAAAGTCATAAATACTCCACCCCCCTCCGCCCAGTGCCCACCGAGGAGGAAAGAAGAGAAAAAGCAAAAGAAAAAAAAGGCGCAAACCAAGCCAGAAAAAGGAAACACTAGGTAACTTAGGCGGCGTTCTGTTTGTTGCAGCAGACAAGACGAGCACTTATGATTGAGCTCGGGCATTGTGGTGCATAATAATACTAAAATAATACAAAATAATACTGTGCTAATGGGAGAGAAAAAACCGAGTGGCGCAAACAAACCGCTACAAAGTGCACAAGTTGTTGGCCGCCCCCCCCTGATGTGACACACGGAACAGCGAGGAGAACGAGGAGGGGGGAGGAGTGGAGACCAGCCCAGCCCGTGGTCGTGGAAATAGATGGTGTGGCAGTAGTGGCAGTAGCGGTGCCCCCATTCTCCTCCCCTCCTCGCCCGCTGATTCGCCGGAGCATCAGGCTGTCCTCCTCCCACCCCCGATCCATCCACGGTGCTTTCCTGGTGTATCGAGGTAATAAGAATAAGAATAAGAATAAGAATAATCATAACCATAATCATAACCATAACCATAACCATAATCATAATAATAATAATGAGAGGCGGATGACCTCGTCATGCTGTCCGAACCTATGGCCTGGCCATCTCTACAACTATCACTACTACAATCTATTATTTACTTCCCCATGGTCATTACCTCCTGCTAGGCTCCGGAAACTGATTGATTATATATATTTAGCTGGTGGAAAGAGGTGTGTAGGAAGAGGTGCGGCTAGGATTGAAATACAGTCTACGTACCTACCGGACTCTTGCACCGACCCATATATGAATTATCAGATACATGATACAGAGGCCCCAACCCAACACACACCACGGACACACAGCGGAAGCGACGAAGACGCCGAGCCTGGGCTGACCACCGGGACTGAGGATGCGGTTGTTGTTATTCTTGTCAACTATTCTTTTAAACTTTCCATGCCGTCCCGCCCGGTTAGTTCCGCTGCACTCTCACCACTCAAACATCCCAACCAACCGACCGCCCACTCACCCACCTGCTGAATCTGTGGTACGAAATATACCGAAATATGATACTGTACGGAGTACATGTACAGTACATAACTTACATAGTTACGGGCTAAGTAAGGGTCTCTTATTATGATTTATTAGTCCCACAGAGGGGAAACCTCATTTTTTGTATGCGCGAATTTCTCGGGCAACAACCTCACCACCACCAAACTACTCCAACCCCCATCCATCCATCAATCAACGTCGCGACATTTAATGAAAAAAATAATCCCATCTTCTTATAGTCCTGCCAGGGGGTCTATTTCATTATAGCAACGCGCACACCCACGCAAGCTCCCGTTTTCCTCATGGGGGAACAAAGAAACATTACATACTCTATAACATCCATATCAAACTGGACTAGCCCAGTCATCGGAGTGAGGTTCGGTGTCCCTGTTCAGAAAATCATACCCATCCATCCATCGGCTAAATGACTCCCCTTTGCTTAATTGGCAGGAGTGAGAAGGGGAAGAAGAGGTATAACTATAATAACTGTAACTAACATCGGAGAGGCATTGTTCAGGAAGGATTCCGCTGTTAGTTAGGGGATAGGGGAAACATACAAATCACTCCATGGCGGTGGTGTTAGTAAGTATAAAACCTGAACATTAGATTCTTTATTAATTCAACCGCAAGGTAAGTTAACTCAATAATAGAGTGGATTGATTTATTGTGGACTTGAGTTGGAGGAGGGAAACAAATCTATCAAGCTACTACTTTCCCCCCTTCATCATCATCATTCATTTGCCTCTACCCTTCCTTTCCTTTCAAGTGTCGGGCTCCGAGTTAACTGTCCCAAGAATAAATACTCCGTAGCAAATAAATAATAATAATGAGTTAATCCCGCATCACAGGCTAGCTACATCAAAAAAACATCCAGCCATGTTATGTTGCCGGCCTGCCTGCCCCCGTCTCCAATCCCCAAGCGGCCCGGCACAGCCACAATGGATTGCCCAACTCGCTAAGCTCCTCCGTACTACTGAAACGGGAAACACCAGTACAGTAAACATACCCTCTATAAAAAAAATATATATAAAAAAAAAAAAAACAAATGGTGTCCTTGGATAGATGGGTAGGATGAGCGGCAAGCATCACGAACCACCACCGTCACCCTGGCCGGGCCGGGCCCTCATGCCCCCATGCCCTGTCGCATGCTCGTGCCCGTGCCCGTGCCCGTGCCTGTGCCCAAGGCCCCGCTAACTAACTATCTAAAAACCACATCACGCCAATCATAATAAGTTCATAACTCAACGTTTGACGTTTGACCCATGCCCCCCGCGTTTCCAGGCGGGCCCCCCTTTTCTTTTATGTGTCTACAGCGTATGTGTGTGGCACACTATTTCAGCCATGCCAAAATGGCCCCGCCTTTCTTTCTTCCTTTCTTTGTGCTCCTGCAGCCGGCATCGGTACGGGACCGGTGGAGGTTGGATAGTTGATGTCATTGGATAGGATTTGGGAGGCGGAGGAGGGGGGGTGGGGAGGTGAAGGGATGGGGAAGGGTTTGCGCGCCTGGAGGAAGGGGATGAATGAACTGGATGGAAATGAGGGGCAGTTGGCTGGGTTTGATTTCGTTTTCTTTTTTCTTTTTTCTTTTTTCTTTTTTCTTTTTTCTTTTTTCTTTTTTTTATACAGATGGGATGTGCCGAGGAGGAAGGAGGGGGGCTGATTGAGCATTTGAGTTGATATATTTGTTTGAGGATTATCCCCCCTCAAAAGAACGGGATGCAGAAAAGTTTTTTTCCTGTACTCGAACATCAATTGCTGAACAGCTCCGGTTGGATTTAACGGGTGCGAGTTGGAAGTTGCACCTTTGGACGAATTTTCTGTGAGGGCTGGGGACAATTAGACAATTCCTGCCCGCCACTGCGGAAAAGAATTATGTTCTGAAGTAGAGGGGGGATGGTATGATATACCGTCGAGCGGGTCGTATGGACCATGTGGGAGCGAATCTTGCTCCATGAATGAACGGACTGCATGCCTTTATTTTATCCCCTTCAGGTTGTTCCTTGTCAGAAGCTTATCCAGTAGCCAGAGCCTGAAGATGCCAATGATCGCATCTGGGAAGTGAGAATTCTGAAAGATGACGGTTGTATCGTCCGCTTTAGCGGTGGATCAGGGAGGTAGCTTGTGAAATCGCGATATCGCTAGGGCGCTGGTGCTAACTGGTGCTAATTGCGGGAATTTAAACTTCATGGTTAAAATCAGTTTATTGGGCTGGTGTTGGGGTATAACTACCTATCTATCTACAGGTATTGTGCTTCCCCAAGCTTGACACGCCCCTTTTTATATCAGTTCAGGCAGCTCTTTTTTTTGGACTTTATTCAACATAAATGTGTGACAGACTGGTTTTCAAATATTGAAATGTTTTGCATCGAATGATAATGGGACTGATAGATAAATGAATAGATACTAAAACCTTTAACTATGGTCTGGGTTGCTCATGGAGTCCTAGGCAGACCCCTTTATGCGAACCACGTGACCACGCAATTTCCACCACCGGCTTCAACCTTCAGCATGGAAACACAATTCTACTATGTTCAAATAGAAAAGAATAAAAATCGCCAGGGGGAATTAACTCATCAAGATTAAATACGCATCGTCCAAACTCTGATACCTTCCAACCTCACAAGAACTTTCTTCATAAAAGCAACACCAACCAGTATGCCGCTCTCATCATACAACGTCAAACACGACAGTGTCACATCCGTGTACGTCTGGCCCATAAGGCTAGGAAGCCTAACTTTCGCGTGAGCCACCAGCTTCTCTTTTGATCCTCAACGCCGCCTGTGGTTTATTCCTTATGCCAAGCTCCAGGCAAATGTCCAGCAATGCACGTGGGCAAGGCTCCTCATCTGAGCCGCTAGCGAGCTCAACAAAAAACGTCCATAGGCCGATTTCCAGCAAACAGACGCCTAGACTATAGATGTTGTGCTGCATCTTGTAGTACTCCTGTGGTCAGAGACCCTGGCGGTGTGGGTGTCTGTACAGATTTCAATGCCAGACCACGTCCGCGAATCGGGCTGAGTGGCCCGATGAGGGCTGTAATTGCTCAAAACCGATCAGGTGGGTTGGCTCATTTCTCCTATATTTTCTGGCAGCAGGATTATGGTTTCGGGCCGGATGTTCTTGTGCACGCAGTTGGCGGTGTGGAACGATAGGATTGCTCGAGAGAGTGATTTGCTGATTCGCAATTTTGCATCTAGGGATGGGCTGTTGTTCTCTTGTTGTTGCTGGAGAAGAGAGCGTGGGTTTGAGGAGAGACTTGTCGTGGAAGTGAGAGTACATACTGGAATTGCCTATTATTGGACCGCAATACGCCCAGACATTTCAAGAAGCCGAGGGAAAACGGGTCCGAAATGGATAAAAGCTGTGAAATCTCTTTGACTTGGCTGAGAACGATATTTGGATCTACAGCATCCTGAATTGCTGTGTGGTCCAGTAGTACTGTTTGCGCAGTTTGTGCAGCGGTTGCGAGGCACAGGGAGGAGCCACCTGCCAGTTCACGGTAATTTGATAGGTAATCTGTAGACAGGATTGATGATAGCTTTGATCAGGGTCTAAGTGGTGTGGGTGAAGAGGAATGAACAATTGCTCTAATTTCCTGGACGGTTGTGACTGTTTGCGCCATGGGAACTTTCCCCCACCGTCTGCTTGAGTACAATCATCGACTTTGCCGCTAACAAGCCGTGTTAGGAGGTACCCGGATGGATCGAATATTGAATGCCACTGTTCAAGGTCCGATATCAGGCCCTCTAGTCGCTGTTTAAGCAGACTGTACTTTGCCTTGGTGCGCTTACTCAGGCCAACAATGTCCCGATAGAGACGGCCCACCGCGATGCCTTGAGAATGATTAGAACCAGTGTAGCTCTCCAGCAGCACGGAGGGCATTGTGTAATTTTGCCCTCAGTGTGTCCAGGCATTCCTTCTGAAAACTTTATAGCCTGTGGTGATTGGATATGTTGAGGTCTAGAATAACATTAATTTGTATTTCAGGTTTGAGTCAGACACCTTCAACACAAAGGACAAGGTCCCTCAAGCCATTCTCAGTGCTCTTGTACACTTGGATGAACTTGATGATATGTTTTCTGTACCTGCCATGAGTTGTTAACTGGCTTAACTTCTGGAAGACATTTTGGTGTATGATTTATGGATGAACCTTATCGCAAGTTCTCCAGCTGCTGTCACCTCCATCAATCTGTTCCACCAGACATGTAAAAGAATTTGCGATTTCACAGACAACCTCAGGTTTTGTGGGCATGAATATGGTCGATTTCTTTCTGTTATAAATGGGCTATATGATGAGATATATAACTGAGAGTTTTTATTTTTATTTTTGTTTATAAAAACTCTCAGTGCTTTTCAAGGGCTGATTCTTAAACCAACCTCCTGCAGCTCTGACTGAAACAACTTTTGTGGCGGGGTTTAGAAGCCAGTCCAGTCCAGTGACAACCAACCAGCGACTCAGAACTCTAATTTTGAGCTGTCTAACTCTCTTCCATTCGCGTCGTTATTTTTGATACTGCCACACCCCTGGTAACGTTAGGGTTCTTGGATGAGATCTTGTCTCCCCGCATGGATCCACTTGGACCCAAGTGGGGTCAGCATTCTTCAACGGGGAACGAAACTCGATGTTACATTGTCAACGGCGACACTTTTCTGACCGGACAGGAGGGCTCCGGAATGCGGTAGAAGCGAGAACATAGAAGCGTGCAAAGGAGCTTGGGAGAGGAGGTTTTGGCATTGTCTACCTCAAGGACAATGAATGTGGTAATCAGAGGGCAGTGAAAGAGGTTCCCAAATCTCTGGGGCAGAAGGCAGCAGCTATAGACTCACTTTGTGGAATCACGGCGATGGCTGCGTTCTCCAAGGTACGACAGAAGCTTGATTCTTCCCCAATTGATTTTAGGCTAGATTGTTCACCGATATGAAATACTTCGAACAGAATGAGGCCCATTTCGTTCACCTCGAAGGGTGGTTCCAGAACGATAAGCACCTATACATCGCTATGAAATATTTCCAGCTGAACAGCTGTTTGCTTCATGCATGCGAGAGGATTCACTCACCGCGACCTAAACCCAGCGGTAAGTCTTCTACTGATGCGATTCAAGAAATATTTCGTCTTCTGGTTTATAACAAGTGCGCATAGAATGTCTTTGTTAGTAAGTCGCCCTTCTGGTGGGTGAAGCTTGCAGACCTGGGAATTTCCAAGCGAGTGCCAGGAGATTCAGCAGCTCTCTACATTAGTTTTGATGGTAGTTTCATGGCCCTAGAAATTCTTGGTTTCGGACCCGATTCAGATGCAGGCCAGTACACCAAAGCAGTGGATATGTGCGCATTGGGGAGCCTAGCCTACTGGTTACTAACTCTGCAAAACCCTGTACCTCGGTAGAACTTGTTTGCTATATGCAGCGATAAAAAGGGGTTATCAGTTGACAAGCTACATTCACACAACACCAGTAATGATGGAGCTGATTATATTACATCGCTGGTTAAGGTTGACGCATCACAAAGGATGGAAGCGTTTACGACATTGGCTCATCCTTAAATCTGAGGCACATCACTACCTACCAACATTACAAAATTTTCAAGATGAGGGACAATCCTTAGCAAAACAGGGGGTTAAAAACCTCAAAAGTTCCCACCGAAATTCCTCGCTCATATCTGGCCAGAGACCAAATCGACGAGGAGTTTACACCAACCCGCAACCATACTTTTTCGAAAGTTTCGGATCCTACGGGGCAACAGGATGGAAAAGTCGATGAGGACCTTATGGAGCAGCTTGAATTCATTGCTCGCGTCGAACCCGAAACTGCTCAAGTTTCCCGGACTCGGGCCGCCCAAAACCAAACCGGGCGAAATAATAGTGCAAATATATCACGCTCCGGCAGTGATACGCAATCGCCGCTTCTAAAGGAGACTTCAAGTCGTAGATCTAGCGAGCGGGCTATTTTCTGCTCAAGGGAAATATCCTTCTACTCACCTCCGAAGTCCTAGTAGTATCAGAGGCCAGGCGGACAGTGTCAGTGACGAAGAGTTCGATGTCATTCCGTACACTCAAGAAATATTCTCAGGGCATCTAGAGGATGTTACGCAGTCACAGCGATCCTCCGATAAACGCAATCGCACGCAACAAAAGATTGAAGATGAATATTTCAGGTGCCGCTACTTGATGATAACTCTCGAATACCGGACTTGACGAAGGAGGAGCCACAGCTGCAAGGCTCGGAACACTCGAAAACGGATCACGGATCTGTTCAAACCAACAATGCAGGATCCAACAAGCTATTCCGTTACCCGCCGTTGGATAGGCAGCCACATTCTCCAGATCACAGTCCAGAGACCCATTTTAGATATCCTTTCAAGGATATTCGGCAAGATCGAGGAGCAAGTTTTGCTGCGCGTAGATCCAATGAAGGCCCTAGAGACAACGTCTTCCAGCGCAATAAAGTCCGGGGTACAAATCCGCGATCAAAGCAGAGTGGTCAATTCCGTGCTAGCGAAGAGCGGAGGCCCACTCTGGAGCATTCCACGGTAAAAATTATCCAGGAGAACGAACATATAGCCATCACGGGGGTCCCGATGGGAAATTTCGATATTCCCCGAAGTTTATCGATTATAGTGACGACCGGCATATGGAATTTTCGCAAATACTACAGAGAGAAAATGTCCCTGTTGCGGGGCCGGTATCAACCCTATCTCGCCTCAGGCAACCGAACGATGGTTATGCCCTCACAATCGACGGCACTGGACGAAGAGAGGCCGTGCGGGACACTCGCGGGGTTTGGTGATGATAGCCGGCGATACAATTCTTTGCTTCAAGGCAATAAAGTGGACTCTAGCAACGTTAACACGGGAGGTGGTATTCATTCTGGGGCCGAATGTCGAAACCCCCAGCGACAGTTCACCCTGAAATCGAGCCCGGCATGAAAGAAGGATCAAAAGTACCAGTTCAAGGTTCCGAATCTGCGATATGGCCTTGTCCCGTTCAGGACTGCCAATTCACCATCGTTGAGAAGGAGCACCCAGTCTTTACACCTGAGGATGTTCGTACCACGTGGCCCTAGAAACGCAAAAACAATTTGTGGAAAGACGCTGAGGATTGTTCCTGAGCATCCGGATGCGCAGATACTGAAGTTGCTGGCTTTGATATGCCGCCACTAACTGACTCTGCAAACGCGGAAAACTGTTAGTGATGATGTGCAGTCATTATTTGTTACCTGGTCCAGTTGATGTACCCAATTCGCCGTACATTTGAATGCGGGAGTGCGGTGGCTCAGACGTATCAGGTTTCTAGCTAGATTGACTTTTAACATATTTTTGGTTCGGAAGGGCTAGTTATGTTCTCCCTATTTAATTAAAGTTAACTCCTGTCATACTCAATGCCTTTTAACAGATTATTTCGAGTAATGGATTCTTTCATATATCTAGCCCCTCACCCCTTCTGGCTGATTAAAAAGAAATCCATTCTCTTCTGCTGCTGATTCTCATAGTCTAGTACCTAGCATGATCTAGTCAGAGTGGACATTCCTCAACTTCCTACCTTCCTTGGAGTTCCAATGCAAAAAAAATACTAAATCATCAAAAGGTCAACCTATCCATTTCATGTATTATTATTATTATGACCAGGTCGGTCAGCTAGTTGATAAATACGGAGTATATTCAGACAGTGGTGCACAAGCCACAAAAACTATGTATGTCTGCAAAAAGAGGATATTTTGTTATTTTATTTGCTCTTCTTGCTCCCTTTGTCATCCTTGCTCTGGGTTGTTTAATTTCATCAAGAGAGTCAGGGCGGAGGTTGGTTGATTGTAGCTCTTTTTATAAACGTGAGAATTGCACCTCGCTTAAAGCACTGTACGGAGTAGTAATTAATCAATAGAAAGGACAAGTTTAGCAAAATCCTGCTATGCCATCGACAACCCGCGGAGATTTTGTATCCAGCTAGGCAGACAGACAGATGTACGGAGGTCTCTGTTCTGTCTTTTGGATTTATCGCGGGATGAGAATGCGCTAGCTAACCACCACCGTCCAGAGAACTTCTTGAGATGATCACAATATTGCCGAGATAATGCTTGGAACCACCTTGCAGAAAAGCTGCTGGCTGAACTCACCCTGCGTGACATCAATGACAAAATTTATAGAAGCCTTGTCAAGGGCGAAATTCCCGGCCTCTTTCACTAGGCACCAAGCATCCGGTTCACTTCTTGTCTCACGGATCTCGCTAGCTCGGGGTGCAGCCAGCTAGCTATGCAGCTAAGTTGCTAGGCTACGACGCTGTTAGAGATCCCAGCAAGCCTTTTCACAGCTCTGTTAGCCCCTGGGGCTTCACCCGCAAAGCCACAGCAAGCCACAAAGTTGCCGCGAAAGTGACAGCCTGGAGCTCTCGCTTGCAATTCAACCTTGGAAGACGCCCTTCGTGTTGTCCCTCCTGGGAGCTTAGTTCCCGCTTTCGCGATGCAATACGAGTCACCAGAGAAATGGACAGCACCACACGGCGTTCTGCCAGGCAATGGGATCCTGCCTCGGAATTATTTGTGATGACTCCCGTCATCCAATAGCTGTTGTGCTGGGCGCATCCCGGCTCAAGCAGCTTCGAAAGCTTCCTGGAATGAACAGCGAATCCTTCGCAAACCCCGCGTTCACAATGCGCCATTGAGGTACGGGCTCTGTTCCGCTGTCCAGACCAGGCTGGCAAGATAAAGACTCGCCATCTCCCTTTCGTTTTTTCATGGCCGCCTACTTTCTTGCTATACCTTGGGTAAATTTATATTTCTAAATTATTTTGTGGGCGACTTCGTTCCTGTCTGCCACTTCGTACGTATAGCTGTCACATAGTCCCTGCGACTGCTTCTCTGAGGCAAACTTTCCGATTGCTAATTCGTGCGATAGCTACACATTGACTTGCTTCCCTTTTAAGTTTTCCAGCTCTTGCATACTCGCTCCCTCCAAAATGAAGGTGGATGTTTCCGAAACCCTCTGGAGGTGGAGATGCAAGGTGACAGGTGCCGGGCAAAATGAAATGTCAAATCTCACCATTTCGGGCGTGTCTTCCAAACCTCGAAAGACCCCTGCCTCACCCGAGAAGGAGGTAGAGCAGGGATCGTCTGCTGTTGTTAAGACACTATACGAGGGTAAAAATAGCACCAGTACCTATTATGACTGGCAGGACTATCCACCACGGCAGCAACTGAGCAAAAAAGCTGCCAAGGATAACGACCGTGTGGCAATCGTCGTTTACAAAGCCAAGGATACTTCCAAACCGGTAATATCTGGTCGCTTCAGCCTCAAATACCACGCCATCGATATCCAAAGCCCAATCCTTGTCTCAGCGCTCAAGGATATCCTGAAAGAGGATGAAATTTATCTCGAAGGGAGCGAAGCTGCGAGGTTCGAGGAACCGTTCAGCGCTCTATATTTTCGATCGGACGAGATTTCTGAGTTGTATAGGAGCACAGAACAAGATAGTCCTCTCAAAGTTCATCTTGAACTCCTGGTGAAAATCATGGGAGATATGTTTACCCAAACCAAACTCCGTGTGAAACGCTTGCAAGACAGCGGTCTCGTGTCGTGGAGTCTTGCATGGGCCTACTTTCCGAAGGGTGCCTACGTGTACAGTTGGGAAAACAATCGCGAAGTTCTAACAAAAGTTGTGGAAACGAGGTACGAAAAGGGAGGGTTAGTGCGGGCGCTTTTCATCAAGTGCAAGATTATAGTCTTCGATGGCGAGAATTTTATCTGGGAAGATGTGACTTTGGATCTTCCCATTTTCACTGGAAATATGCCCATTACCGATCTTCCTCATTACCCCATGCGGTTCCATGAAAAACCAGATGCCGTCATTGCCAGGCTGAAGGCTAGAGCTACAGGCGTTCTTGACCTACAAGCCCTTCGTTACAAGACTTACACGGACATTGCTTTGGATTGCAAAGGGAGAAGGCACAATGTATGCTTCTAAGATACCTGAGCATTGCGTTCGGAAAAGTCCCCGCTGATGTCTTGTTTAGGTTGATAGTAGAATCCTTGTCGACACTAGGGGATTCAAGAAGTATGAATTAAAAGAGCCTACTAAAGAAACGAAAGACCCTGAGTATCGAAAGAAGCTAGTACTAAAACCTGCCTCCACGCCCCTCGAAGATGTGGATCATAATGATCCCGCCTCTAGCCAAGGGACGCTCCACGAGAGTGCCTCGTCATCCACCACCACCAAAGTATATCTTTCAGAGGAAGAACAGCACAAGAACAAGGAGGGAATGCTCAAAATTGGTGATGACTTGGCTCTCCTGCAGCATATAGTTCACGGATACGCGTTGAGAAACAAAAAATGGTGTAAGTTTTCCAATAGAAAGGGACTGGTAGTAACATTAGCTGAGACTGTTTAAAGTGATGTTTTACGTTGACGAGCTCAAACCTGTGGAATGGAACGACGAAGCTTACGGCCATCTGGTGTACGACCAACAACAGAAGGATCTGGTTCTATCTTTTGTTGAGAATCACCATGGCACACAACGCCAGCATGATGACGTTATCGCAGGGAAAGGTTGGTTGGAAATCACAATTTGGAAGAGAGAGGCTCATACTAACTGTCCAACTCTCTAGGCCAGGGGCTGAATATTCTCCTGAGCGGCCCTCCTGGCACTGGGAAAACGTTGACCGCGGAGGCTGGTGAGTACAAAGTCTTCAATATATCTTTATCTTTTCCCTGAACGAGTAAAACATGCAGCCGCTAAACTGATGTATGTACAACCAGTTGCCGACAGATGCCGCCGGCCCCTCTTCTATCTCCAAGCTGAGGACTTGGGAATCATGGCCAGTGAGCTTGGCGAGAACATTAAGCGAGTCTTCGAAATGGCAATCGACTGGGACGCCGTAATTCTACTCGACGAAGCCGACGTGTTCATGTCCGAGCGCCACCCCAATGACATCGCCCGCAACGAACTCGTCTCGATCTTCCTGCGCGAAATCGAATATTATAGAGGCATCATTTTCCTGACGACCAATCTGTACGAAACCATCGACCTTGCCTTCCGATCACGCCTCAATCTGCACCTTCTATTCAGCCCCCTCACGCCAGAAACGCGCGAGGTCGTTTGGCGGAAATTTCTGGAAAGGATGCCGCCCATGGCGCCGCGCCCTGCTGAAGTAGAATCAGAAGCAGGTGGGGAGCAAGAAGTAAGAAGCGCAATGAAAGATATTACGGGCGAAGATTTGAAGGAGTTGTCCATGTGGCAGCTGAATGGGAGAGAGATCAAGAATGCGGCGAAGATGGCTAAGTCCTGGTGCGATTATAAGGGGTATGACATGACGCTGTCACGGATTGAGAGCGGGATTAAGGTTACGGCTCCGCATAGTTTGAAGCGGGATCATACGAAGCCGAGAGAATTGTATGATTAGAGAGAGAGAGAGAGAGAGAGAGAGAGAGAGAGAGAGCGTGTGTGTGTGTTTTGCGGGACTGGATGATAGGCTAACTGGGGGTACTGTTTCGCTCTCTTTCGCGTGCTTTCTTTTTGATTCTCCTTGTATATCTCTCCGAGTTGAAGAAGTTAATCGATACCTGTCGTCTAATTCCAAGAGGATTTTCTTTCCATCTATTAATCTCCCTAGTACAGAATGAGTTGTCATATGCAGCTATTTTCCACCACCCACAAAAATCATTGGCTCAGTTGATAATGCCACATCAAACATGCTTGTAGTAGATGTTTCTGATATACAATATCCCCATCCCACCGGGATCTACATCAGCACTTTGTAACTTAACTCCGTATTTAAACTCATAATTGGGATATAACGGGGCTCCAGCCACACTGTGGCTCATTAGCTCCAAACCCCCAGCGGACCTGAAAAAGCTCGCGAAGATGGAGGACATTTTCTCTTTTTCATAAAATTAAATTTTAGTCTCTTATCCACTCAGTCTCATTCGGAAACGGCGAAAGAAAGGGAAGAGGGTGAATAGGGCGAACAAAGAACCAAATAGCCACGCACTTTCGCCTAGTTCCACACGCCATCCAACTTGCACCAACCAAAAATTTGAACAACACCCAACCAACATCAACCTCACTCCCTCCCCAATCCTATCCTGGCCCCTTTTTTCCACACCCCTCCAAACTTCGCCCCTCTTCACTTCCTCCAGGCCCATAAAAGGCCAATTCTTTAAATCCCATCTACCTAAACATTAAATAAACCACTCCCGCCCATGTCCGAACGCAGCTCTTTCCGGGGTGGTCCCCGGGGTGGTGGTGGTGGACGCGGCGGAGGTCGAGCTGGCGGCGGTATAGGCGGTTACGGCTACCGTAGCCATCGAGGTGGCGGTGGCGGTGCATCATATCAACAGCAGCAGCAGCAGTCTGGCGGAGTTCAGGGCGGGCAAGGCTGGCAGCAGGGTCAGCAGCAGCAGCAGCAGGAGAAGCCGAAGAAGGAGAATATTTTGGATCTAACGAAGTATATGGAGAAGGAGGTTTGTGTCAAGTTTAATGGGGGTAGGGAAGGTTAGTGGTTTTTTGTTTTTTTCTTTCTTTTCTTTTTGACATTTTTTCTCCTTTTAGTCTCTCCTTTTCGATGCTTCCTTGTTTTTTGTTGAGTTGGCTTTCTTCTGCCTTCATGAATAAAAAAAAAATCTGCCTTGTTGGAGGGGCTGCGGTCTTTGATATTCTGATACGAGGGCTTTGGGCCCATCATGGGCGTGCTGCATATCCAGACTATTCTTCTGTTGAAATGCACATAATATCCATATGGAAATATGCTCCCACAGGATCAATTCTCTCATGTCCCAATCGCTACACATCATTCGTTTGGATGCAGTATGCCGCCTTCTCAGTGAGCATGGAGCCATGCACCTATCGTCGAAACATGTTCGGGGGCTGGTCATACATACACCCGCTCAAGCCAGCTGAGCTCGACTAGTACCTTCGATTTTCACGCTTTATACGCACTATGGACGTTTCATGTCCTGCCACTTGATGAGAAAAAGGCCAGCTAACCAAATTTACCTTCCCTCTCAGTAACCGGCACTCTCAAGGGCTATGATCAACTCATGAACCTCGTCCTCGATGATGTAAAAGAAACTATGCGCGGTAAGTACATGTACCTCACAAACGCGGTCTGCAGAGATATAGGCATCTAAGAACGAACTAACTATATCCCCCGCTCGCCCCGGTGCAGACGACGAGGGTAACCAAACAACCCGCTCCCTCGGCCTCATCGTCGCCCGCGGCACATTGCTTGTGCTCATCTCGCCCGTTGATGGCAGCGAGGAGATTGCCAATCCGTTCTTGCAGGCGGAAGATGAGTGATTATTGTGTGCTCTTGTGTGTTTTGTGGTTTTCAAATTTGGCTCTTTGAGGGTTAAATTTTGTTCGTTCCCTTCTTTATTCAGTTTTTCGTTATATTTTATTTTATTTTTCCCTTTTCCCCATTATTTTCCAGTTCAGCAGCTTTTCTTGGTTTCTGTGATGGCGTTGCCTGCATCGGTGCTGCGTGCTGTGCTGTGCTGGGTTTTGATGTATTATTACAGTATTCGAATCTTTTCTATTTCGAAGATACAATAACGCGGAAATGCGACGTCATGCTATGTTATGATTTAACATTCCCTTTGTAAATTAATATGAAAGCAGATAAATCCATGTGATATCAAAAATACTTCACTTAAATGGAGTTCTGAGACAAAATAAGGATTACTAGCTAGCTGCGTTCTCCGCATTATAACTATAAAAGACACTTCTCATTTGCATTAACTATTTGCGACTCCATATTTGCGTGTTGAATGCTAATAACTACCGCCCTCCGGATAAAACATTGACCTATCTGTACCTAACATCGCTATGTAGATAAACCCAGTCCCAAGTCGAAACAAAAACATCGCCAAAAAAAAAAAAAAGAAAAAAAAAAGAAAAAAAGAAAAAAAAAAGAAAAAAAAGAAAAAAGAAAAAAAGAAAAAAAGAAAAAAAGGACTCGACAATTAGATATTTCCCTTTCTCTTCGGCGTTCATTTTTTCCGTTTTGCCGTTTCTTTTCCTTGCTCATCATATCCTATCCTGCCGGCCGCTCTAAACCCTGACTCCAAAAGGAGGTCTAATCCAACACATCCAACCAATTTCCAAGTTTCCTGAGATCCGAATCCCTCTCTCCCCATCCCATCCCATCCCATCCCATCCCATCCCATCCCACCCCGTCCCGTCCCGTCCCCCAACGCAAACGAATTGGGTGATATATAATAACGATAAAAGAGGACGGGAAAAAAAAGCACAAAACGAGGCCAACAGCCCAAATCAATCAATCGCACCAAAAGGGGCTTAAAATAGGGATAAAACGCAAGCCAATAGCTTTTTAAGTCCTCCTCGGATGCTTCGTCAACGCCTGAAATGATGATTCCACCGCCTTCTTCAACTCCTTATAACTGACAATAAAACAGCTCTGCTCATCTCGGCTGATCAGTGTGACTTTTTCTTCAGTCCCCGCATCCAACTTGTTCAAGCACGTAAGCACGTGCGCCAAGTCGACGACGGGTGCATTTTGAGCGTCGACTTGGTGGAACACGTAGTCGCGAAATAGTTTGAGGACGTAACGCTCGCCGTTTTCGGCCCACTGCGGGTCATGTTCGTATTCGGGGCGTTCGTTTATGAAATTTAGTTTTGTGAGTAGGCGGACGAGGCGCGCGTTTTCGAGTTCCCGGCTGAGATCGGAGGTGAGTTCGTCGTCGAGGTGGAGGGCGGAGTCGAAGGTGGAGATGAGCTGAGAGGAGATGCCGGTGACGAAGAGATCGATGCTGCGTTCCTGGTCCATTTGCAATGCCCCCAGCAGCCAGAAGATGGAGTTCTTTAATTGGGGGGTGTATGCACGGCTAAAATGTTCCATGGCTTTTGTGGGATTATGCACGACGGAAGGTGAGTTTGCGCCCAAGGTGACGATCAGTTGGCCAAAGTTTACCAAATCTTGACTCTGGAGCTCTGCAGTTGATCGTTGGGAGTCATGCTGTACCACGTCTAGAATTGCACATGCGTTTAGTCGGATGCGATTTTTACCTGTGAGTAAAACCTTGCTAGGATCGATTACTCGTGCTGCCAATCCTACACTATGGATTGCCTTTAAAGCAGATGCAATTTGAGTGACGTAGCTCCAGAGGATTTGTTCGGGGATATGTGTACCCGCCTGACGAGCCTGATATCGGCCAGTACCACCAAGGTGGTGTTCTGCCAGCGTTTTGGACATAGGATGGTAGTCAGTAACAAATATTAGGGAGCTGTCTTGGAAACAGCGGGTGGTAAATGCGTCATGGACCGTGACTACACTGCCGTTGCATACGCGTTTCCAATTTTGGACTGATCGGATGGCCTTTTCGCTAGTCAAGCGGAAACCTATTAACAATATTGTAAGTCGAGAGTCAACAGGGGGAAGAATGTTTAGTCGGACAAACCTTCCAGACGCCTAAGAGCGTAAAAGTTTCCATCTTTACTTGATTGAGCTTTGTATACCCAGCTGGGATAGCCGAAAATTGCCGCATTCTTCTGGTGGGAAAGATCGAGTGGCACCAGAGAGTGAAAATGGTCTATCTGCGCCGGAAGTTGAGAGTCTTTCAGAGGAGTTAGCAACCGGGACACGTAGTACGAGCAGGAATTAGCTGTACGCTAGGAAGACATACTGGGAAGAGTCTGCAGTGTGGCCGCTGCCTTCTTCTGTAATTCCTCTCGAAAGTCATTTGGGAGGAACAAATCATGGACATTTCTTTGGTAGCCTAATATATTCGTGTTATGTGGTCCGATGGGTGCGTAGAGATGGTATTGAACCTATTGTAGGTTAACTTTGCCGGTACCTCCATAGACTGAAGTAGGTAGACATACTGGTTGTTGGAAAGTGCTCTGAGGACCGAAGTACGCTGCTGCACCCAAAGCGGAGGGATCGTGGACATATGGGTTCGGAGTAACTTGAGGACCCACTGCACCAGGTGTTGTTAATGGTGTTGTGGAGGGTCCAATGAAGGGATCATAAGCGCCTGGGGGTATTCCTCCATTCCCGTTGCCCTGTAAACTGTCCTATACAGTGTTAATATCCGGTGATATTGTGAAACATACTCAAAAAGCGAATGTAAGACATATAAGTATAGGAAGCTCTCATATTCAAGCACATGAAGGGATAATAAGAATAAGTGGGATATTGCAGTTAGGGAGGGTTAGGATACTGCAATCCACTGCGTACTATAGATGCGATAGGGAGGCAACATGACGAATAAGGAGAGGGGCATTCTCACCACCTGAACTGCATCGAAGCCTTGCGGAACAAAGTCTGGAATATCTGCAACAATCCATTCCGGAGTAGACGTATCTTGGCGAATAGGAGGTGTAGATGCATTTGACCCTGAAGCTCGCTGTCAATTAAAGTGCGTTACAATTGCTTGCTCTGGGGAGGTGGCATCGCACGTGAGATTATGCCTTTGGGAAGAAACGGGGCCGCGCTGGCAGCCTTCGGTGAAATGGTAGTTGTGGCTGCGGGCTTTTTGGCCCCAGAGCCATTTAGAAGCGAAGGGGTGAAGCTAGGAGAATCGACATTGAGTCGTTTCTTGCTGTTGCCAGTATCAGCGAACTGAATGAGCCTTCAGCATCAGATACGGCAGGAAAATAGAGTCGAGCGAACCTTTCAGTGCTATGCGAGGGGTTTCCCCTGTGCGGGTCATGGTTAAATGCGCAACCTTCAAAATAAACGAGTCAACGACGTTCCGAACAAAGAAATTAAAAAAATTCAGTATATCCATATGCAGTTCCTGATACCTTTATCTTCGTAGCGACATCGACCGTAAATTGTCACGTTACGACACAGGGTGTCTTTCGCATTCTCTGGGGTTACGAAAACAATCAGTACAAAGATCCGCAAATGCGCATGCCTCCCAACAATCGCATTCAATTTCTATAGGCAATAAAACTCGTAAAAAGCAATTGTAAAGAGTGTATATAGATGCAAGTTCCCGCTACATACCGCGACCTTTCAGCTTCGGCGATCCGGTGCTTCGTCTGGAGTCGTCCAAGTTGGCCTTGGTTGTTGCCGAAGCCATAACCGCAGATCCAGCACAGCTCAGCACCAAACAGGCTCCATTGACTCGAGAGAAACAGAATCCAACAAATCGGAATGTCGAGACGCAGTGACAATGAGTCGCATTCCAGATAGGACGTCACTGGGGGGTTCAGCGAGTCACTGCATATCCATGACACGGCGATAGATCACAGTCGTCGAGGATAGAATTTGAGGATCGGAAATAACCAGGACTAAGGGTGCACAGTTAGCACTCGAAGGACGAGATGACGGGAAGTGCCAGTCACAGCGGGATCAGCCGCACGATGATGTCGGTGATAGAACCGAAATGAAAATGCGGCGGCGAGCTTTTTGCGCTGATACCGATATAGCAGCAGGGCAGTCACTTGACTTGGGCTTAGTCAGGTAGCTTGGACTGGACCCTGGCGGGTACGTGACAAAACGAGACAGCAGTCTTGAATGCGTTTTTGTGGCCATCTTGCCTAGGATTACAATTCCATACCAGCTCGTATTAAAACCGGGGCCAGCGCTGCTTAGATAATCCGTGCCCAGAACAAACAAGCGGTACTTAGTTATCAGCCTCAACTCGTGCTTCGTGGGCCGTAGTAGAGCTTCAAATCCGCCTCCAGCATTTGCTGCGTCTGCTTTCTATTGCTACGAGTTGTATATTTAATGGGGCTGTCTCCCTATTACTCCGGTTGTTGTTTTTGACCAAATTGACTCCACTTTCTCTACGTTCCCGAGCTGCTCATCTATGACATGACAACATATAGACCTTGTTTAAACACGCTCATATACACCGATCACTAAAAGCATTGAATGGAGCTTGACGGTCAGTCGCAATAATGCCCAACGAAGAGGTAGACATCTCTCAGCTATCTTCGAGCCAGCAAAGTGCCCTGCAAACCTTTATCGCCGTTACCGGTGCGGAAGAACTCGCTGCTATCCAGCTTCTTCAACGGTCGGAATGGAATACCCAGGTAATTTCAACTTCCTTGAGATCTATTATTATCATAGATTAGAACGGAGTCTCTGACAGTTTATACTAGATTGCGATCACTAAATTTTTCGATGGTGAAGGCCCAGACCTTATCTCAGAGGCGCAAGCTGCCTTGAATAGCCCGCCTGCGCGGCCGCCACGAACCCTTCAGAACCTAATGAACGGCGATGACGATATCCCTCTCCGAACTCTTTCCACAAGACGCACAGTTGAACTGGCACCGCGAATAACAACACAACCAGCAGACCAACCTACCTATCGCCCTCCGTTTTTACTCGCCATATTTTTCACGCCTTTCAGCCTGCTTTACAAATTGCTCTCCAGCTCCTTCGGACTTTTTGGGACGCTCTTCCCGTTCCTACCGCGGCTACTGAATGGGTTGCAAGGAGCAAGACGAGATACAGGTGGGCGGAGACCATTGGGCCCAAAGGACACTGCGCTCCGGTTCATCCGAGAATTCGAAGAAGAATACGGAAGTCACTCCATTCCATTTCTCGAAAATGGATATAACATGGCCTTGGAAAAGGCCCACCAGGAATTAAAATACCTATTTGTTGTCCTACTGTCTTCAGAACATGACCTTACGAGCAGTTGGGTTCGAGACACCCTCCTTTCCACGGAGGTTGTGAACTTCATCAACGATCCAGCCAATCAGATCTTGGTTTGGGCCGGTAATGTCCGAGACTCCGAGGCTTATCAAGTTGCCAGCAGCCTTGGATGTACTAAATTCCCCTTTTTCGGGCTCATAGTGCACGACCCGAGTGTGTCTCCATCCGCGATGTCTGTAATAGCAAAGCTTCCCGGCCCGAGCACCCCGTCTGAAGTTACAGAAAAGCTTCGTTCAGCGATCGTTCAGAGCAAACCCTCACTCGATCGTGTGCGCGGTACTAGGGCCGAACAGCAAGCTTCGCGGACGATCCGACAGGAACAGGATTCCGCATACGAACGGTCACTTGCGCAGGACAGAGAGCGCGCCCGACAGCGGCGAGAGGCGGAAGCTGCGCGCCAGCGTGCGGAGCTAGAAGCTCAGGAAAGACAGGCTGCCGCTGAAAAATTAGCGAGAGATCTACTGCAGTGGAAACGATGGCGGGCGCAGTCGATACCGGATGAACCTCCCGCGACTGATAAGCAGGCAGTTCGCCTGAGTATCCGACTGGCATCGGGCGACAGAGTGATTCGACGATTTTCAGGCTCCGCGAGTATTGAGGAATTGTATGCCTTTGTTGAATGTTATGACGTATTACACACTAATGGGGAAGAGGGAGAAGCCTCGGCGTCGGGAGATGTCCAACCTCCTGAGAACTTTGAGCACAAATACGGCTTCCGCCTTGTTTCGCCGATGCCTCGTGTAGTGTACGAAATCGAGGCTAATGGCTCTATTGGAGAAAAAATCGGCAGGGGAGGTAATCTATTAGTTGAAACCATCGAGGATGATGATGATGATTAGGAGGAGGAGGAGGACGATGTTGATGATTATGCCGAAGCAGCTTTCGGGGTGGTCCCGAGCTCCTAATAGGAGATTAGAGTATTAATGATTTGAGGTCTGGATTAAGTAGGGATTTCTCTTTATTCTGATCTTCAATTCATTCAGTGTTTCTTTCTTCTGTAATGGAATAGGGGGTTGGCTTCCTCCACTTTCTTTTCGTGCTAGTTGTCTCTGCATATCAATTTGCAAGCCGGTACCATCCCCATAGTTGTTGTAGCCTCACTCATTATCATAAATCATTATCCAGATATCGATCGATGCAGCGCTTTTTCCTTGTAACTCGCAGAACCCCGTAAGGGGATGTACCCCACTACACTCGCCATTTCGGTGAAAATTTAACACTTAAATAAATCCCTCCGTCGCCTCCTTGATCGTCTGCTCAAAGCCCGTCCAACCCTTCCCTGATATCCTCTTCAACAAGTCCTCCGCCCCTTGGTTCGTAACCTTGCTCAAGTCCCTCCCCAGATCCGGAATATCATCAATAAACTCTCTGTCCGGATACAACTTCCTCATCACCGCTAGGATGTTATTCCAATTATACGGTTGCGCAAACGCAAATAACCGCTCGGCCTGTACATCCGCATATATCAACGCGGCCACATGCACCAACGCATTATCGCGCACATTTACATAATACTGCGGTTTATTAGATACCTCGTCCGCATACTTGCCCTTGAACCCTTCCCAGACAGCCCTCACCCAGCCAGCTGTCGACGGGAACCCCTGATGCTGCGGGCTAAGCACCTCGCCAAAGTTCGCATTGGGCAGCACCGTGTTGAGCACGAAACCCGGCTGGTTCTCCCGCATCCATTTCCAGGCCACCTTCTCGCCCTCCGTCTTGCTAGCCGCGTAGACGTTATGTCGCCTCTGCCACCCTTCGTACGGCGGCGGCGCCCACGCAGCGTGCACGATCTCATCATTCCACGTCCCCTTATCCATGGTGAATTCAACATCTGGCCGCGGGCTCGCCGCCGCGGTGGATGAGGATGTCAGTACGACACGTTTCATCAACGGTTCCCTCCGCGCGGACTCGAGGGTGTTGACAGTCCCGTTTGTGACCATGGGGATGCCTTCGTTGGGGTCATAGGTGACCAGGACAGGGGTGGCGATGTGGATGAGCCCCGAGGCGCCCTTGACGGCATCATCGTAGGCGTGCGCGACGGCCATGTCGGGCACTTCGACAAGCTCGAATTTGCCGGGCCCATACTTGGAGGTGAAGTGGTCGTTTAGCCAGAGGCCTCTGGTGAGTTTGCGGACTGTGCCGCGCACGCGGAAGTTGGCTTGGAGGAGCTGGTCGATGACATGGCTTGCAATGTAGCCGTTGGCGCCGGTGACGAGGACGAGAGAACCGCGCGGGATCGCGAGTTTTTCAGTTGCAGCTGGCATTCTTCGAGCTGGATTGGTGGACTTTTTTAATGCTGCGGATTTGTGCCATAGAACGCGGGGACGGAAGGGAAAACTGTTGTCGGACGATAAGAGATAACATTCATGCGTGGAGTTTTCTTTGACCAGGGCGTTCTGTCAAGTAGAAGTAAGCACTGGCGGCTAGGTCGCGAAGAGCCGTGACAGAAAACAGCCAAACGTCATCAAGGCCAAGTGCTAAGTTCCATGTCCCCTGCCGTTTGCGCATTCTTTACCCCGTAGTTCCAGGGGAATTTTAACGGCGCGTCAGATGTGGTCAGGGCGAAAAGGTGCGCAGTCGGACTGGACTGCCTTTTTCCCCATTTTTAACGTTCACAGACCAGACCAGGTTATTGTGTGGCAGTCAGGTTCGCCAGAAATGCTGCAAGGGGCCGGCATGAAGAGCAAGCAAAAAGCTGTTGCATGGGATGAAACAAGTGGGAGGTAGTCAACGGCCATGTGTTTATTCTTAAGTTCAAAACTTAGCCTTCTCTCCAGGTTCATATATTTCATATATATGCCCTAACTGTGTCTGAAGAAATTCCGTCGACACGACGGGGTGAACGGAAGATATCCATACTGCAATCTTTCTTCCCTTTTCTTCCTTCTTTTGTACTCTGTACGGAGTATCTTGTCTTCAAACACAGAACACACAGACACACACACACACACAGTGTCATTTGGCTGTGAACTGAGTGCAACTTCATTTCTGGGCAACATCAGAAGGCCTCCGCACACGGCTAGGGATGGGACGACGCAATATCCACACAAGCACAACTGAGCACTGAGCGCTGAGCTGCATAATGAAGTGCACTGGTAAACCCCTTTCATTTTGTTAGGGCCCCCCTAATATTTTAGTGGCCTGCTAACCATCATTCCAGGGGGAGGGCACATCTTCATATCTCTCTACTAGCGTACAGCGTACGGAGTACGGAGAACAGTTGGAGACAGCTTTCAGAATCAATTATTAAACATTATATACAAAACTTATTATCATTCTCTATCTTAAAATTAATAAGAAATATCTGATATGAATATTAAAGAGAAGAGATTATTCTTACAAAATAGTTTTATAAAAGTCTTCTCTGTTAATACAATTAAGTTAACTATTTAATTTCAGTAACATTAGTTGAGGATTATAAATTATTATAAGCCGCCCCGCGGGGTCCGGGCTCTAACCACTAGGCCGACTGGTTTAGTGGTTTCCCCAAGCCGCGCCCGGCACCCATCCTTATATAGTTAGCGGTGGCGTGCCTGCACCTGCCCCCAGCCCGGGGCCTATTCTTACAATTAAAGATGTCTGAGAGACTATAATAGGGGAGTAACTATCAGAGCTTGTAGCAGAGATATCTGCTCACTGTCAGACCGTTATAGAGACGGAGAGTGACTATAAGATATTAATATTATTACCAATTCTATCTATAGAGTTCATTCTCTAGATGATGATGAAAACACACTCAAACTTGAGAATGCCACATACCCCCAGAATTCTGGTTAGAATGCCACTAAAATATTAGGGGGGGCCCTAATGAAACCACCGGGGTATCTAAGCATAGTTACTACATAGAAAGCACCTACCTCACCGGCGTCCACTTCAGCCAGTGGGGCCGCCGATTCAATTATGTTAGTGAAGGACCGATGCCCAGCCACCATTGTCGCGTGGGGCCTGCTGTGCTGTAACTAAGTTAACTTAGCGTGGGGGATCTTCCAACAGTCGAAGCGTTAACTGGCTCGGCGCGATCCTTCATCTGTAAGAGCTTGAGCCACCAAATTGTAAATTGTAGAAATGTTGGGGACATGATGATAATGGATGATAACAGAGCTTTGGCTACCCTAACCCGCTGATGGACAAGGGAATTTGGATATCTCAAGCTGCACATCTGCCGCCTCCAGAAACTTGCAAGGAGTTAGGAGTTCTCTGCTGGAATAATAATTCCCCAAGATTGACGCTCATCTCCGATGACCCACGTTGAACTGATTGATCCCTTGCAAACGAGGGAATACCTAACGTTCGCAGAGCAGAAAGCTGAACTCAATATACGACTGGTACCACTCGGTTTAGCATGATACTGGCCTTGGCTGCCTTGTCGTCGCGCCGTGCATTTGATCAATCAAAAGCGCCGTCGTCGGGCCAGAGGAGGTAATGTACGGTGGTATTTATTAACTCTGCGTCTTTCTTGCTTGCCTTAGCAGCGCAGTGTTGCGTCGAGCGAAGCAATTTCACCGGAGAAAGAAACCTCTGTAACGCTGCCCATTTTTGCAGAGTTACATAATAATCTCCTTCGGGGTGAGGATTGTCCGTCCTGGTCGAGCCCAGCTCCTCGTTCGTCTCTTTTGCTTGTAGATGATAGAACCGAGACTTTCTGACACAGCGAAGCAACTAGATATTCAATTGACTGAAGGATTTCGACCAACTTTGGCTTGGGAATTGATCAATGACATTTCTGGGAGTCAAGAAAAATATGAAAAATTGCTGCCTTTACTACCCCCCTCGTACCTAGTAACGGGTTGTCAGGAAAAAGAGGTTATACACTACTGAACGCCACCAACATCGTATTACTACAATATTTCTCATCATCATCAGCTTACTACAACGCTTGTCTAATACTCGCTTATGCTAGCTCTCTTGGCTCGCACATATATTTTACTATAAATAGCTCCATCTTTTGTATGAAATAGATATATTAGATAGTGCATGGATAATATAACAAGCAGATCTTGATACACATAAGATTCATATGTCTTCAACATATTCATTCATGACACTCAATTCAACAGTTATAAGCCCAGTAAGCAGCATCTGAAGAGAAGTGTGATACATCACAATCTCAATCCTCATTCAAATTTGACAACAATCATTTGAACTGAGATGATTGATTCTCATTTATATACAGTCTGATCTAATTGACTGTTATATTATATCTGATTCTCAGTAAGCAGCATCTGAAGAGAAGTGTGATACACTGATCTCAATTCTCATTCAAACTGATAACTATCATTCAAACTGAGACAATTGATTCTCATTTGTATACAGTCTGATCAACTCAATTATCATACTCAATTCTCAGTAAGCAGTATCTGAAGAGAAGTGTGATACATCACTGATTTCAATTCTCATTCAAATTTAACAATAATTATTCAAACTGAGATGATTGTTTCTCATTTGTATACAGTCTGAAAATACTTGACTGTTATATCATACATCAATCTCAATTCTCATTTGAACTGATAACTATCATTCAAACTGAGATGATAGATTCTCACTTGTATATATTTCAATATACTTAACTGTTATACACTCTGAATTCTAATCATATCTATCTGAAATACTTAACTGATATAATAGATAAGACAATGTCTAGTGTAACTGTACATCTTAGCATTTCTGAAGATTGAAAACTTTAATACAAGTATATGCAAGAATATGCAAAGAATAAGAAGATATCAGACTTTATCAATCTTAACAAATCTGATATCTTCTCTGAACTAGAAGAATCTCTGAAACCTGAGTATTCAGAAGAAGTCACTGCAGAGGTTAAGATAGTATATAATATCAAGATCACTGTGTGAAAAATCAAATATATAAAATATGAAAAAATAAATGAAGGTATGATAAAGATATAAGATGTTATATAAAGAACAGTGAATACTACAGAGCTATGATATATACATAGTAAGAATGATAATATGAAGAAGATTATTCATTCATTAAGAGATTATCTCTCACTCACAATCACAGACTATTAAGATAATATGAGAACCTGATATCATAATCTCTGTAAAGCACTGAAAAACAGAGATATAAAGAAGTGATTAAATGACTGATCACTCATTGAAGATAATATCAAAGAGATAGATATAGCTGAACAGTTCAACTTAAAGAAAGACTTCTTGAATATGAATCTAGCTATTGATGCAGAATATATACAAGCATAAACAAAGAATATCTGATATGATAAAGATATTATATCTTTAATAGAGTTAGTTAAGAACTTCAAGAAATGATATAGAGAAATGAGTATTCTCAAAGAAGATAAATCTATGAACTTCACTACTCTTAATGAAAGATCTCAGTAATTATTATCAGTAATATTCAGAAACTGCATCTGTAGAGCCTATCACTGATACACTCAGTACTACTATCTCAATTTATCAAGAAAGTCATCTGAATGAAAGAAAAATGAGAAGAAGAGAACTCAGATTAATCAAGCTCTTAAAAATCAAGAATTGAAGAGATGTGTTGATTGTGCAATATCTAGAGACTCATTCATAAATACAGATATAATAGATGTCAATGAAGCAGTTATAGAAGAAATGATTCTGAAGCAATCAGTTTCTCAATCTATTAATTATCAATCTATCAATTATCAATCTATTAATTATCAATCTATTGATTATTAATCTATTAATAATCAATCTATCAATCAGCAAATCTGAAAAATATCAATGAACTCTTCACATTCTTACTTCTATCTCTGAAACTTCTGAATCTTTGATACTGATGTGAAACAGCATATATACAATAATTGAACACATTTTCTATTCTTTACACCTGTGAATGAGAATGCAGAAGTTTATACAGACAATTCCAGCACTAAAGTTGAAGATTATGAAACTGTTAGAACTATCATGATAAATAAAGCAGAAAAGCAGTTCAATGTCAAACTCATTAATGCAGCTTACATCTTAAATTTCCATATAAATATCATCATATGAAAACTGTGTTTTCATATAGAAGGCATCTATTATGATGAAAAAGACTTCAGATTGTGAAAACATATAGATAATACAATCTTTGCATATATTGAAGTATTTAAGAGATTGCTAATTACAGAATATAGTGATATAACTGTTTTCTCAACTATATCAGAAAAATTCACTACTGAAGCTGATGCAGCTATCTCATCACATATATCTAATATCACTATATCTGAAAAAACAAAATCTTCAAATTCTTTAACTTCTACAAATCATTCTTCTTTCAACCTGTCAATATGCATAAAATCTTCTCAAAAACCTAAGATCTCTATAGCTACTCAGTCTACATGGCATAAGAGATTAGAATATTTATCAAAAATTATCATTTAAAAGCTTATAAATAATGCAACTGATGTTCAAATCATTAATCTAGAAGATGCTGTGAATGAGCTTATCACTGAGCTTTGCAAACTCTGTCATCTATCTAATGTAAAAAATTAAATATCTAGACATTCTCACATTAGATCTCAAATATCATTCAAACATCTATATATAGATATCACATATGACTCTACACAGTGCTATAATGATGAGTGTTATCTCATATATTTTATATGTAATTATCTATGTTTTCATATAGCTATAACAGCTATCTGAAAATCAGAAATCTGAAAAGCTCTTAAGTAAGCTATCAATTGAATTAAACATTAATTTAACTGTACTATAAAGATTATTTGTATCAACAATGATACTGTAATTAAGAAAGCAGATGATTTCATAAATTAAGTGAATAATAAAGATCTAGAGATGAAGTATTCTTCAGAGTATATTCATGAATAAAATGATACAGTAGAGTGAGTAGAAGTAATATTAATAATAAAGACAAGAACTCTACAGATAGAATCTCATCTATCACAATCACTATTCTCTGAGATTGCACTTACTGTTATCTATCTAGTAAATCAAATCTCTACTAGAATTCTAGATTGAAAGTCATCTCTATAAGTATTGAAAGAATTTCTAAAAATTAAATCTCACTTCTATACTTATCTTCAAATCTACAGATGTTGCATCTATGCAAAGATATCAGATGAAATTCTCAATAGAAATCACTCTCAGAAGTTAGATCTCTGAGCATATATTGAATATCTAGTTAAATATGATTTAATAAACATCTATTGAATTTGAATTTCACACTTAGAATGAATGATAAGAGCAAGAGATGTAGTATTTGATAAGAATAGAAAATTCAACTCAGAAGATCTCTATATTGAAAGATAACTAAGAGATTGAGTATCTAAGAAGATGAAGCTTCTACATATGAAAGTTTGAGAATCATTGATAACTACTATCAATCAATTGAAAGAGATTATAGATGCAGATATTAATGTTTTTCATCTTAAAGAAAATGCTCAAAGCTCTGAAAAAATAGAAGAGAAGAATAATGAGTATAAATACTATAATATTTCAATCTCTTCTAATATTTTAATTCTTTCTAACATTTCAATTCTTTCTATATCAGATTCAATGTCAGAGCTAACAGATTCTGATGTTGATATTAATACTTATTCAGCTGTGATAGATAATCAAACACAGAACATTACATCTAGAGCTCATGATATCAGTACTGATTTTGATAAAGCTAATATCATTGAAGATCACAGAATATGAAAATACAGAGCTGCTTATCTTGTAACAGTTTCAATTATCAAAGATAATTCTTATTAAATGATCAATAAGATATTCTCTCAATCACACTCAGACTTCTACAAGTCTCAAAATTTATTTTCTAATACTGTTTTCATAGTTATTAAAAATACAGCTATATCAAGAATTCATAGATCTCAACTGTCAGATTCACTGAATTACTGAGCAGATGTTAAAAAACACTTATATTATAAAGAATTTGAGAATACTGCTAAGCAGAAATGAGATAGTATATCTCTACAGAATATATATGAAATTACTAGCAGATCACAGAGAGATGTCTCAGTTATTTCTCTATAATAAGTATTCATCTACAAATTTGATGATGAAGATTTTCTTTTGAAATACAAAGCTTGTATCTATATATGTGAAGATCTTCAATCAATCACAGATCTTACTATAAAAGCTCACATACTAGCTATCAGAGATCTCTGAATCTTATTAGCTTTAACAGCAGTATTTGATCTAGATGCAGAATAGCTAGATAAAATCAATATCTTCATTAATAGTGATATTAATAAGCTAGTATATATAAAACTGTTGAAGCTACTACACAAGCCCTAACTCACGTGACTCACACACATATATTTAGCTTTCACTAGCTACTAGTTAGATAATAACAATCAATCATATTCAACCTCTCTCACAGGTTATGAAGCTCTTGCACTTCTATAAAGTGTTATAATCATGCAATAATCATACAATAAGCTTTTCAAATAGCTGCTTTTTTTTCATTCAAATACCTCATATCAAATGCCTGTCAATACAAGATCAATCAACCGCGAAGAGACTTCAGAGAATCAGATAGCTGGATTCTTTCTAACATCAATAACCGCGCGAAGACAATGCAATAATCAAGCTCAAGATAATTCTTCAGAACCTGAAGATATGACAGATCATGATAAAGTCACCATTCTGAGACAGCTTATTGCTCAGAAGAATGAGGAAATACACTGAATGAGAACTGCTTCTGTCAATTAAAGCACTTCAGCTACAACTACTGTCAATGATGACAATGATCTAAGCTCTGATCTTGCAGAATATCTTCAAAATCAAGATGATATCTCTGCACTGAGCAGAGTCCTTCAAGAATTCCGCGAACATGTCAAATATCTTCAAAAACCAGGTCTTCTTAAATCAACATCTGATTACTCTATTTGAAAGAAAGAGATTCTGCTTGTTGTTAAGCAATCTTATATAGAAGATATTCTCACTAGTAAGTTCTTGAAGAATGTCTCTAAGAATATGAAATGATTCTGAGAGAAACACAACTTCTGACTATATAATTTTGTATAGTCTTCTGTTTCTATTGAAGTCAAATCTCTTTTTACTATATTTCAAGATTCTCTGAGTTCTGCTGCTCTATGAAACATCATAGCAGCATTCTTTTCAGAATAGGTGAAAATTCACAGAGTCTGTCTGTTCAAGAAATTCAATGATATCAGTGTAACTGTCATCTATGATGACTTCAATTACTTATTCATAGAATGTCTGCTTACAATTCATGTTGAGTATATTCACCTTGAATATACTAATATTCTCAACTTCATATTCTTCAACAAGCTTCTCAACAGTCTCATCAAGAAGTGGTCAATCTTTATCAGAGATCACATGAACTATGCAGTAAAGAATGATAATATCACATCATTAGAAGATGATTTTCTTGATCTCTGCAGAGATATACTACTCTGCCTGCCATTGAATGATAAAAATGCCAGAGATGATACAAAGAATGCCAAAGACATCATCAAGAAGAATAAGAATAATAAGAAGAATAATAAGAAGTACACTCACTGCAAGCAGGATGATCATGAAGAGCCTTACTACTGATTCACACACTCTGAAAAGTGTTCTGTCAATTGAAAGAATAGAACAAAGAATAATAATGAAAGCTCAGCGCCTACATACACCACTGTTAAGCATATCTACTAAAATGATAATCATGATACTGATAACCATGATACCCGGGCTGTTGAATGCTCATATGATAACCCAGGATAAAGATGATACCTCATGATAACCATGATAACTCACGATAACCAGGCCACTGAGTGCCTATATGATAACCATGATAACTCACGATAATCAGGCCACCGAGTGTGCCTATATGATAACCACGATAACCCATGATAACCAGGCCACCGAGTGTGCCTATATGATAATCATGATAACCCACAATAACCAGGCCACTGAGTGTGTCTATATAATAACCACAATAACTCACAATAACCAGGCCACTGAGTGTGTCTATATGATAATCACAATAACTCATGATAACCAGGCCACTGAGTGTGCCTATATGATAACCATGATAACAATAACAATAAAATGACAAAAATATGAGAAGTGAGACCCTGCAGTGTTCAGATGACTGAGAGGATAATACAGATACAGAAAGGACGGATTTAAGCATTTTTTCTTACATATTTTTTATGTTTTTTCATGTATGAAGCTAGTTCTTATGAGAAAACTAGACTCTACATTTTGTAATTAATTTTTATTGTATATTTGAATGATTTGAGTGCTTTTGACTGTGTGAGTTAACTGGCCTGTGTAGCATGAGGGGGTGTTGAAGCTACTACACAAGCCCTAACTCACGTGACTCACACACATATATTTAGCTTTCACTAGCTACTAGTTAGATAACAACAATCAATCATATTCAACCTCTCTCACAAAAACTATCTAATGAATGATAAAAGTTGAAGAGAATATAAAAATTAAAGTATATAAATTATATACTAAAACTTCTATAAGTACTATATAAATTACACAGATCATTTCTTCTCTAATTAAATAAACTATCTTCAATATTGAGAACACTAGGCTTTATTTTAATACTAGAGAATCAATATCTCTTCTCTAATGATTGATTGATTATCTTCTTCTATATGAATAATATCATCATTCTATTACAATAAGAAGATTTGAAAGAAAGAGATCAACTAATCAAAGATCTTAAAAATGCATACAAGATCTGACAGATGAGAGATTTGAAATGATTTCTTAACATATGAATAATATATAATTATTTCAACTTGAAGCTCTGACTATGTCAGAATACCTATATTGATAAGATAGTTAATATATATCATCTTACATATATCTGTAAGATATATATCTTACTAACTAATGCTTCATTAGAGTCTTTTAATAAGTTAGCTAGATCTGTAGAAATTCATTATTATTAATAATATATCAGCTTCTGTATCTACTCAGCAGTGATGACTCACTCTGATATTATATATACAGTGAATAAACTAGCTATATTCATAATAAATTCATCAGAATATCACTTATCAGAGATGAATAGAATAATATCTTATTTATATGATATAAAGAATCTTGCTATTTAATATAATAATAACATTGACAGATCTCTATAACTTAATCTCAAATCTGATATTATTAAAGCTATCAGTGATATCTCTTTCACAGATAATTCAGATTATCACTCTATATAAGAATATATCTTCAAACTATTTGATGAGACTGTTGATTGAAAATCAAATAGACAGACAATTATAACTACATCTATCACAGAAGCTGAGCTTATAGCTATCTCATGAGCTGATAAGAAGTCTATCTAATAAGATAGATTCTTCAAACATATTCAATTTGAATCTGGTCACAAGATCTGTATTTAATGTGATAACTGTTAAACTGTTGATATTCTTATGAAGAAAGATTTCTCTATAATCACAAAACTCTGTCATATTGATATATATGAAAGCTGGCTTCAAGAATGTGTTCAATTCAGTGATATTACAGTTGATTGAGTGTCTACAGCTCAGATGCTAGTGAATAGCCTCACTAAGACTCTGTCACACCAGAAACATACAGAATTTGTCAAGATACTAGGCCTAGTTGATATATCAGATATCATCAAGATGTAAGCAGAATGATGATATAAATGATCTATCTTAATATAATCTCTACAGATTCATCTACACTCTTTTTGTTACAGCTTCATTTACACTTTCATTTACACTTTTATTTACATGTTACATTCACTGAAGAGAGTGTGTCAGAAAAAAGAGATTATACACTACTGAATATCATCAACATTGTATTACTACAATATTTCTCATTATTATCAGCTTACTACAACACTCATCTAATACTTGCTTATACTAGCTCTCTTGGCTCACACATATATTTTACTATAAATAGCTCCATCTTTTGTATGAAATAGATATATTAGATAGTGTATGGATAATATAACAAGCAGATCTTGATACACATAAGATTCATATGTCTCCAACATATTCATCCGTGACACCCAATCCGACACGGGTGAAATCCCCTTTCACCAAAGCTCCTCACAATCACTTACGTTTCTATCACAGTTTTCGAACCAAGGTAAATCGATACTGCAGAAGAAAGCGTCCAAATATATAGGTACCAGCACAATATTGGGAAGTAGGGTGCAAAAATGTCTCATTAAATATCTCAACAATTTATTCTTTGGAGAAATGAACTAGTTTAACTATACAAAGCCACCACTTGCAAAAGGTGCCGTGCCCAAAAAAATATAAATAAAATCATTGGTTGAGTTTGTATTGTTATTCAGTGTTCTTCACAATCAATACTTCATCATTCTTACAGTAGGAGAGACATGCCCATCAGAGCAAGACCGCAAGCCCAAAGGCCCGCAGAACCAATCCGGTTACCCGCTGAGAAGGAGTCATCGTCATCGTCATCATCATCGTCACCGCCTGATGAATCCCCAATGCCATTCTTGAGCGTCAAGCTCTTCAATCCATCGCCCTCAATCTTATCAAGTGGGGCCACAAGTGCCATCTGGTTCCACGAGAAGATAGTATTCCTTCCGCCGAAAACGAACACTTCAAATCGTCCGCTGAATTTCCCATCAATCCATACTCTGCTTCCGCCGATCACATCGGTCTTAATGGTCACCTGTGAAGTCAGGGGGACGGTAACAGGCTCGTGCGTGGAGCTGGTGGCATTGGTCCAGATTCGGCCGGGGTGGCCTGGATCGTAGCCGTCATCCTCTCCGACGGAGCGGAGGGGGTAGACCCAGTTGTCGGAGTTGAAAAGGAGGTTTCCAGCATCGTCGAGGGAGAGAGATGTATCATCGGAAGATAGTTTGAAGGGGCCCGTAACGTCGAGGATCAGCGTGTAGTTCATTCCTTTGCTACCTTGGCCCAGATCTTTCGAGCCCTTGTCGCTGCTCCAGGTCAAGAGCGTCTCGCCGGGCTCTTCATCTCCCTTCTCAGATGGCAGGCGTCGATCAAGGTTTTGGCCTGGAGCACGGTTCGTCAGGAGCTCCATGGATGCGGGCAGTGATTTGGTATCGAGACGATTGCCTCGTGCACCCGCCCACATTCTGGCGCCAACGACGGGAATTCCATCCCTCATCGCGTAGTATGCTTCGAGTTGTGTACTGGCATCGGGTCCGTTATCGTTCCAAGCCGCGATGATGGCACCCTTGTTGCCCTTCGCGCCTGGCTTGACCTGCTCGGTCACGTTCACGTGGTTGAAAAGCGACGGTTCCCATTGCCAGTCTGGCTTGTTGGCGAAGTTCAATGTCCGCGTGTTGTTGAAGAACTGTGGGTAGGTAGCCGGGAAGATAGGGGTGTGGTCACTCTTCAGAGACATGTATCCCCACCAATCTTGGGAGTTGATGTATGGGTATCCCTCTCTGTCCAGTTGAAGGGGGTCGGACTGACCATATTGCCAGTGCTGGATAATGATGTCTTTGGAAATAGTGTAGTTCTCCGATGGCTCATACGTTCCCCAGATACGGATATCCTTTCCGGATTTCTCTTTAATGAATTTCTGCATTTCGTTCACAAACTGAATGTAGACGTCCGCAAGTGTGGGGTCATATTCATCAGCACCGATATGTACTTCCTTGACCTGGAACCAGGGGAGGAATTCTTCCCAGATAGACTTAACAAGGGGGATCGAATCGGGGTGAGTTAGGTTCAGCAAATCTTTCTTTTCCAATGCAAGCTCTGGTTTCCATTTGGTAAGGAAAAGACAGTGGCCAGGTGCTTCAATCTCTGGAATGATGCTGACACCACGGCGCGCGCAATGCTGTTGCATATCTTCGAAGTCCGCTCGGTTGAGAGTCTCATTCGCGCGCTGGACAACACCGTGCAGCTCCTCGTTCTCGGGGTGCAGAGCGAATTGCGAGTAAACTTCAGTCCACGTCTCATTTCGCCCGCGATTGAGGGGGTAGTTGTCGCTGTTGTGGTATTGGAATTCAGACAACTTGAAGAAAGATGCGTATGTGCAGAGGTCCTTCAGGAAAGCTGGTGTGTACCACTTCCGTCCAGCGTCAAGTAGGTAGCCACGGGTTGCATAAGAAGGGGCATCTTCAACGCGGCCAGCAGGAATCTCCTTGTCGCCGTGTACAAGCAGCAATTGTAGGAATGTATGGGTGCCCCAGTACATTCCACGGGCGCCAGTTCCTCCAACATACACCTGACCATCCTTAATCTCCAGCTCGTAACCCTCCTCCGTCTTTGTTCCATCCTCGTAAGTCAAGGCGTCAGCATCCTGTCTGAAAGCGCCCAGAATAATACCTTTGGCATCGCTCGGGATTTCCTTTACACGCTCAAGGGACCATTTTTCGCGGGTAATCTCCTCCAGATCGGAGAGAAACGTTTCGGCGAATTCATAACCAGAGGGTGGGATAAGAGTCATTCCATTCTCATCCCTTCGTTCCGAAAACTTCTCTTCGATATAGATCGTCTTTGGGGCTTCGGAAATGGAGAACCCAGAACCGGAGATGTCCTCACTGCCAGGCCAGTCCACAGGCGGGAGGGTTTGTAGCGCCGAGGCGGCTGTGACAAGTAAGGGAAGTAGAAGACGCATCATTGCTTCTGCGCACGGAGAGAAGCCTAAGTAATAGGGCGGCAGCTGTTGCTTGGATTTACATCGAGTACCATAGGTAATGCTGGCCTTTTATAGCAGAGGCCGTTTGAGAATGTTCCAGCGCCCAGAGCTTCGCGGTTCATCTCATCTCATTGTAGCACAGCGAAGAAGAACACGAGCTGCAGGACAAGATAGCAAGATGCAGCTAGGTGGCTAGCGGAACTGTCCCGGCGTGGGGGTTGGTCCCAGCCATCCGGGGTAATTCTCGGATAGGTAGCATCCAGGTCACACTGACGGGAACCATGATCTGCGAGTCTGATGGAACTCTTCTCTGCTCGTCTGTCGTTGTATGTAACTCATGGGCTTTTTGTCCAATGGTTGAAATTTTCCGCCTGTGTACCCCGCAGAGATTCTGGAGAACAACCCCCACGTTCCCTGGCATTTAGGGGGTTACCCCAAGGAAAAGGTAATCTGACATGAAACAAATTCAGGAACAAGTATTGCAGTCTTGGAAACCAGGAGAGCAAGGTCATGGGGAGAAGGAAGGGAAATACGACATATCCGGGGATCCAATGGGAAATTTTAGCTGCCCAAATTGCTGACATGTTGAATTGTTTGGCAGACAAAGAAAGGCTCGTCATGTGGAGTAACTTCGGCGGCACCAAAGGCTCGGATAGCACAGTGAAAGCGATAACTACAGGGGGGTTGACAAATCCCAAGCCAAGTGCGCCATCGTATCGGGCCATCATCGCGGTAAAAGCTCAATTCTTCTTTGAACTCTAGAAAGTAGTAAAAATCCCGCTTCCGGTTGCTTCTCAGCCAAGACAGCTACGTCGACAATTCTCCTTTTAAAGCTCAGAGCTGAGGCATAGAATTGTTAAGTAGAAGTGCTGTACGGATGTCCGGAGTAGATGGATCAGAGAGTTCGTTCTACTTGCACAGGCGTTACTGTGGTTTAAGGTTCAATATCTGAGTCCAGTCCCCAAGAGCGAGATTCTCCCTTGCGAAGCGCAGCAGACATCCAGGGCAATTACACACACCTTCGGAACAACAAGTCATTAATCCGTGAGCCATCTTGCTATCCATCGCTCAACGCATCCGTTCGGATCCGCAAACGAGGGACTTTGTGTGTGTGGACTGGCAGTCCCTGTTTCTTGTTCTAGTGATCCCATCGGATTGGAAAGGCCGGGTTTTTGTTGTCGAATTATACTTACCATCTGATTTCTGCGTAGATAAGACAAATGCTGTAGTACACCCCATGGTATGGAAAATTGAGGATTGACCGGTCTGATGGTGAACGACTAGATCCTGATTTAAGCACTGAGAGCACAAGGAGAACGTACAAACACTCGGAAGGTCCTCCCAAATGCCTTGATGCTCGTCCATGTCCATGATATCTGTAGAAATCACCATCCGTTGTCCTCAGCAATCTTTGGTGTGTCAAAATGTGTTGAAAGCCATTCCTGGAATTTACCCTGTCAACCGTGCTAGAGTCTTGGCGTTTTTAAGCTTATTTTAGGTTCCCGTCCTTTCCCATGACATCATCTGCTCATTCTCTCGTGGAATTGGAACAGTTTTAAACACGGGCAGGACATCATTTGAAAGTCTCTATCTTCTCCATTTGAGGAGTGATGTACTGGTTGTACAGAGTGTAATGTATCTCGGACGAAACCACCATTTTGAGCATCAATCGATCATGGAGCATAGTTGCATCTTCTCGTTTCCAGTGATATATATAAAAGTAAAATTTGCCAACTTGCAAGAAACTAAGTTCATCCAGGCACCGTTTGCTGCTGGGATTACCGCCTCCGCATGGCCCCTGTTGGGAAGGCTAGAGAGAAGGGGGGGGGGGAAATAATGAATTAGAAACAGACATAAAAATGACCCCCTGGGTTCTCATAACGCGATGGAGTTATCCTAGCGGTTGAAGATAAATATCTACCCCCGGGGTAAACGCAAGTTGTCTCTCTCCCCGTAAATTTTATACATATTAGGGTAACGCTGCCAACAAAAATTTCCAATCCCCTAATATAACAGCCGCCACTTCATTTCCCTTCATACCTTTCTTGCTACAATATAATGTCTCTTGTCCTAGTGCATCTATCCTAGTCGCAACCCTGTGCTAGTTTTCTTGATGGATATACCTTTTTACGAGCTTCACCAACGTATATAGCCTGGGGTAAAACCGAGAATGGGCTCCTGATTCTGGGGCTTGCAATTGCCAACGGGAGTGGGAGTTTGTCACGTAGCTAGATCACAACAACCACTAACGTTAGTTGACTGAGAGGCTTGTGAAGGCAAGACTTCAGTTCCCCAGGTTGAAAAGGTATTTCATTGTGTTTCTTCCCCACCCTGAAGGTATGAAAAAGCTGGATTTCTCTTACACTCTGAAAGGCTTGAACTGCCAACAATCATTCTGAAATCACTGCTCTTGTTATCTTCCATGATTTTGCAATTTCTTTAACTGACTTGATTGTTGTCTCATCATGTTTCATTACTTCAATCCACACATCACAGCATCAGGCATGAAATTTCAGTGTAAGTCACTTTTCTGTCTGCAGCATTTTTCTGCTGTCAGAAAACGAAATGATGAGAATGAGAAATCAGTCAGAAAGAATCCACTGCTCAATATAAGTGAAAGTCCAGAAACTACCTTGAATGTGAAGATGACAGGCCCTCAGAATCAGAATCCAGGCATGTGTGACAATATAAGCAGCATCAGTCTGGATTGACTGTGTAGTCTCTTTGAGAAGAATGATATCAATCTGCTGGATAAATCTATATTCATAGCTATTAGTAAGCACTCTTGCATCTCTGGTGAAGGTGACAAGAGCAGCAGCAGTGATGGCTCATTCAGTAGCCTCTTCTCTGATGACAGCAATAATGAAAGCAGTGTGTTGAATACCAGCCTGTGCAAGGACATGATGAGATGAATTCACACACAAGTTGATGTGTGATGTTTGAGTCCCAAGTTACAAGTGCTGGAGACAGCCAAAGTAAGTCCTTTTTGAAATTATTTTTTTATATTTTTTTATAATTTTTTTATAATTTTTTTTGGCCTCACGCCGTACATCCAGTCGGGAACCCAGTGTCGGGAGTGTCGAGGAGTCCAACCCTGAGGGTCAGATCCCACCACTGCCAGTGTTGATTGAAGATGGTGGAGTGACAGCAGAGGAGTGACTCAAATCAAGAATGGTGAAGGAGGATGGTGGCCAAAAGATGTGCTGGTACTTGGTGAAATGGCGAGGCTATGAACATTGATCTGATCCCGGGATGTGAGGAGTTGGTCAAGAAGTTCCATGCTAAATCGGGGAAGGTAACTAACTTAACTAGTTAGAGAGTCACAGATCCCTTATAAGCGGCGTGGGAGACCAACCAACTCTTGAGGAACCACTCCAAGAAGGCGCGGTTTACATTTTAGCAGCAACCTGTTCTCATCTTTGTATTGAATAAATGTCTAATGATACTCCATCATTGCTCTTCTGTATAAATGATATGAGGAATCTTTCCACACTTGCTATGTAAATAGTCTATTCCTCATTGTAAAAGTGTGAAGGCCATTCATTGTGCATGAGTTTGACACTGTCATCAAATTACAAGAAGGGCTACAATGCGCCCACAATGCACCATGAGAAGTGATCAATCCAAGAAACAGAAATCAAACTTCCTTTCTTTGCTTTATGTTTGGCAAGTACAATCTTTAGATGGTCAAATACATGGACAAGATGGACAAGGTAAGAACAACTTGACAAGAAGGCAACACAATCTAGAGAACACTAGCAGAACAGGCTTGACTGAGATGGTGGTTGATATACATATTTCAAGATTTGTGCAAGTTACATCTCATTGAAGGAAGAGCTTCTTCAGATGATCAAAGTGTGTCTTTTTAAACTCCACCCTTCTTCCTCTCACTCCTGATATCCACCATCCATACTGCTATGTTATCAACAGCCTGTTTAGGAGATCACCAATCCGGCACACCAATCTTCTTCAAAATAGTTATTAGCACGGGCGCTTTTTCTTGTACGGACTGATGAGCACTGTGCCCCAAAAGCAATATTCACGGTCTCGTGCTGAAAAGAGTTCCTTTGAGTGGGCTGAAGTAAAACGGTTGCTCTTTTATACAACTATAACAATGTTATCCTCCAAGAAAGGCAGTGACATCCTGCATATTAAATTTTTTCTATGCTTGGTGTCAGATTGCCTTTGTCTCTTTGATGGATGTTTGCTTTTGTCGGTGGTAAATTTTACAAACACATCGACTGAATATATACATATATGTATATGCAAGTGACAAGCATTATCATGAATGGCCGAAAGGTGCGCTTACCTAGTCAAACTGCTGCGTGTGGATCATTAGGGACATCTTATCTCCACAATATATCTGGTTTATGTGAAGTGGTAGATTGAACCATTGTCTTGTGCTTTGATCGGGGATAATGAGCCATGGTGGTTATTAATAATAATCGCCGATTTGGCTGAAATAATCTCCTGCTGCTAAGGCCGTCCAATCATGATGATTTGATATAATATCATAGGTACCTAGTCCGGTTCCGTCAAAGGCCATGGCAAAATGTCCTATGCTGGGCATGCTGCTGTTCATTTCACGTGTTTACAACGCGCACAAATCCAAGTTGCTTATTTGGAGCGGGAGAGAGGTGAAAAACTAGAAAATTCCATTTAATCCCAGGTCATCAACCATGAAGCGAGGTTAGAAGAAAGGGAAAGGCACATGAGGAAGGAGATCTAGGCGAGAATAGAGGATGGAGGGGTTATATGACAATGACACAGGGATGCATGAAATTAGAGGAACAAGAGATAGAGTGAAAAAAGAACTCGCTACCATTAAATAAAACAGCATGAAAGGTTTGTCATCTTTTTATGTCTTTATATCGACCTTTATAAAAAGAGAAACAAACAAAAAGAAGTAGCTACAATTCCACACAAATGCGCCGCTTTTTAATTCCCTTTGTTTGCTTGTTTTGATTTATTTCACCTATGCTGCAGTAATGGCGCGTCGGATCTGAGCGCCCCGTTGTCTTGACGAAAGTCTCGCCTTGGTGACGTCGGTGGGGGCCTTCTGGACATCTTCGGTGCCTTCGGTGAGGATGAGTTCAATGTGGCATGGGCTGGACATGTAAGGGTTAATCTAGAGATGGAATCACGAATTAGTTTTTAAACGCCATGTAGATGAAAAGGTACTGTTGCAGGGGCCGCAGAGAAAAGTGAGAAACATACACGGCCGTGGGCACGGTAAGTACGTCGTCGTTGCTTGGGAGCCTGGTTGACCTGAATGTGCTGGACGATGAGGTTGCCAGTGTCAAGACCCTTAATATCGGCATTGGCCTCGGCGTTCTTGAGGAGGGAGAGGAGGAACTCGGCAGACTTGACGGGCCAGCGGGCCTTAGAGACACCGAATTGCTTGCCTGTATGGTGCAAGGAAAATTAGTTAGCACTGTTATCTTTTGTTTGGTTGCAGAATTTTTCCATCATCGTTGCAGTTTCTGGGTTTCAATCCATTATGCGCAAACACATCCAACAGCTCGAGAAGAATTCTTCCAATCCACCACAAGTATTCCGCCAAATAAAAAAGATATCCATATCCTCCTTCGCAACGGATAGCGTGTTCGTATCTTCCTCCAACATCCCCTGTCATTCACTCTATTTTTCTTTCGGAAACATCTCATCCAACCCTTCCTTTCCATAATCCCTCACACCCCCCCGCCATAAAAAGCACAAAACCAAGCCAAAATCGCAAAAAGAACTCACCCTGCGCACAGCGGCCAACGTCACCAGCGAATCTTCGGAAGGGCACAGCCTCCTTGTGAGCCATCACATTCTCCAGATAAGCGACAGCGCGCTGCAGCTTCAATCCGTTGATCGCCTGTGCGGTCTCGCGGGTGTTCTTGAAGCTGACACGCAGATAGGAACCGCGGGAGCGGGCGCTCTTCGCGCTGGGGATCGATTGGGCGGCGTAGCGGACCTGAAAGTTTTTTAAGGAATTCCGTCAGTATAACGGGTCTTATGCCGTCGTGCTCCTGCGAGGAGATTTTATATATTGTGCCAGAGGAAACACTGCCAACGAGCAATTTCGTGGGATGGGTGAGATTCGACCAGGGGTGAATTGAGCAACCGTAGTCATCGCGAGGGCAGCAAGGGGCATGGCAGCAGGGAGACTCACCATCTTGATGGAGTTGTCGTGCTGAAAGATGGTCCTCGTGGTCGGGGTTGGTGATTGAGATGAAGAAGTTGGCTCGTTCAGAATGTCGAACCCGGTGGAGCTTTGGCTGGTGGTCAGCGTGCGTGTGTGGCCTCAGCCTGTTTTCCGCCCAGTCACAGCGCTGTGAGGCGCGTTGCTAAGCGAGTCCCGATCGGGAAAGGTGTGGCGGCCGGCAGCCCTAACACTAGGTTGTTTTGGCGCTAGTGGAATATCTTGGCGTTACGATACCACTTGACCGTACATAACGTTTCCTCGCCTCGGGATTATCGTATATCAAACCTCGGCTGGAGGGTAAGGATCAATCAATGACAGGGTTTCTTTAGGAGCGCTGGTCTGCAGTTGAATACTACGCGGATGCTATCTTACTTCTGGAAACTATATTTACAAAGGGCTTGCTTTGAGTCCAATATTCTTCAACATGCGCAGATGAAATCGGCAGAAAATTTATGATATCATTTTTCAACGCACCCAAATCAAAACAGATAAACTTAAATAAAAAATTAATGGACACGACCCAATCCTCATTGACTGCCAATACTGATTTTCTTCAAGAGTCCCTCCCCGGTGCCGCAGCGGGAATTCGCTTGTATGCGTACGTGGCCTTAGGGGAAAGCCATCCGCTGTTCAGGAACCATGGTGATCAAGATGTCGTGCTCCAAACACGACCTGAGATTACGGAGTACAAGTTCCTCCATTTTCTTTTGCGTTTCGCGTGTGAAAGTCCCAATGTGTGGGAGCAAGAAAGCCCTTGGATGTTCACGCAGAACCGGCTCGATCTTGGGTTCGTGCTCGTAGACGTCAAGACCGACAGATGCAACCTATTAATAGTCTGTATCAGAATCGACGGGTTGAAGGCTTTCCAGGAGTACCATGATTTGGAGATCCCAATTCTTCTTTGGTCGATAGTTGCTTACCTTAGTTCCCAGAGCTTCCACAAGCGCTTTCTCATCGATCACAGCCCCGCGCGCGGTATTGACAATAACCACGCCAGTCTTCATCTTCGCGAACTCACGCTCCCTGATGATATGTCTAGTCTGATCCGTCAAGGTACAATTGATGCTAATGACGTCGGATCGCGAAAGGAGAGCATCGAAGGTGACGTATTCGGTTCCTTCAGGTTCTGGGTCGGCTCTCTTTCGATTATGATATATAACCTTCATTCCAAAGGCCTTGGCACGATGGGCAACCTCCTGCGCAGTGAAAATGACAGGTTTAGCCAGTTAGCAGATTCATTTTTTTGGTAACATACGCTACAAATAGGGACGGGTAACTAAACCTTTCCGATCCCTCCCATGCCTAGGATCCCTAGCACTTTTCCTTGGGGATCATTCCCCAGCACCGTCTCGCCTCGCCATTCTCCTACCGGATGCTCAGCTTTTGGCCTTATGACCTAGGCACAGCAAAAGGAATATGAAGAGATATAAGCTCACCTGCTCGAACAGCAGACAATGGAGTCCACAGTTGTCTTAACGCTCCGATCATCAAGAAAATGGCAACGTCTGCGGTTGCAGGGGCAACCGCTACGGGGGTGCTAGAAACACGAATTCCTATACCAATTATTTAAGCGATAAATCTTTCAACTACCTTTTAATGGGATTAGGAGTGAAAGCAATAGGGAAACATACCTTTTTTGGTGCATGTTGCGATGTCGATATTGTCATATCCTGCCCCGTTGTGGCAGATGAACTCAAGAGATTTCGGGAGAGCATCGAGAAGCTCGGCATCGAAAGGACCGGTTACCTGCACAGCGTGTGTAACATACGTTATCAGAGCGGGGAAGCTGCTTCAATGCATGGACTGCTACAAAGAACGTTCTCTTTCCCCGACCATCCGACGACAGGGTTTTCATGGCATGTTTTGATCTTTCGGGAATATCTTGAAGAATCGACTTGGACTTGGGCTTACCTTAGTCGATTCGTTCGACCGATATATGGCGACGACACCATCATACTTGCCGCTTTTGCAGTTGGCGATAAACTCATCTCGGTTTCCTTGACCGTATTGCTGCAATCTGTCAGCATATTCTCTTGTCCTCTGTTTATTCGTTTTTTCTCTTCCTTGATCGGTCCTCTCGTTTCATGTCACACAAATAGCGAGACATGTGACCAACAAAGAAAAGCTTGGAAACATCAGGGAAACATGACATCCACCAGATCATTGCCTTTCTGGGCTAGGAGCCTGGCCATGAAACTCAAGTCCTGCGCCACAATCTGCATGAGCAAATTGAAAAGAGCTAATCGATATGGGAATCTCGATGCACTTTTGTTCTTTTCGCGCGGCTGAACAAAGTGCAGCGTTATTTGGATGTCAAGCGTATCCTTGTTGGTCCAAAGTTGTTACTTTCTTTGGACTTCCGTAGACGCCACCCGTGGGCGTTCCACCGGTTGTCCATCCCTTTTGGCTTGGCAATGCGCGTACTTTTTGTCGGCGTCAAAGGCAAAAAGGGGGCCTAAGAGAGAAACAAAAACAAAAAGAAAAAAAGGGGGAGAGGAAAATTTGTACACCGCACAATGACAAAAGCGAAACGAATCAGGATGGGTCTGCAAGGTCCGGGTAATGGTGCATCTCGTTTCCAGGCCGATTTTTTTTTTCCATTCTCCTTTTCCTTTCTTTCCTTTTTCCTTTTTCCTTTTTTTCTTTTTCGGGCCATGTTCGTGATAAAAAACATTCATCCAGTCCAAAATGACTCTATGACTCTAGGAAAAGAGATTCAAACCAGGGGCAACGCAGGGGAAGTAAAAGAGTACACATACGTGCAGAGAAACAATAGAGGAAAAATTATCCCACTCAGTCTTGCAGTGGTCAATATTTCCTATCAGAAGGGCTCCTCGAGACGACATTGTTGTTTGAGAATTGGATCAATTGGAAGATGATAGAAACGAGGTTGGACAATTCCTTTGGGATGTCTGAAATCTTCGACAACATCAGTTGCAGTTCACTTCTTGAAGGAGGCAATAGAACTCATATATATAGAAACATCCATCAAGCTCTTGATACGGGTTGTATGTATGCTCGGGAAAGACTTACCGTGAAGCCTTCCGATCGCTCGACGGGGATTCCTGGGCTGTTAATTAGCAGCGCAGAGACGGATAACTAATGTAACTGGATAACAGTCACGAATGAAGATGAAACCGATAGGATCGCTCTGGAGAAGAGAAGGCGCAGCGAGGTAGACAGTAGAACAGGTGGTTACTCATGTAACTATAAAGGAGGAATAATAATGGACAAGATATCAGTTCCATTGCGCTCTTTAGCTCGTATTTATATCCTCCCCAGAAGGGGGGAGGGGGGGTGGAACAACCCCCGGAAACCGGGTCCAAAAAGCCAATGTGGCAGCATCATGGGCTGGCATCTTCCCTTTCTATCGCGCTGATATATCCGCGATCTGACGTAGAGGTTAACTTTGGTTTGTGGATGAGAAGAGCACCGGAGGATGAAACAAGCAGTAGGTACTGATTGGGCGTTTGCTGATCAGCTGTGCGCGGGCAAAGGGGCTTTAGGGGGGCGAAAACGGCAGCCCCCGCGCAACAGCGGAACAAACAGCTAGTGTTCAATCGCTAGCTGTAGCTGTTAGGGGGATAAAGCCATGGTCGAATGCAGCGGCAACTGACCATGGAAAAAACAAAATCAAGATTTGGCTGCTTGAAGCCGGGGAATGTCATTGTTGGTCGAGCCTGGGGGGCGGAAGGTTAGTAGCAATATCAAAACCAACCAGGGGAATGCAGGCGGAGGAGTAATAGGAACTGGAATAGGATGGCGGCAAAAAGCCCAGAGGGAGAGTATTATTTGGCATCGACAGCTTAATTGTGAGCTATTCTATTTTGCCCTTTTCGCCTGCTTTTGCCTCTGTTTCCGTCTACTATTATCTGGTGGTCGGATAATGAAAACCCTCTCTCGCCCCTGAATAATGAAACCCAGCCAGCAAAAGCACAACTTCGGCAATAGACAGTATTAAGTTAACGTTATTACATAAGTTAACCACCCGAGGTTAGTTAACGTTTAACTAACTTCAAAGCCCTAATCCTTTTTCATCTCATCTTCCGGCCGGGACATTTTGGACTTCCCGCTGCAACACCATATTATTATTATTAATTATCATAGAGAGCTAATCCGCTTGTCACCGTGCTTCTTTTCTGCTCCTTTTTTAGTTTTAGTCTTGCAGCAGTTAGTTAACTAGTTAACTAGGTTAACTAGCTTGCTTGGTGAGACTAACACTGGAGCTTTAGCTGCACCCCGCATGTTCTTTGTTGCACCGTTTCTTGTCCGTCGGTTTCCAGCACGTCCGTTTTTGTGCGACAAGACTCATGAAACAACACTTTCACCCTGAACAGACTCTGCGGAATTCGGGAAAGTAAGGGGAAGTAACCCTCTGATGCATATAGCTTATGTTATGATGGTAGACTAATTGAGAGAAGTAAGTCTTACAACTGCTGTTTGCTTTTTCGGTGACATGCTTCCCGCGATTGAGTATCTAGATATAAAAGGGTCAAGCCGTTCTCACTGATGTCAGCGCACGCTTGAACCATACTGCAAGGAGATAAATTTGCTCATGCCACTGAATGACTAGCGTTTGAAGGGTCTTATTTCTTCACCTGCTGCCATATCCAGGAGACAAAGACGTAGTCAAGAGAAGTTCCCGGTCGCCAGAAAAGCACTAACGATGCCTATCCCGACTAGCTCCCAGCTCTCCCATGCCCTTGTGCTTCACGGAGCGAAAGACCTCCGATTAGTACGTCACTTCATTTGACTGCTTTCGTCCTACTCCACTGGCTGCGGCCTTTGATACCAAACATCCTTTATACCAAACATACCCACACTCTCTCACACACACACAAAAGAAAGAGCAACCGGTATCCGCTAACTTTCACCTCAGGAGACTCGCCACACCCCACCTCCCCAGCCGGGTCAACTCCAAATCGCCATCCGCGCAACAGGCCTATGTGGCTCAGACCTGCATTACTACCAACATGGGCGGAATGGAAACTTCATCGTGAGAGCCCCGCTCTGTCTGGGCCACGAATCAGCCGGAATTGTCACCGCTGTCGGCTTGGGCGTGTATGACTTCCAGGTCGGCGACCGCGTCGCTCTTGAAGTTGGTTTACCCTGCGGATCCTGCTCCCTCTGCCTAGGAGGCCGCTACAACATCTGCCGTAGTCTCCGCTTTAGGAGCTCCGCAAAGACCTTCCCGCACCTCGACGGCACGCTGATGGAGTTGACAAACCATCCCTCCAGCAAATGTCATAAACTACCTGCGCACATTAGCGACGTGCAGGGCGCGTTGATTGAGCCATTGGCGGTATGCATGCATGCGATCCGCCGTTCAAACCCCCCCGATCCGGACTCAGTGAGCCGGGCGCTGTGCGCGACTGAGACCCCAGAGGAGACAGCCGCATTGGTCTTCGGTGCAGGCGCCATCGGCCTCCTCCTCACCGCCGCCCTTGCCGCAACACAGCATTTCACTACCCTGGTCGTCGCGGACATTGACGAAGAAAGGTTGCGCATCGCGGCGTCCCTCCCCTCCCGCACCGCGAAGATACGCACATATCTACTGCCAAATCCATCCTCGACTATCACCCCTTCCCCACCACAGCCCGAAGATGAGATCGCCCAGCAGATCCTGTCCATCTTTTCTCTCACCAACGGTTTTAGCCGTACATATGATTGCACGGGCGTCGCGAGCTGCATCCGCATGGGCATCTATGCCACGGGGCCTGGCGGGGCGGTTGTGCAAATTGGTATGGGCGGGGAGCAGCGGCCTAGCATACCCTTGTCCGCAGCTGCGTTGCGGGAGGTTGATCTTATTGGTGTGTTTCGGTATGCCGAACGGGCGTATCCGGGGGCGGTGACCTTGATGGGCAGTGAGGAATTTCAGGGGGTAGCAGAGAAGGTAGCGACGCATTTTGTGCGGTTGGAAGATGGGGTTAGAGCATTTGAGTTAGCGGCGAAGGGGGTGGATAAGGAGGGGAAGCCGGTTGTTAAGGTTATAGTTCTTTCTGGGCAGCAGCAGCAGGAGGAGGAGGAGGAAGGCTGTGGGAGGTAGTTAGCTGGCCAGGAGGTTCTCTTGATGGGGCGAACGCATTACTTGTGGGCTATAAATTTACGTATGAGCTACTTGTAACCGGACGGAAACCCTTTTTAACATTTTTTGGATTTGAAATGTTGCCTAGACTACGCAGTATATGAACACGGGAATGGAATATCTAGTAATGTACCAATGATAAAGGGTTTCTTCTAATGTTCCATTGAATGCGGTTGTTTCTGCATGCGCAACGAAATAAGACGGAAATAAAATATCAAATACTAACAGTCTCCCAATAAATGAACATATATACCTTATCATCAAACCCATTCGCTCAACTTTATAACATGGTAAACGATAAAACGTGAAAAACAAGACTAAGTGAAAGATTATTCTTCCAAAACAGTTCACTTCAACCCCCCAGCCAACAACACGCTCTGCCCCGTCAAATAACCCGTCACCACACACATCTCCACCACATTTGCAACCTCCTCTGGCGTTCCCAATCGGCCCAGCGGGATGCCCGCTGCAACTTCCGGAATGGCCTGGGCATTGGGTATCATGCCCGTTTCACCAATCATAGCGGGTGCAACGTCGTTGACGCTGATATTGTATTCGGCAAGACGGGTGGAGAGATTCTTCATCATACCTGTCAAGCCACCCTTGGAGGCAGCGTAGTCTATTGTATTTTTCGTGGTGAGATGGTTAGAAAAAAGGGACCAAACATCATTTTTTACAAGAAAACACATTACGATCACAAAGCAAGTCGGGGTGGGTACAACTGGGGCAAACATACGACACCCGTTAACGCCCCCTCCATATCCTGCTATGGAAGACATAAACACAATCCGTCCCCATCGCTGCTCCTTCATCCGCTCCACCACCCCCTTTACCAAAATAAATGACGCCCGCAAATTAACATTGATCGTGTGATCAAACTCCTAGAACGAAATATCCCATATTTGCGGAATGCGCTTGCCGTATCCGGCGTTCGACACCAGGATGTCCGGGAGTTGGTTGTGCGCCTGTTCAATCTCCTGGAACATGAGGCTGATCTGTTCGGGGACGGCAACGTCAACTTGGTGCATGGAAATGCGTAGGGGTGATCCTGCTGATTGGAACCCTTGCTGTTTGATGGAGTGGTACACGGCGCTCATGCCGTCGAGGTTTTTGGAGTAGGTGAGGGCGAGATGCACGCCCCTTGTGGCAAGTCTACGAGCACATGCTGCGCCTATGCTGAAACCGAAAGAGTGCTGTCGCGTCAGTATAATAGTTGTTCGTGGACGGCGCGTTATCATTGAAAGCGATTTGGAGCTTAGCGAGGAATCTACTAACCCCGAAGAAGCTCCAGTGATGAGTGCCAGACGGCCTTCAACTTCATTAAGGGAGGACATTATTTCGAGGGTTGATTGGGTCAAGTATAGATGGGAGTATTTACCCACTTATTTGGTGTTTGCAAGTGTTTGGTAGGAGTACGCATGGCAAACAAATCGTAGTGCGTCTCATCATGGTCGGGCTTCAATAAGCTGTTTTGTGTGAAGTCCCGGCTATCGTGACGTACGAGCATCAGTACAAAGCTTCCCCATATTGCCGACCCCGCAATGTTCCCAAAGAGGAAACTCAGGCGGCGGAGGCTGTGGCATGCGCCTTATGTAACCAACTTAATTTATTCAAGTCTCGGGCAAAATGCCTCCAGATGACAAAACAAAAAATAAAAATAAAAATAGCCAGGGCTCAAAATAATAAGTTACCGTTAAGATCAACCGGCCAGTTTTGAACAGGCCAAATCGTCTCTGAGGTTACCGGGAATGGATTATGATGTGGAAATGAATTCATGCCGAGAAGGTTGGGATTCCCGATTGGATATCCAGAGACATAGTCACCGACAGCCTCTAGATCCAACCAGGAGAAATCGTTCATTGGTGAATATTGCATATATGTCTGCTCTGGAAGTCTATTTGGGACTGTTCCTGTCGGGATATTTCCGTCCTTGCGCAGCGTCTCGTGGGTGTTAGATGACGATGAGGACGATGACTTGGGTTTCCAGAGAAGCTCGAGTAGCCGAGCATAGCGGGAGCCGATGTCGTCGGGCCCTGCACTCGCTCTATGAAGTCTGTCTGTCGTAAGGTTTATCAAATGTCGCACAGCTTGCTCCTCAGGAGGGTTCATTACTCCAAATGAGCGGGCCTAATGGAGACACGTTAACGAACCAGATCTAAGAATGCAAGGATTGGGGCAAGCCATTATTACCTTGTATAGGAATACAGCGGCATAAATGCTATATCTATTATTCAAAACGGTATTAGTTAAGGGATAGTACCCAAAGAACCAATTGATGAAGAAAGGTAAACTTACAGATAATATCTAAGAGGCATGAAATGTAAATGTTTCTCGGGATCAACATAGTTATTCAGAATTGTGAGGTATGATTTCGCGGCATCAACTGATGCGTATATAAAACGGGCATCCTGCATAGATGCAACGTTGCTAAATGCTGCCCGTAGGTGCTCTCTGTGACTTGGAGCATCTCCCTTGGGTTTGGAGGTGAGTGCTTGGGAAATTGCCGCTTGGAACGCAAAAGCGTTTGTGTATAGCCTCAGATATTCGTAAGACATCTGTAGGGTCACCTTGATGTGTTGAGAGCCTATGGGATTTTTGTATTAGCTGATTTCTTTGCTAAGAAAGCAAGGGATCCGCGAGTAGGCTTGAATGGTTGGACATACAGGTTAATGTGCCCCAATTCCGATTCCAGCGGTCAAGTGCATTTCGAAAGTCGTCGACGTATTTCACGTAATCTCCCATCAACATCATTTGACTGCTCGTGCGCATTCCTGAGTAGAGGACATCGTGAACGTTTCCGTACAACTGTGTGAGGTCCAACAGCGCTTGGAAGATCTTGGCGTAGTCTTCATCATCTGAAGTGAGAGGTTGTAGAGACGGAAAGTCTTTGCTAACAAGTCCCGTCATTGGGCCAGGGCCCCGCGACCAAAATGCTCGTCCGATGCGAACGGATATCAATCGATCCGAAATATAGCAGCTAGTCCATGCCAGTCGCTTCCGTCCGTCGACCTGCGCGTCGTTGGCGGGATCACTTCTGAAAGAAGTCCGATCAAGCCCAAGGAAATATCCCGAGCGTAGAGCTAGTCCCACGTGCATCCACGCTGCCCTATCTTCCTCTCCTCGCCCCACGGCTTCAATTTTCGGCCGTAGGCCTTGTGGTTCCCATTCGGCGAGGATCAGCAATGCTTCAACCGCCTCAACATCGCAATCTGTTCCAGCGGCAATGCCAGATATTAGTTCATGCATATACTTGGAGCAAACCTCATGAACCTGCGGGGTTTCGACAAGGTCCTTTGAGGCGATGGTAAGGACTGCGGTAAGCAGATGCTTTTCCTGTGACGCAAATGATTCTAGAGCAGCTGGATCAAAGTATTTTCGTGGAACAAGGGGAAGATAAGGATGGAAATTTTCCGCGTAACGCGTCACAAGCTGGGAAACAGTTTCACGGGTGAGGGACCTGTTCTTGATAAGGCGATATGCCTTGATTCCCGGCTCAGGGTCCTCATCTTCAACACCAGTTAGTCTAGTACGTCTTTTCGACTCTGAATAATGATCTCCGGTTTTATCGAGGTTTGCGCTTTCTGACCCTCGCTTGGCAACATTTGTCAGACACTGCCATGCGTCAGACGGGTTCCGTGGAACGGATCCGATTGCGCTGTCCGTAGTTGAGGCGGAATCATCGTCGTCGTCGATATTGATAGTGGAAGTGGTGGGTGGATCGGATCGTCCATAGTGATCTGGCGGATAAGGCTGCGGGAACGAATGGGGTTCTGAAGGACCAGAGACGCCGGTCGGAGGCAGTTGCAGCACTTTGGTGGGGGAGGAATTTGAATTCATCTCAATATTGGTAGTTTTTGGCTTGCGAATACGCCGCCCTCCTCTGTTAGAGCTACCCAGAACGCATTCACGATGGTCTCGCAGACACCGCTGACAAGGCGGAGTTCCTGGGCTTCCACTACTATCCCTATATGCCAAAGACCAGTCAGTCAGCGGTGGGGTCCGGCCCTCAAAGAACAATCTCCCCTGGGCCGAATATATCTGCTTGACCGGGGGGGAAGAGGGGGGGAGTGGTTTGTGTGAATGGCGAAGAAACAGGTGATGCCCATTCGACACGAGCTCCAGAGAGAAGGAGAACTCCCATCCCACTTACAAGTCGCATCTAGATTTGCGCTGGCGACAGTGCAAACAAGCTCTCGAGACGCGCTTCATGAGGTGTTCGGAGTGGGCCTTCAGCTTGCGTTTTGTAACCTTTTCGGTTACGCCATTACGGAGAGCCGTGGTGAGCATGACTGCTTAAGGATTAAGAAAGCACAGAACAAGTCGTCTCTTTCTCAACTCAACCTGCGAACCACAGGCATTAAAGCCAGCATTTAGCATTTGGCTGTTTCCTTCGCCCTCGCTTCTTTGCTGGGGATGCAGTGGTCCGTCTTGGCATTGGACGGGAGTTCCCTTGCTGCGCCGGTGCGTTGCGGTTGCGCATCAAGTGCTGGGAGGGCAAAGTCGCACGATCAGCAGTCCCGGGTCAGCAAGGAGAATTCTGGTCCGATATGAGATGCATCCGTGATAGCTACAGTAGCTAGTAAACTAGCAGTTGAGAGCCAAGTCGAGCGGGCTGGGCGGCGGGGGAGGGCCATTCATTATTGGCAACGAAGAGAATCGTTGCGTACTCTGTACAGAATGTCAGATTAGATGATGGGACGAGGTCCCTCCCTCCCCACACTAGCCCCAAGTGGGGAGCCCTAGCCGGGGACTCGGCCGCTAAGATCACACGCTGCAGCGGTACTGCGGCAGTGCAGCCCCAGCAAGTTGGCAACTTGGCAGCCGCCGTGCCATCTGGTTCCGGGTGTGTTTTGGCGAGTGGGCCCGCACGACCAGGCCAATAACGCCCCCGGGAGCTGGCGGTTGGCTGCCCTGGAGTTCCGCCTCTCTTTGAAGTTTGGGGGGTGGGGGCCCCTAGCCGCTGGGTGGGCTTGGTGGAGGCCCCGAGCCGGACGGAGACTATTATTTTGGCAAACAACCTTTAACTCACGCTTCTTCACTAAAGACTCTAAGAGTCACTACTAAGACTGACTAACTGGCCCTAGTGGGCGGCCCAGCGCAAATACCCTAAACAGACCAACCAACATCCTACTTATTGTTATTATTGGTGAAGGCAGTTCAGAAATGAAAAGCTGCTGAAACCTCTCTTTCTGCAATCTAAACATCAGGCTTCGTTTCCAGATTATTAGGATGGTGATGTGATGATGATGATGATGATGATTTTTCTTTTCTTTTCTTTTCTTTTTTTTTTTAATCAACTGTCTCGCCGATTTACGGATAGCCCAGGGGGGGGGTTATACAGCATTGCCTCGCACCCTCAGAGCATATTCCTTTTATACCAGGCTGGAACTCACGCCAACATACGATCCGTAAGGTAAATCTGCACAGTGCTCGTACCGCTGAATGTATGTACATACATGTACATGTACATGTACGTGTATCTGCATGGATCGAAGACTTTGGCCTCTGTCTGGAAAACGAATAATAAAACGGAGTCTGCTCTCTCAATCTGAAGTTCAGGCGTCAAAAGAGAACAGTTCCTGCACCACCATCACCTGTCCCTTTCATCTGGACCCAAGCCCTGCCCAACAAGCCACCAGCAAATACCCGTGGTCAGAGGACCCAAAAATGCTGCTGAATAATGGCAGTGATGGGGAGAACCAAGTCAAGTGTCCTGTGTTGCACTGGCCTGTTGTTGTTTCTTTGCTTTTTCCTGTGACATTTTCAGATGTAGGAAATGCCTGAGTATTGGCGCGTCGGGTGAGATGTCCGGCAAGCACTCGAGCGTTGAATGGAAAAGAAAATGGAATTCCAGATCTCGATCCGGAGGAACTCAGAGGAGAGCAGAGAGCACTGCGTTGTTGGCTGATGCCGGTTAGGCTATAGATGCGTTTGAATGAATTTTTAGTGCTCCTTTAAACTTCATGCCATCGACTGGTTCGGAATAATTAGGTTCTCATGCTGGCGCTATAACGACGTAGCATCTACGCAGTAAGTCATATTTTTCAGAATCAGCTTTCCTATTCAGGCTCGCGGACTTCAATTCGATCACATTTGTGGCTGGTTAAATGGTCAACAACTAGCGCGCTGACTGCCCGTTCTTCAAAAGTTACTCCTTTGAAGTGTGCCTCTGCCGGGTTTCAACGGGTTTGTGGCTATCCCTGATAAGAACTGAGAAAGAGAGGAGGACAAGCGGTTCTAGGTCAAGCTTTTATTCAAGAGCACCGAAAAACGGCCCAACTATGTACGATTATGCCGTGCTTCCTTTCCTCGGGGTTCTCACGATATCGTGTATCGCAAGTGAGTGGGGGAGGGGAGCTCCGAATGGAACATCCACAACAGATATGTGGTGTGGTGTGCAAGGGAGTAACTATTTTCCTTTCCCTTTTCATTCTCTTTTCTTTTCTTTTCTTTTCTTTTCTTTTCTTTTCTTTTCTTTTCTTTTCTTTTCTTTTCTTTTCTTTTCTTTTCTTTTCCTTTTTTTCATTTCCTTTTTTTCTTTTTTTCATTTTTTTTTTTTTTTTTTTTTTTTTTTTTTTTTTTTTTGGCGTTTTCACAATATGCTAGTGATGCCAACGGTTGATGCCATTGCTACCCACCAATGACTATTGTTTGCGTCATGAATAGTTACCCTACTGCTGCACTCCGCGCCGTCCAATACCGTCGTGAATTCGAGTCGAGCACCTTTTGTGTCTTCATTCAACGAGACGGCGAACTGGCCCCGTTTTGTTCAGGACGAAGTACTCCGTACATCTAATGCATCCATTCCGAGGTCAATGCACCACTGACCGGACACGCCCCAAAAACTCCACAGGATACATACAAACAAAAGTGAATTTCATAGTTTACTGCACCCTCTCGGCCCATTTAGCAAACGCGGGGAGCTTAAAGCGTTCCTCAAGTGTCAGGCCAACTCTTCAAATAATCCAGCCACTACTGCAACTTTGGTGGGTTTGGTTTGGTTTGGACCAATGTTGGCCTGCAGGAAATCTACGAACCCATGGAAATTGACTCTACCCGTCGATTGTTCGAGGTTTTTAAACTTTCAAGCGAGCCAGGATTATTTCACCTCGCTGAGATTTTCATTTTCTGAGGTTCCAGTGGGCTGGCGCCACGATATTTTGGACCACCCCTGAAGAAAAACTAGATCATCAAGGCGCAATAATAAGCGTCGGAAGGGAAAATGGTTTGCTGTCCTGACTCGAACCCCTCCTCCTCCTCCTCCTCCTCCTCCTCCTCCCTACAGCGTAGATTCTCATCGTTGCCATCTCCCAACCCAGATGTGAGTTACACTTGGCGGCTGTTCAACGTGCACCCAGGAAAAAAGAAATCTAATAGGAAGCCTCTGTCCTTCCCATCACCAACCGCTGAACTCTCCCCAGCCGTTGCTTGTGCACACACAACACTGTGCAAGTCAGGATAGGGTAACCTAACAAACGCTTCCCTCTCTAACTCTTCCCCACCTAACTCACTCCCTTTAGCGTTTTCCCCCTAGGAAAGAGTGTGATATGCAATGTAGCACAGAATATAACGGTCCGGACTGGTCACACGAGCCTAACCCACCCTGCTTTCAACACACCAACCCCCACACACGTGAAGGTCCTGAAGAATCTATTTATTTTTGGTGGTGTTTCTGGTTGCCCAGTTCTAATATATATATATATAACGATATACCCCATCTACACATATGCCGTTACACCCTGGGGATCAATAGGGTGGACACAAGGTATGTTGCACTGCTGTGGTTGGATTCGATCGTACGAGAATGAAGAGGTTGATCCAATTGCTTCAAAAGAAATATCAACGGGAACAGTAACAGCAGCAACGGTAGCAGGATGGAACAGCGGGGCTATCTGTACTCATCTAAAAAGATGATGGGCTGATTTTTTAGTTTTATTTTTAGTTTTTATTTTGGCCAACAATATCACACTCAAAACATCTCAATCTCATAGGCTGGTAGTGGGTAGGACTGTTCATCCTAAACCAAGACTACAGAGCACTCGACTAGCTACCATGTAAATCTTCAAAACCATGCCCTATCCCCCTCCCCCTTATCTCTTACCCCGCAAGTACGAAGTATGAAATAAGAAATCGAAAATGATATACCAAATTCTATACTCAAAGAGGAATATGGATATAAATCCCATAATTTCAAACCATTTCTTGATTCGTTTAGTCAAAAGGTGCTTCCTTTCCCTCTCAGCCAAACAAGGCTGGCTAAAAAAAGCGAAGATGGTGGCCCCCAATTGAATTGGGGTCCAATCACATTTTTTTTTTTTCATCATGCAGAGCATTTTCTTGGGTTTAGTTTTTTAATTTTCATGTCTTTGCTTTCTCAGCCCACCACCCACCACCAGACTGCATGTGCAGCTGGAGTACGGAGTAGTCCGCACTAATAATAAGATTCCCCCCTTACTCCGTAGTTACTTTCTCAGACAGCCTCGTAGAGATTAAAAAAAAAAAAATACCCACCAGTAAGGCCCGTCCCAGATTCACTTCGCACGCCGGAATGTAGGTAGTCTGTATCCTGTAGCTGTCAGTTGTATATGTATGACCGCGTTCCTGGCCCGCTAACCACCCACATACACACACGCATACGCGCAAGGGTTATTAGCAATTCGAACGTTATCAGATATGCAGACTTTTGCATGGGAAAAGTTTTAATGAGAAGAAGTTGATATAAATAGAAGCCAGGTGAGAAAGGACGGCAGTTGGTGGTGGAATATGAGTAGAAGAAGTAGAAGCAGAGGAAGAGGAGATAGACAGATTCGGATACAATGCGGCAGAGAGCCTGAAGAGTCATGACTGTTCCCCAAAGATGAGAGCGTTTTTCAATAACCGGGGAGTAGTGCCGCGAGAAACCGCGGGCGGAGGGAGCCTTTTGTTTTTTTTTTTTACAAATGCCGACGATGAAATATTAAGAGCTCTACGGCCCCCATTTGCCGGGCGGGAGTTCTTCACGGGACTTCTTGAGAGGATTAGCTAATGGCGCGGCCATAGTTATAAAATTCTCAAAGAAGAGGTTTTGGTATTTGGAGCCGTGATGAGTTTCGGGTTTCGGTCTGGTTGAGCTGGGCGTTTATGTCTGTAGGTTATCATTTTTGATGGAACACGAACACCCATGACCCATCGTGGAAGGGGTGTGTATAGATGGGCTAACTCTCGCGTCTGTAGGTTGAACATCAGCTCTCTTCTCCCGAGTCGACTGCGTGTCCGGCGGAGAATATATTGCATGCGCCCTTGACCTGCACATGAACATACATCCGAAGTACAGTACAGTACATCTTTCCCGTGATCGTTCACAAGTATCCGCAGCTCAGGAACGAAGAGACGAAGGGCAGGTCGACCTCTCCCTTTCCTGCTCCACCGAGACTACAGTACTCGAGTTCGAAAAAAAAAAAAAAAAAAATCATTTCTGGTTATCTCCTACACTGCGGGGAGACTCCCTCCCCGAGTCCAAACCCATTATTAATAGATAAAAAGAAAAACGGCAAAGGCACTGCACATGCCCGGCCAGTTCCCAGGCGGGGAGCATCATGAATCGGTAGGGGTTCGGACATGAAAAAAGAAGAGCGCATCCGTCAAAAAGAGTCTCCCGATTTAATCAATTATGCACGTGCGGATGGCCACAGGCGGACCGGGAAAGTAGAGAGAGGTTCAACTAGACAGGCCGCGCGCTTGCTGCATTGCTTTTTCGACTGTTCACCGTTTTCAGACTTCGGTACATCGCTGCGCGATGGATAAGGGCTAGGTCAGCAGGAGGGGCAGTATCTTGTCCATATGGCACGTGTGTAAAGGAATTTTCTTTCAACAGTTCGCTCATTTCTGTCGGGGCCCGTTTGAGATGGAGAAGGCAAGTCAGTATCCTTGGTTGAACCTAGTACCAAACTATTTGGTGGCTGCCGCGTTCGTCCTGTCTGGATGTTGCGAATTGGGTGGTGAGTTTCGCATATTCCATACCCACGTTTATTTTCTATTATTTTCTATTTATTTTGTTTTCCGTGGGTTTTGCCTTTTGCCGTCAGCGCCTGCCAGGGCTGATCTGCTGCATGGATTATATATATCCAGATGCACGGTGTGAAGGATATCCTGGAGATATCACGACTAAGATCGCCATCTCGAATTCGATTGGGCTTATGCAGGTAGAAGACAGGGCAGGGGAGAAAAAAAAAAAGGAAATCAGGGGGTCGCGCGAGGAAGTGGCTGTCTAGATAAATTGACGTAACGCCTATGCGCATGCACATTCGCATGCGTACTGTATGTACTGTATGTACATTACGTATGTACGTACATGCGTGCGGATGCAGAACAGGGTAGTGGAAGCAGAGGGCCTCACCGCTCCTGTTAATCTCATCGAGGGCGTTCTTCTTTGTTATTTCTTTGATTCTTCATAGTTTCTCTAGCATATATGAGCGACAAAAGTCGGTGGAGAGACTTTTTGTTGATTCATTTGGCTTCGATTCAAGGTGTTGTCTTCGGGATGGGATGTGTTCCTTGGGAATGGAGGTTTGGCGTCTTTCAGACGCATGCTTTGAGGATTTTGAGCAAAGAATAATTGGATGAAAGGTAGATAATTTAGATATCTCGTAGTATCGCTTGGGCTTGCGGAGGGCCGCCATGTTCATATGAATTGGCTCTACTCTTTGTCTGCCCGGAGATATATTAGCATCGGAATGGAAAATCTGGCCAAACATTCGTATACTCACCTGGAAAATACTGAGTCGGTTGGAAATAACTTTTCTTTTCAAAGCATACTTTATTCTACTCAATGTTCCTCGCTGTTGGGATTCTCAATGGGGGGGCTCTTGAGTGTTGAACTGATGTCAAGGCGCGCTAGTTAATAGCGCGAGTGGCGGCGCTTAGCTGCTACGCTAACTAAGTTGCGCCGGGGCCTAATGGCTTGTTGAACACACCACCCACCGTTCAATGTTAGACTACTCCGTACAGAGTACTCCGTAGGGATGTTTCATAGCGTTACATTTTGCCCATATGACAATTACTCTGCTTTTCATCGTGCCAGTCTATAGGACAGACAGCACAGGCGCTCATGCTAGGCACTTAATTATTTCATTCTGTGGGTTTGGTCAGTTCCAAATCCAATCGATGAAAATCACAAGCTGATATGATGACAGTGTTTGGTATTTTTTTACAGAGGATGTTGATTAGCACTAAGAATTGAAAGTTGTAACTATCCTCTCTTAACCAGGGAGGTTAATGCCTGTGGCGCCTGAAAACCAACTACAGCACAGCTTAACTAGAGCTAGCTTAAAATTTTTTGATAGGATCCTCCGTACAATCACATTCTATCTGACATATCATCACATGTTTTTCAAATGTGTGTCTTGTTAACTTCATTTTATTTAAACCCGTGGCTTTAAGTTTGACAGCCAGATCAAACATTTAAGGTGCCACACGCACTCACTGAATACCGCTTGATGATGGTGGTTGAACTTCAAGAGGTTTGGATTCAATTCGAATTTATCCTCCACAGCTACAGAATGACAAAGGAAATAAGATACATTCTGCCTAGGCAAGCATCTAAACAAGGGTGTTCTCAACTAAAAGTGACTCCTTTAACCATGCAGCCTGTGAGCTGAGCTCTGTTCAATCCTTCAAAAGCATACTTCAGTTACAATACCGCCATCACTTACCTATCCCACGACCACTCATCGGCCAGGGAGCGCAGGGGCATCAGCACGACCACACCCTCATCCAAGAGACTAAAGTTTCCCTCCTCAACCTCGAATACGATTCCCAGCGTACTAGGATTGAAGCGAATAGCACCATAATTGCTATCGTCGGTTGAGACGAGTGCTCCACAGCATGTTGAAGTCACCGGAGCTCGTATGATATGGGCCCAAGGCAGCGAACAGAATGAAAATGTTCCCGGAGAGCTGAGATGGTTGCTGTCATTCCTATTCCGGAAGAACGGCAAATATTGGGGCTCGCGGCGGAGTGCTTCTTCCTCTTGGATGACTTCAGGACTGAGATGGTACTCCCTGTGTGGGATACAGACAGGTTCAGGCTAGGTGTAAAACCCGGCTAGGAATTTCATCCGAGAGCTGTTCAATGGTGGGTTTTCTAGAGGTCCTGCATAACAAAATGGATGACCCGCCCTAGGTGTGGTTCGTTCTCCATGCCATCTACGGGATCAATACTCCGTACGTTCCCTACCTGTTGTTCAAGCGGTTGCCGCTTCACAAAGCTAGAGGATCAACAACCGCTCTGTAATCAATACAAACGCTCATTTCATCTCCATATATCTCCGGGGGTTAGTACAGGTACTGTACAAATGTTGCTAGGAAACAAAAATCTGACATATATGGAATGGTTCGGCCCTTTAGCTACCAAGTAAAGACAGATAGATGGTGATTGAGTCTTGTGCCTCAGTATGCTTACATTCCCTCCATATTTTGCCACCCTTCCTGCACTCTGCATTTTAAATCGCCCACGTTTACCCTAGAGTCTAGAGGGTTGTTTAGATATTATTACTCCTAAAGTCAATGTTCTGGTGAGGACGAGGACGCTGTCGTACTGCCAAAACCTGCAGCGCACTCACCATTTTCATCTTGGCGTCAGGTGCGTTCATTCATACGGCCCTCATTCTAATAACCACGCACGTTCAACGACCAGTAATTTCTTGCTGACCCACAGGTTACGATGCTGCCGCCAGGATGCAGATTCTGACCTTGATTCTTCGATGCCCCCAGCGGCACCACAACGGTCGCGGGCCAGCCAACGTTTACTCTGCTCCTTCTAAGCCTATAAATACCCCGTCATCATGACAGCCAACTTGAATCGACTTATTATCTTTAATTGCTCTATACCACCGAATACCCTAATATCTACACTGGATTCTTTAAAGCTTCCTATACATTTCGTCTCTTCAACATCTTCCCTTAAGTCAGGCCTCTCCTAATCCTTGGATTATCATGTCATCAGAGGAAGATGACGCCTGCTCTGATGTCCCCATTATCTTCAACAATGGGTCAGAGTCAGGTAGTGACTACTCAGAGACTGATGATTCAGGGGATGAACTACAGAACATCTTAGATGGTGACCAGGCCTATGATAATGAGGTGTTGTATCCTCCAGAACACTACCATGCAGAGGCCAGCCAACTGGATGTATCTCGGCTTCAACAGCAGAGATACAGTCCAAAGACACTGAAGAGGCTAGAGGAGGCAAGGAGCTATTGAGATTGGTAAGAATGCACAGACCTTGATATTGATATATTGTTGAATAGAAATTGATCAAATTTCACAGTGTTTCCCTGGATAGATATTGTTGGTTTCAGCGCCGGGATCCAGCCGGCTGCTTTCACTCATTGGCCACAGCAGAGGAAATTGTCCAGTACCTCAAGGGGCTTTTCAGCTGGCGCTGTGACCTACGGCGGGGCAAGAATGGACGACGGACACCTGGCATCCGATATAAGAGTTCACTAGAGACATTCTGGAAATGCTGGCATCTTGTGTATAAGCAAGAAACCGGGAATGGCCTCACTCAAGAAACCATCAGACAGATTGAAGATGTAAGAGGCTAATCCTTCACTGTCTCTAATTTTAATTAATCAACTCTAGGTTCTCAGCATCATTGCAGAAGAAAAGAAGCTTCTCCTCATTCACCAACCAAAGGTGATGATGTATATTGAGGATGTAGCAGAGTTCGCCTGAGTACTTCTAGCAATGATGGAGATGACATTTGTAAGTGGCTGGCTGTGAATCCAGATGCTCCTCTTCTGTCAGCTAGCAGCAATCACGGCAAGCTGACCACAGGCATTGCTAGACCTTTGATATCGCCATCTAGAGCTAAGGCTGATTCGTGACCCAGATGGTGGCTGACCTAGGTTGTTTATCTACCTAACGCCTGAATTTATCAAGACATTCCTTGGGAAAAAAGAACTGTATGTTTGACCTGTATCTTTTCGCGTTCAGCTTCTGTATTTGGTTTCATCCTCTGAGTATTCAAATCAATAATGGTGAAACCTGATTCAGCGTCGTGTTTCAGTGTGGTGTTTGGCACTCAGGAATGAAGAAGTAACTGCTCTTGATATATCCATGCTAATGATACACTGCATAGGAATACATTCCTGATCCCTGAGATTATATATGATCCGACTTTGGTCCTAAGCCCCCATGTCTTTCTCCTCAGTATGTTGTTCCGGCTCAAGGCATTCAGAAGCATATTCAAAGACCAACCGACTATCAACTGCCCTGAGAACCTTTACAGCCTAGGCATTCTAAAAGGGCTAAATCAACAGGATCTAAAATTAAAGGATGAGCTCCTGGATCAATTTGTGTTCTGCCAGGCAGTCCAGGAAGCACATGGAGTTCGCATAGCCTTGGAAAAATGGTTAACAGCAGCGAGCGTCCGCTATCGCATGAAGCGAGCAGGTGAGATCACAGGTTTTGAGCAGGTTACAAAGCTGTACTGTATTTGATACAGATCGGCTAAGGCGTTTAATGATAGTTGTAGGTATTCCTTAATCTATAATGAAATGATGTGAGCATTCCTGACGAAGTTTGGATTGACAGCGGATGTGACCAATGAGCTCCAGAATGTGATGTTGCAGCACAGTAACATCAACACCTTTGTGCAGCACTATAGTGTTGGCATACATGTCGACGCCCAAGCGATTGTCCGCGGCCTCACTCCTCAAACGAAGCTGATGCGTTTTGCTTGCTCAATGAGCTGGTCAATCGATCCTCAGCGTCCCTTCAAGCTGACGAAGGAACAGTCTGATTCCGTCAATGAATTAGACTGCATACATGTGCTACAGGACAAGGTTAACAAGCGGTGGAAGTCTCGGGACCAGCACTGCTATGAATATGAAGAGGCCAAACAACAATTCGAACAGGCTCTCATCGACACAAAAGATGATATACCATGTCAGAAATGTAGCAGTGAGTACAACAGATCTCTCAATACCAATCTAAAATGCCAGAATCGTCGATGTACCTACTGTAAATTGAGGAAACATTGTAAACAAGCAGAAGTGCAGCACAAACATGCAGGTCAAGCTTATCAACATACTCTCTGGGAATTGCAGAGTGAGAAACAGCAACAATGCAATTGTATGGTGCAGGAAAACCTTGAACAGTACAAGAACAATCAACCGGTGATCGATAGTCAAAGGCAACTTTCAGGCAAGATGGTGGATGAAGAGGTGATCGATGTACTACAGCGGTCAGGGTATATGACACCGCAGCACCTTATCCTGATTGACACAGTCCTCACTAGACCAGCGCCCACGGTTGAGGCCGAGTACCGGCGGCAAATAGCTGCTATCAACACGGTGACAGCATTCTGCAATGTAGAAGAGGGTGCCCCTTCTCAGAGGACAATCTGCCTACTGAAAAAGCGAGTCACTCCAGATGTAGCTTCTTCCATGCACAGTAAGAAACAGAAGCACTCCCTGGAAGATGAAACTGCTGTCGCTCTCCGCGAAGCTATCACATCAGTGCAAGTAGATTCACCGGATCAACGGCCGGAGATCTGTTTCCTCTGTGTTGGAAATCCTAACCTCCAGCTAGCCAAGAGGACCAAGAAGTACCATGACCCAGGGTCTCTAACTAGGCATTTTCGGCGAAAGCATGTTGACCGCCTTGGGTCAGGGTTCCGAGGTTCTAAGTGCAATGTTTGCGGTGTAATTCTGGAAAATAAGATGCATCTTATGAATCATGCAGAGTCTAAGCATGGTCCTGTTTCGCGGACGCCCCTGTAATTTCTATATATATAATTCCCCATTTGAAGTCTATTAAAGCTATTAATATAACGCAGATTAGATCTTTCGTGCAGTCTATAGCTTGCAACCTAACCATGTTTCTCCTGTTGGCTTGGCCGTTTCTGGTATTGCAATAAAGTTGCAGCGTGGCTCGAGCCGTGGTGAATATGTCAAATCATTGCATTTCCTTTGCCCCTGCTAACTCCTCACTACATGGATATAGGCGATTTGATACTTAAATTTGTGTAGGTTAGCCAGTATTTACGATAAAGGCAACAGCCATCAGGGTTCTCTATCCGCGGAATCTTCTATTTGTCTCTGATGGTCAAGTTGCGGTTTGTGACAAACCGCAACTCTACCACCATCACGTGAAATTCGGCTGCAGGATGATTTTTGGGTCATCCCTATGATCGATTTCTTTGCTGCAACTAGGAACAATGTGGTTACCAGCACACATTCACATTTGCATGAAATACAATGCAGCGTCACAACTTTGATACAAACCAGCCAGAGCTAACCTGCAACCCTTAGAATACCTCATTTTGTGTAGTTTGTGGACACAGTTCTGGAAGTCACTGGTACACTTCTGATAACAGGTTAGGTATTGGCTCTGGGTTTAGGATAGCTTCATCTATATGCTGATACCACAGACTCTGAGCTGTGATCTGAGAGTGCATAGTGTATTATCTACACTGGTGAATTATTTGTATGACTTATACCATGCGACCTAGATTTTGTCGCTGTCACAAGACTGCCTCTAATTTTCAGTGACTTTGGATGCAAAAATTTTACAGCAACTGGTACATGCCTTACTTGAAACATCTCTAATCATCTTTGAGATTCCATGACCTTCTTTTATTTCATTTCCCCGCATTTCTCCTCACACCTGAGGTTACTTCACTCTCCTTCTCACTCATCATTTATTTTTCCTCTCACACTCACTTGTTGTTGCAAAGCAAAACCTTAGGTGTTATAGATATTCAGGTTAATTCCCTTCAAGTTTGTCACAATTTTACTCTAGCTACTCTCTTATTAGAGTTGAGGTAATAGTTTGAGGCAAAGTACCCAAGTCTCTGACGGCACCATGAGACCAAAATGTTGACAATTTGCATTCTCTGGAAATAGTGATGACGAGTATATTACTTATCTGAAAGATTGTCTATCAGCTTTAATTGATGAATATGACTTCGCTGCTGCTCAACAAGTGATCCCAGATCTAGCAATCATCACACCTAGTGTTCCTACTATTGAACAGGCACTAGGGATTGTTCAATATGAGCCGGCATCTGATACTCACCATGCGGTTGATCAGAAACAGAAATCGATCGCGCACTTCTTTGCCCTTGAAATGCCTGAATATATGGGCTCAAGTCTTAGTCTTTCACTTTCCAATTCTTTGAATAGCTTAACATGTAGACTGTCTGACATAATGTCTTCTTCATTTCTAATAGATACTGAGCAGCAGGAGAACTTTTTGTCACCTTGTCCAGAGGACAGCACTAGCTCAGAAAAAGAACCTCGCCGGACTGAACTGACACAGGGATCTGTAGACACTGAGTCGGCAACTAATGACAACCGATCAGCCATGGAGAATGATGATTCAACGGATGATGTTGAATCATTGCTAACCCCACACCTGCCGAATTGTAACCCCCGAAGAGTTGATTCCGCCCGGAAAGTGAAAAGAAGCCGGATGAATTTTTGGACTAGCCCGATCGCTGGTTGTATACTCACAGAGGAAATGATAGAACCTGATAGCCTGTACTGCCTGTTGATTCAGCAATGCGGGAAAGACCATAATGAAGAGGTTCCACGCCTCGTGAGACTCTTTTATGCCATTGCAAGCCCGTACGCATTCAAGCAGCTTGCTGAAGCCTGTAAATCAGCCCGACTGCAAGAGCATAATACCCTGTCACAATTCCCAAGTGATGATCAAATGTTGATGAACACATTAGATGTTTTAGATTCGAAATCTACGCTCCGTACTTTACTTCGGCGGTTTTTCTTGGTACGTCTGCTAGACAGCCGGAACCAAAGTGAGAATAGCTTCAAAATTAGGCGCACTCAATCTGCCCCAGGCCGGGACTGCAAAAACAAAGACCGAGCCAGGGACTCTCTTTCCGGTCGTCCTGATTCGAATGCTGTTCAAGACCTTCTATTTAAGTTCTATCCCCATATCAAGCATGTTGAAAAATGGTCCGTTGAGTATAAGGAAAAACATACCAAGCTAAAAAACCGGCTTAAATGGGCACGTAATTGGTATCTGCTGCGCCAGAAATTTTCATCAGGACTGCTGGCTTTAGTACCATGTGGAGATGAGCTGCGGATAGGCATTGACTGGTGTGTTGCTATGTTGCCAAAAGTGAACGCGCGTTAATATTTTCTAGGTTCCAAACGATACCGATCCGTCTATTTTCAATCTTCCTGGATATTCTAGACAAATATCGAGGAGAATTTCTGCGGAACATCGGCGATTTAATCTCCACCGACATTGAAGTGGTGCTATGTGGCAGCCATAATGGGTTGATGTATGGATTCGAGCACGAGGATACTGAACAACTTTTAATAGAGCGTATGGACTCAGGTCATCTAATCGATCTATGTCAGCAGGGCAATGTTACAGAATGTTCTTTTTAAAGCGATTGCATACAATTGTTAATCCATGTATATGTGGCAACCTTTCCCAACAGCTTGCGCTGGGTAAAAATTCGAGCGAGACTTTTAACTACGGAACTTACGTAAAGGTTACAGCGTTGCGGTTTGTGACAATCCGCAACGTCAACAATATAATAGTAGCAAGCAGCTGGAAGCCGAGTGGAGAAACCGAAAATAATAGGTAGCTTATTACAAGCATAGAAGTCAGGAACTTTAAATAACGGCTAACATATAACTTCAGAGAACGAACCAGCTTTATAATAAACATTCTGTACATCGAACACTTGTCTGCCAGAGGAAGATATAGTTCTCAGATCAGACCAGCGTAGATATTCTACGTGACCATGGGAGTGTTTTCCACGAAATCTCTGAAAAAAAGAAAGGTGACAGTGATCCAAACAGGCGGTAAGCGCACCGCCTCTCAAACGGTCGCGGTCGAGCAAGAGGCTCCAGGAGATCGCGCCCTACCTAACTGCTTTCAGTTAGACTCGCCCTTCGAGTTCGCTTCAGCCACGCCCCAAGGCGGCCTGTTGGCTCCTTCTTTTGGTTAGACTCGCCCCAAGAGTCGTGGCTGAAGCGAATCAGGTGATTTTTCCAACTTCATATATGAATTTTAGCGTCAAGATAGAAACCTCGTTTCGAAGCGTAACTCGGACATTAATGGCAGCTGTCTTTGCACCAGGTGAAGCCATGGTTATAGACCTTTACTCCTTTGACTTAGCACCGACGTGAAGAGGAGGAACAGACGCAAGAATCCGGTATTTCACAGTTGACCACGCTACCATGGACTCAACATTAATCTCCTACTGTGTTTCAAACGAATACCTCGTGGAGTGAGGCATAGCGCCGAGTTTTGGCAAAGCACGGCCGTGACGAGGATGACCTAAGCGGTCTATCGATCAGGCGGATGCCACAAAGTGGTGGTTTCATTGCATATTACTCCTTTTGGTATAGCGTCGATCATTCCTTGGCATACTATAGCCATGGCTTCACCTGGTGCAAAGAGCTCTGCTTTCAGTTAGACCCGCCCTTCGAGATGAACCGTCTGTGGGGATTCAGACTATGCCTGGTGACATGGCCTGGTGTGAGGAAAATGGTTGGAAGAATTGCCAAGAGATTGGGCCGAAGGGTGAAAATGAAAACCAAATCATAAAAGCTGTGTGACTGAAGATATTGTCAGGCAGGGATTTTAACTAACTAGCTGGTCTGACCGGCATTAGTGCATGAGTTGTCACAATCAGGACTGGACCCAAGCAAACCAAACTTGCCAAACCTACACAAAGAAAAAGCTCAGGAGAATCCAATCAGAAGGAGAATCCAATCAGAGGCAGCCACGCTATAGACCAATAGCTCACATAAATTTGTTGCTGTAACTAAGATACATATGTCCTTTCATCCTCATATATCTCCTATTTCACTAACACTATCGCAGCCAACAAAATTTTCATAATGAATAAAGCAACCCATGTTATCGACCCGGATGGTGAAGTGTTAATAATATTGCGCAATGCAAATGACTCTTTTGCAGTTTGGGATGAAATGCCTTCCTTCCCTCTTCCTGAATCTAATCACGGCCGCCACAGCAATAGTGATACTGAAGCTTGGAATGAGCATGTGGATAGCTCATGCTTAACTCAAAAAGAGAAAAGGAAGAGAAAAAAAACAAGAAAACAAAAGGCAAATAAAGGGAAGTTTGGTGATCTCGGTGCTCCCAGTTCAACTCTCCAAAAATTTTTTAACAGCACTTCACAGCCTATTGAAGAACCACCTGTTGAAGAACCACCTGTTGAAGAACCACCTGTTGAAGAACCACCTGTTGAAGAACCACCTGTTGAAGAACCACCTGTTGAAGAACCACCTGTTGAAGAACCACCTGTTGAAGAACCACCTGTTGAAGTACCATCTGTTGAAGAATCTATGAAGAACATGTCCCTTATTATCCAATCAGATGAAACATCGAATCATCTCTTTCTTGATGCATCAAATATAGAGAACGAGAACCGCAATCTCGACGTTACACAGATATACTGTGATCACGACTCACCAGAAGATTGCTATCGCATTCAAGTTTCTGCGAAGCATTTGACCCTTGCGTCTCCTGTTTTCAAAAAAACATTTACTGGTGGATGGAAAGAGAGTGTCAATTTTCTCGAATCCTGCTCAGTTGAGATAACAATGGACGGTTGGGATCTTGAGACACTTTTAATTCTGCTCAGGATTATTCATTGTCAACATTATATCGTACCTCGAAAGCTAGGACTTGAGCTACTCGCCAAAGTCACTGTCCTATCAGATTATTACGACTGCCAAGCTGCCGTGAAATTTTTCACTGATATATGGGTTGCTCCTCTAGAAGACACCATTCCTAAGTTTTACACGCGTGATTTAATATTGTGGGTGTGGATCTCCTGGTTTTTTGAGCTTCCGAAACAGTTTAAGGAGGCGACATCAGTTGCCATGTCCCAGAGCACCGGCTCTATTATTGATTTGGGACTTCCGATCCCAAATCGAGTTTTGGGTAAGAGTGCTCAGCCTTTTTTTAGCTAGCTTCTATTAACCTACCGCCAGAAACAATGAACGACTTCAGACAAAAAGCCATCAAAAACAGAATTACTCAACTTCACGAAAGGCGTGAAAGCTTTTTAAAAGGTGATTGAGGATGTGGCTTTGAGTGCAGTTCAATTATGTTCGGGGCCCTCACAAAGCATATGCACTCAAATAATTTACTTTCACCAAGACCAGTCGCTCCATTCGAAGAACTGAACTATAGAGATCTTATAGACAAACTGCTCTCGCTTCAAGAACCCTGATGGTTCAGTTCTCTCTCGGAATTGTCCTATGAAAGCATTTCTAGACATGACTGTCAGGATTCGGCTTTAATATCTCCACGTGGTGCATTAGTTAATAACATGGAAGGCCTCAGTTTGTGGGTATATTTGTAATCTATCAGCAAATCAGTGAATTATATGAAGAAGTGTTAAAGTTACTAAATGCTAATGGGCCCATGGGACTGTTAGGAAGAGCTAGTTGTAAGACTGACTTTAGTAGTATTAAAAACTGTTCTTTAGTATGCTATCTAGTCGACCATCGAGTGGATCACAAAAGCAGCTTCAAAGACTAGTAAAGAAAGATAAACTCAAGGAAAAGTTGGCAAGCACAGAGTTTTCAAGAAGAATCAAGATGCGAGGTTGATTTTTCCCTATCATCGAAGCCATATAATATTTAACATATGCAACATGGTTCTGTGTGTTGCTGAGATCTAGATGTATAGGTCTATACATAGAGTGTAGGTAAATAAGTTCCCTTCTATATCTGTTCTCCACTTGGTCTCTCGGACGTTCTTAGCGACCAAGGTAGAGGCTAAAATCACTATACGCTCTTGTCAGTTGGACTGCGGTCCATGGACCAGCTAGGTAGGTCTCTGGGCCGTTTTCTACAGGATAATGACCAAGGTCACTGGATTACAGGAACGTTTCCAAGGTCTGATGCCGATGGACCTTGGTACTAGGGACCAGGGGTTTGGTACAGGTGCCGCGGACCCAACGGGTCCCTTGACCGCAGTTCAAGGCCCTGTCTGTACTAGTGACTACTGGCCGTTGTCCTGGTTGGCCTCTTTGCCAGTGAGGTCAACGGGGAGCCATGTCTTCTCGGAGGAACCAAATTGATGAAGATTTACTCTTCATGATCAACACAATCTTCAGAGCTCTCTTGGCAGAGTATGCTTCTCGCAAACTTTACGTTCGAGTCACACTACCTGACAGTCAAAGCAAAGTTTCACGATCCGACTATATACAATATCGGGCCCTATGTCAATTGCCAGGAATATGTTGTGTCATCCTATGACCGCGAGATCTACTATTATACACGACTGGGAGCCCAGTTGACGGCACGTAAACAGTTGGTAAAATCACCTGACCTACCTAACTGCTTTCAGTTAGGTAGGTCAGGTGATTTTTCCAATTGTCCCTAGTGCCTCTCAGGGCCTTCCAGGCGCAGAGTGTTTATCATGTGTCATTTTTTTGCTAATGCACTCAATTTGAAGCATGAAGCATGTCTACAGATTGATGCGTGGTTTGTTAGCCTAGTCGCATCAAACAAATAAGCTGATTGTCAGAATATAATGAAAGAGAAATAAAATGAAAGGGAAGCGAAAGTATCTGATCTGCTCTCTGTCTCTACAACTATCCTTGACTTGCTTAAGGCATTCGTCTGTTTTCACTTCTTCCTGTCTGTTGTGTGGGTTTTCGACTCAACTTGAAGCGTTGTTAATTGACGACGCTCAATTTGCGTGCAATTTGTTTCATAGGTGATAAGTTTTTAGCGACTTGTAGTCGAGCATTCCCTGCAAGCGACTGTGGAAGTTTTCGCGGATCAAAGGACACTAATGGCAGCTGTCTTTGTACTGGCTAATCAGACAAATAAGCTGATTGTGGAAGTTATAGTAGGAATGACTCGGGTGAGGTGACCAAGGTCCAGCGGTAATTCAATGTAACATGAGAGGAGCCATTGATTTAGTTAAGTGGCTATTCAAGACTCTCTTCTCTCTCTGACTCGCTAATGGTCTCCACCTCATATATGAATTTTAGCGCATTGCCCCGAGGACGGACACTCCCCCGACGTCGTAGACCGACTTAGAAGCGATAAGCATGGGTAGTATCCAAGTTTCCTTTCACAACCCTTTATGGTATCAACAATATTCTTTAGTGGGAGATTAAAGATAACTCTCTTCACGAGGTACTTTCCGACTATACCTGGTCGCTCGTCAGTGGTCTACTGAGCAAAGATCACTTTTTATTTCTGCCAGATTGGTCAAATCGCCAACCCACTTGTAATTTGTCAGGGGATTGGAATGCACTGATCTAAAAATAAAGTTGGCTACCTACCGTTACACTATAGCCTTGGCAAGGGTTGAAATGAAGTGGAAAAGCTCTATTCCTTCTCTAAAGTTCTATGTCTGTCTTTATATAATGAGCCTAATTTTCTTCTATACTTGATATAAGCCTCTTGTCTTATCTTCTGTCCCTCCTCTCCACAGCCTCCAGCTGCTTGCCAGTCCTTTTGACCATTGTAAATGCCGTTTGTTACAAACCGCAACACTAGCGCCATCACGTGGGTTCCTTCGTTCAAAGACTCGCCTGGATTATTGCCTTGAAAGAGCTTGGAGAATTCACACAAATTTTCAGGTCATGTTCTCTCTGAACCTATTGTTCACTTCTAGGGCGTTTTGCCTAGTGATGATTTTGATCAGGACCTCGATAGGCAACAAAGATAGCGCTATTTCTCATTTTTTTCGTTTGGAACAAAGCGCAGCGGGTGACATTCAAAGCAACAAGTTACCTGGTGGAAGGTGGAAGAGTAGCTGCATGGTGACTTGCTATGAATAAAGCGTTAGAACCTAGTCCTAATCTAGCGATCTCCCAGCTCTGTCCCAGCTCGCAGCGTGATTTGAAGAATATAGGGTTTCACTGGGACCTCAGTGACCATACTCGTGAGATCCTCGATACTAGGCCTGGGGCAAAACCGGGAGCAAAACGAACGGCGAATGTTTTCCACTGGCAAGCGGCTGCACGGGCCGAGTCAAAGTCAATAACGGACTGGATTAAGAAGAATGGATCGCATGCTGTGATTAAGACCATCCAACACAAGACATTTGTGTTCCTTCACCTCTGGCAAATACATTATGTAGCTTACACTCGTCATTGATTTTTTTTTTTTCAGAACATTTATGGAAACAGTCTACAGTGTTCTGTGGACGACGTAACCAAACAGAGCCTAGCACCTATTGACGAAAATAAGTGCTGCTGTTTAGCTGGAGAGTGACCGCTCTACAGCGAAGCAAATATTTCGCCAAGATTTTCAGACCCGCTACCTACAGGTAGCGGGTCTGAAATACGTACCAGCTCGGATTTTTTTAGTTCTGATGAGAGAATGGCCCATTCTGGGACATGTAATATAGGGAAGATAGAATTTTTCGTTTCAATACAACTATATTAGCATTGAGGACTAATGCTATATTGTATCCGACGAGTATAGCCAGTAATAATGGAGAGAACGTAATGAGAAGTCACCGAACGATTTTACATTCGTATATTTGACCACAAGAGGCCATTTGCTAATTACGCGATGTTGAACCCAATGGGCTGCAACCCCTCTTCGTCTTGGTGATTTATCATTGGCATCATTAGGCTGGAGATGTGACAGCCACAAGTCACCGTCACCTACTGGCAGATACCTGGCTAATGGTTGGCGATGACATAGATCTATTCGAACTTAGAGCTGGAAAAAAGGGTTTAGAGTAAAAGTATACGTGAGAAGTAAGGAAAGAACAAACTAGTTCAGATTGTGGCATTTAATTCATGAAACGAAATCAGTATTAGGGACATTTAGTACAGTTATCCCAGATGGCAATCAACATCCCCCTCATGTTCTGTTGTCGAGACCATACCCAACAGTGATGCTCCTGTTTGAAGTGCTGCATGTCAGTGCTATACTAAATTTTCTGCTGGCGGAGTTGACACCTATATGACCAGCAATCCGGCCATTGGTCTTTTATCTTAGCTAGCTTAGGCGTATTGAGGATCTCCTTGAGATCCAGTCGTTCTCTTTTTCCGTCACTGTCTTCCCATGACTCTATCCTAAGCCTGTTAAATCTGAGGCACGCCAAGAGGACATGCCGTACTGTTTGGTTTCCATTACCACATTCGCACAGGGCGTCGGTAACATCAGGCACCTTCCTCTCGTGTAGAAATTGTCGCAATCCGATTTTTGCCTGTGCCCATCTGAATAATGGTAGAGCTGAGAGCCTTGTGTAAGGAGTTGCGTCCCTCTTCCATTGAGCCAAGTATGACTCCCCTAGGGCTATGGTTCCCTCAGGGCCACAGCTCCCCTAGGGGATATGGCTCGCCCTAGGGTTATGGTTCCCTCAGGGTCACAGCTCCCCTAGGGGATATGGCTAGGGGACGGAATTCCCTAGGGACTTATTTACCCTGGGGGATGTGATTTCCCCTAGGGACGAGATTCCCCCAGGGGCCCCATAACCCTAGGGGCGTCATACTTCGACCTGAATATTCTCCGAAAACGTCGACTATATTTAGTAGTATGTGGCATACCACCTTTAATAGGCGTATGGCTTGTTCAACTCCCACAGTAGCGTAAACGACTGATGGGTCCTCCGCCATCTAGGCTATGTCGACTGTAAAATGATATTGTCTAATAATCAAAATGTTATATAACATATATCATATTTAGCTGTAGCATTTCAGTTTGTGAATTGACGCCTAGCTGGTAATGGCACGACATAAGTGTGGCACCGCTGCTTACCAAGCATCCAAAATTAACGAGCTAACTAGATTTGGTTACCATATGAAACTGAAGGAAAGCCAATCACCTAGGCATTGATAAAAGAAAGAAGATGCTCTAATTCTTATTGGAATACAAAACGTCAGGATTATATTTTCGCATTATTAAGTGTAATAGCCCTGTCAAAGGCTTGAATAATTGGATCATAGAGAACTTCCGATTTCACTGGTGTCCCTGTAAAAATATCATCTTTGTAGATACGAAACAAGACCTTCCTCACATCTCGACACAGAGACTTTACCTCCTCGAACTCGGGCGGAAACTCAACCAACAGATTTTCGAATCTTTTGGCACCCATATCACTCGCTTTAATACGTGCAATGTCGTCGTATGATCCTGTATACCACTTTGCCAGGCGGCTTACTTTGGGTCGGCCCTGTAAGTTCGTCGATAGTCTCCAACCGTGACGAGCACACTGCCAAATAAGCACGTAGAGAAACGATTCTAGATCGTGACGGTAGGTATGGTCTGTTCCGTCCAACACCTCAATCGCCATGAACTCCATCGTGCCTGTCTGCTGTCTCGCCCCAGTGCGGCCCTTGTCGCGTTCCTTGGCGAGATCAAGGTCGATCAACATGCCGTGGTAGCCATCAGCCTTGTCCGGATTGGTGATGATGATATTGTTCTCAGAGATATCGCGATGGAGGATTTTGCCGTCCAGGTAGAGGGACCGGTGCGCCTTGATCGCATCGCGTAGCGCAAGCAGCAACTCCTTTGCCGAAGTGAACTGATGGATCGCCCGTCCTGCAGGTGTGATGGCCAAACAGCGGAAGATGCGGTTGTCGAACGGCCCTTCTCTCGTGGAGGCGACCAGGCTAGTCTTCTGCGCTGCCTCGACATCGAACGACACCTCGTCATTGGATGCGATATCCTGGAATCTCTTGCTCGACCGTGACCGTTTGAGAGGTGGTGCACCTACCGCCTGTCTAGATTTCCGCTTCCTCGAAGAACCCGATGAAGAGCCCTTCGCGAGGCTTAGTCCCTGCAGCTGTGTAATTGACTGAGACTGCTGGCTCTGGGGTTGCGATAGGCTAAACGAAGACGACACACTGAGAGCAGGACGACCGCGGAAAGGATACGGCTCCCCAAAAGAAAGACCATCACGCAGCTCCGCGATGCTCGTGACGGTGCCCTGCCCAATGACTTTGGCAACCCCTTTCACACCGCGTTGGTGTGCGAGTCGGAGAAGGTCGACTTCCGGGCGCCGTCTGGCAGACATCCACGAGAACTTGACCACGCTTTCACCATCCGAGTTTGGAATGCCTGGGCGGTTGGCGAGAAAGCAGCAGGTGCCACGACAAACAACAGCTGACTGAACGGCGATAGGTTTTGGTTGTAGCCGCAGTTGTTTCCTTCCGCTGTCAGCATCTGATATAGAGACTGTCCGGCATCCGTCATCGTGCAAGGTGGTGAACACGTCGAGTCCTAGCTCTTCATCGCTCATCAACGTATATCCAATCATGGCCCTGAAGAATCTTTTAGGGTCACGGCGAATATCAAAGGGTCCAGAGCTATACGGGCCTGATCGGTCAGTCACCCATAACTCCATTTCAGACCCACAAAGGGTGAAGGAGTGGACGAACCGACGGGTCGGCTGCGCAGCGAAGACGTCTCGCACGTACCGCTCCATCTGTAAGAGTGTCCCCTTGTCAAAATCGGGCTGCTTCAGCTCACCGATGACATGGATATCCTTCCAGTCATGTCTGGTGTCCTTGTTCTCGTTCTTTCTCCGCTTCATCAAGAAATCGAGCTGTCGCTCGGCTTCCGACCCGGTCAGGTCTTTCTTCTTTATCGTCTTCTTGTAGTAGTACCCGCGCGTCTCAGCAAAGAACCTCTCCTGGAGGCCGAACAACCACTCAAGAACGTCTTCCTCCGTCGGAGGATCGGGAAAGTCCTCAACCTCATCGTGGCCTCGCTGTAGCACTCTCTCATAGATGGTGGAAAAACCTTCCTCCCAGTCCTTTCCTTGGAAATATTTCGCGTCGAAGCCCTCAACAACCCTGTATGTGCACGTCTTAATCTCGTCAAAGATCCTCAGCTCTACAAGCTCACGCGTCTGTTCTTTGCCTTGCTGGGAAGAGGAAGTAGATCTCAGCGGTGTGGCCTGTGATGTCGGGGGAACGGTTGGAAGGGGTGTACATCGCGATACAGCGACGATAAGATCGAATACAGTCTTCCATATGTCAATGTCAGACGCTTTTTGGAGTATGAGCCGTACCAACGGACGGTAATCTTCGTAGCTGAAATCCCCACTGCGCAGGCGGCGGAAAATACCTGACAGCTCAGAAGCCACATCTTGGTTGCTTGCCGGTGAGCGAAGATTGAAAGCTGATCTTTCACCCATCAATGTAGTAAGCAGTTTCGATATTGCATCTTGAAAATATTCGCTGTCATCCGTCGCTTTATCATTACAGTAGTGTTCAGACTCTTGAAGGTACTTGTGCAAACGATGAAGGGAGTCATTGAAAGGATGCTTGGAGATAATAGAGAGATCATCCCCCGATAAACTATCCATCTCAAATTTCAGTGCATAAATTGAGCGATAGTAGATTCGCCTGACAACTGCGACTGGTTGTATGACATCTGCTTATGAGAGTAAATATGAGAGAGTTGAACATGAGAGTAAACCATACCTAGGTACCGTCTGAGTCATCACGTGAGCCCTTTATGTAAACAAGTCATCTCTCATTCAAGTAATCCAGTGGCTTCAAGCTTCCTACACATTATAGTGACAGGAAGGAAGAGAGTGAAGTTGGTAGTTTCTTACTCTGCCACAATTACGCTTCAGTAGGCACCGCAACATACACTGGCATGCACTGACTTATCTCCTATCAAGCGACATAAATGTGATTAAACGAAGGAAAGAATTATTTTCCGCTACGAAAGGTTATAGCCCGAAAAAACATCAAAATGAGATAAAAAAACTATCTGCTGTCCCTTCATCCATTTGCGCCCGTGGAGACGCTGAACCTCACTCGTCATAAAGGTCCATCGATAGAGTTTGGCCCCCCAGTTTAGGCACGACGTGTCCGTTCACCATCAGAGCTCTCTGGATATGCGCAAATTTCAGCCGGCCCTCGTTAGCAGCCAGCGTACAAGCAATGGATAAATGGTTCTTGATCTGTGACTATAATGAGAGGATGGCAATGCAATGCAACAAGTGTATGTCACTTACCTCCCGTCCATTCAGCTTCACCAGAGCCAGTGAGTCCAGTTCCTGCTCATTAATATTCACCTGGAGCTTGGTGTTATTGGTAAGGTACTGTGCAAACACTTCTCTTCGAGCATCATTATTCAGATCGGAGTAATGAAATGTTAGGTGGACACGATTGCGGATTGCTGAATCCAACCCAGTTGGCTGATTAGTAGTCAAGAACATAACTCCGTCATAGTATTCGAGCTTATGAAGGAAGGTAGCCACAAGACGATTTCGTTCGATGTGTTCGGTAGATCGTTGTGTGAGGAAGACATCTGCCTCATCAAGCAGTAGCAGTGCTTTCCAGTGACTTGCTGTTCGAAGAATCTCCCCAAGCTGCCTGTCCAAATGTGCAGCATCAGACGATAGTTGACCGGCAGATACCTGATACGTGAGCTTTACGTAAGGAACTCAAGAATTGATTCAGGAAACGTACGGAGTATAGCGGCCGTTTGTGTGTCTCTGCCAACGACTCTGCCGTCCCAGTCTTCCCAACCCCGGGAGGTCCACTAGACGTGTCAGCTGCACATTATCGAAAATAGATTAGGAAACATATGACAAGAGTGCAATGAGACCGCGCCCTTTGTTTTTTATAAAATCATCGAATTCGCTCATCCTCCCGCTCCCCAAACGACTTTCACCTATTGCCTTAATGATCTCTTTTCGGTCGTGTGGAAGCACTAGCCGATCAAATGGAGCTGGCAACCACTCAATCTCTGAAATATTGTCAATTGCAAACTCGCCTAGAGAATGTCAGTCCTGGTAATCCTGCATTCATTTATCGGGTAACTTACCCCAGAATTTGTCCCCTAGACTGAATCCAAGAACGGTTGGCGTACATACAAGCAGATCATTTTCTGATAGCTCGCCTGGACGCTTGTCCGTACATTTCACCCGCTCCTCGAACCTGTCAGAGGCGGTTCCATTGAACAAGTCAATGCAGGACACACGATTCTGGAGCTTCGGATAACCTGGGTTCACTTCTTGAAACCTGCATGCATCAATCATGATCCTTCCATTGACCGGCACATGGGCGATGGAGCCATCTTTTTTGCGGATAAACGATACGCCATGGTATTGGCAATGATGGCTAGACAATGTCTCAGTGAATGTCTTTCCACACCTGCGCAGATACCTCTCTATCGTATCCTTCTGTGGGTGGTACTGGAGAGGAAAGGCAGAAAGTTTGCTGATTGGTATCGCTCCGTGGAACTTGAATATAGACAGTTCATCTTGCACCTCCTCAAAAACCCGTCCGTCGAAGTCAATATAACGACAAGAGAGCTCAAAATACTTTATACCCTGACGTGTTTCCTTTTCCTTTCCAAAATCGTATATAAGCGCCCTCGGTTTACCGGTGCCAGGACAGGCTGCGCATATAATCTCCTCGGGTTTGAACAGGAATTTTAAAAGATCATACGTGATCATTTGCTGCGCGCAGAGAGCCTCAAGCCTCTGTGATGATTCTGTATAGGTACTTTCGATACAATCTATCAATAGTGCCAAATGTTTGAGACCTGTTTCAGAAGCTGCTGGCCATTCCGAACTGATATAGCTCTTCATCTTTGGCAGGCACGTGAATAACAGTTCTTGATCCATCTGCCATTCCGTTAGTGTTAATCCAAGTGGATAAGGGGGAGACATACTGTGGGTTTATCAGATTCAAGACTGACTGCCTTCAGACCCTGAAATATATCCCTCAAAACGTTACCCAGTTCTTCCGATTTGATGTCGATGTAAGATTTGGGTTCCGTGGAGTTTTTTTCTTCCTACTATCAGTAGCTGCCAAATCGGGTCTGGTGGGAATAAACTTACCGTGCCGCTGGCGCACAACAAATATATATTCGTCAAGCTCCGTGATGGTAGAGGCACTAACCGAGTCCTTGATTTTGTATTTGTACTCTTTTTCGTCCCAGCTAACAAGATTTTAGCAAATGCAGTATAGGGATATGAGCTAAAACGCACAGTTCATCAACCTCTCTATAATCCATCTTGGACGCTCGTACCCTTGTTCCATTCGACTCAGATTTGTCCGTCAGCTGTTCCGCAGAAGCACTGTCCCTAGAATCAGAAGGAGTAGATGATTCAGCCACTTCTTGTGACCTCTTTACCATTCGCAATGCATGTTCAAGAGCTGAGGCAAGGCGATCCTCAGTCACGAATGGGGAAACGGTGATAGGGGAAGGGGGCGGGTTGTGAGGCAACTGCATCCGTTTCTTCTCGAACGCATCATCCTGCTTGATCGTCTTTAGAATCTCGGTAGTTTCTCCACCATTGGTTGTGAGGTTCTCCTGGATTGGATTGCTTGCATGCAGTTCCCTTGGCGAAGAAGGGCGGCTCGGAATAGATGGGAATGACGGTGGAGATTTAGGTGGTGTTTGAGGCTGGGAGGATGGCTGGTGAACAACCACGGTTGAAGATCTGCCATTGACCTTCGTTGCTGCTGGCATTGTGCTGTTTGAAATGGCCTTTTGAGAACACAAATTGAAGATTTGTTATTTGTTACATCGAGGATTGGGAGGAATCGTTCCTCTTTATATACTTGTCATCGACCTAACATGCAATGCAATATCCATCATTTTCTTGCAGGGATTCCTTCTTTGTGATGATCTATTTGGCGCAAGACCATGTTCAAGGAATGGGATGACAGTGAAGTTCATACAGTAGATTGAGCATAGCGGCGATGTAAAGTTAAAATTATAAAAAGAGCTGTTTGTTGAACACCCTTGTCTCCTCATTAATGGGCTTACCTAGAGCTATGTCCTGGCGTTCAATAAATTGACCGGATCTTAATTGGTCACTTGTGCATAAATACAGCCAGCTCTGAGGTTCCGACTTCACGTCAGTCTTTGGGACATCAAGTTGATCATGGTTAATAGAACTCTGGTTTCCGATTGCCAATCACCTTGTTGACTAACACCCCAACGCCCCCACTATTCACGTGACTGGGCACACAAAGCCCGAGGAGAAGAGACTAGAATGATCTTGGTTGAACGAAGTTGGCAGTTAACCGTGCCATGCTTACTCACTCTCTGTAGTGAGTGCGCCACAGCGTACGGAAAACCACACCGTAAAGAAAATATTTTGAATATAGTGATCTTCAAAAATTAATTAATAATCACCACCACATCTATCTATAACATAAAGATTATCTATATACTCATTAGAAGGTGTAGAATCCACTGTAGGTTGAGATTCTATAGAATTATCTTGTTGTGGTTGAGTGGCTGTAGATTTTGTAGGTTTGATTCCAATCAATTGAAGAGTCTTATTGAACATCTTTTTCATCTCATCTGCTCTACAGATCGCGATCTTGCAATTGACATCCTTAATAGTGAGGACTCCACCTACTTGCACCTGCCTGCGGGAGGATTTGACAATCCAACATCTATTTGCTTGATAATGATCTGCAAGTTCATCCTCACGGTGTGCATTCAATTCCGCCTGAATCATGCTACCCTTGAAGATCTTGTTCAACCACCTTGTCAAACCAGGTGTAAGGGTATTCTTCACATCTTCTAAGGTCTTGGCTGCTGCATTGATTTGATGACATAGTTTTGCAACCATCTCTGAGGAGGTTAATTGCAAGGAGGCAGTGGCGGGGTAAAGTGATTGCATACATCATCATCACCATCATATATGTTGAGATCCAGGGCATCATCAATGGTAAGAGGTCTCAATCAATTGAGAATTATATCGCGATTAACTGGATACATTCCACAGTCAGCAAAGCCAGCTCTCACAGTGTCAGGTTTGAATGCTTACAGTCAGACACTCTTCAGATTAGCAAGGAATTGTCTGTCATTATACTGCTCATATCTGTAGCAGGCGGCCTCATTAATAATATCCAACTGATGAATTCATATCTTAATTGCCTCTTCCTGGCTGTCATTCAATGCTCGATTCAGTGGAACCCTCATAGTCCTTGATTTCTTCCCGTTGATCCTCCCATACAAGGTGGCATATGGGACTTTGAATTCTCGCGACAGAGATGTGATTTTTAATTTTGAATTGCTTTTGTACGCGTCAACAGCTCTTTGCAACTGCTCCTCAGTGTAATTAGAAGATTTAGGCATGGTTATAATTAATGATGATTATTTGAAGATGAAGAATGAAGATATTGAAAATATTTTCTTTACAGTGTGGTTTTCCGTACGCTGTGGCGCACTCACTACAGAGAGTGAGTAAGCATGGCACGGTTAACTGTCAAAAAGTTGACCGAATTCGAAGCACACTTGTCGAGCGTCATAACTAGCACTGTCTTGCTCTCTTACCTTCAAGATCCACGCCAGACACTTCACACATTGAGAATCTGCCTCTCCAATTATGGTGAAAATTGATCACGGGACCCTGTGCCGGAAGGTTGGGCAGGGCAGCGGGGCATTTCACGAAACCTTGCCATGCCCCTCTCAAAAAGGGAGTTAAGGTATTTCATCAAATCCACGCAGAATTTATTTTCGGACAGCATGACTCCGTTTCCGTCATCATCAAATTCCATCAAGTGCTTTCCCACTTTCCCGCCCATGTTGCACTCCGCAACTCGAAGCTTGGATTAATCTTTATCATACTGTCGATTTCCCTGGCATCATCAGCCATTGTAGGGAGTTGTGTTGTTCAAGGCCTTACGTCAGCGCCTGCGATATTATCCTGTGTCGAACTCTATGCCGAGAGACTCTAGAAACTTATTGTTATTATGGAGGTCAGCCATCTACAAAATTTCTTCATTGCAATATGATGCAACTAACATTGCTATTTATAAAGAGGGGTGAAAAGGCTCTTGCGGGCGAGGAAGAAAGAAACATCCCGAGTCATCGATTTCCGCCTGATACAGTCAGTAGAACGATATATTTCAAAGGCGAACGTCTCTCGATCTACAACCAGCAAACGAACCATCTGAAGACAAGGGCAGAAGATATACAAGAATACAGGGAATATGAGGTGCCTCCTGGGTACACCTGCTATGTTATTGGTGCCAGCTTGTATTTCAAGGTTTAAGTGTTTATCGCTCGTTGCATTCCAAGGACACTGTTCAGGTGATACCCATCATCGTGACCGCATCAAATGGTCAAGGAGACGTCCTGCATTTCATCCCTTGGGAACAAAGTACCCAGACACCCTGTTTTCGTCAATCTGTGCTTTCTTTCCCACTTCCAGAGCTGGCTATTCTCGACGGCCTTTTTAAACGGTTCCGGTAAGGTTGAAATAATACCGGCAGGAGCATTCGAGAACATGTATTTCATCTCTGCAAACCATATAATATCGTCAGATTCATGTATATAGTTGAACTTGTGTCTTCTCACCTCTATTTTCACCATTCGGGGGTGGTGTCCAGTGCTCATTTTCCATTCTGGAGCTGGAGGAAGTCTCTAATCCGACTTCACAGCTTATCTCCTTGGGACACTCAATACGTACGTGTTTCGTCGCCGGTTCGTTTTCTGACATGTTGCTCTTTGTTATCACTAATTTGGAATTCGTGCTTATGATAGCCTGGATTCACATTAATATTAAAGTATTGATTCGGCTAGAAGGAAATCTTACTTTCGAGGAAGGAAAGTGTGTTTGGTTGTCTCAGTGCGCGTGCCATAACCTGCCTAATCTGCTCCGAAGCTATCCAACCGCAAGGAAGACTCTGTATTGCCAGGTATCTCTGCACGTTTTCCAGTAGCCATTCAAACTCATCGCCAGCCAAAGTGGCTAAGCTGTTAAAAGCGATCATGCAGAGAACAGCTGTTTCACATCCTAGATTTTGGAGTCTAGCCCAGCGAGGCTCGTCATGGGAGCCAGTCTTGGGGTTACCATCTGATAGCTTCCTGATATTGAAGCTCAATTTCCGCACTGGTAGTTGCTTTCCACGACGTATGAGTCTTATAATAGGCTCCAGTTTTTCTAGCACTGAAAGCTGAGTTCAAAGCTCTGAAACCTCGGCTTTCAAGGCCTTCAATGTACCTTGGTCATTGTCATGAAGATGAAAGGAAGCATGGTTGATTGTGTTCAGTTCGTTGAATGTTGGTCGCATAATGGCGAAGTGTCAGAGACAACATAAATCCAAAGAATGGTGTGGGTGGTAGGATAACGAGCATGGGACACAACTCGATTTAAAGGACAGGATGGTCGTGCGGGGTTGGCTATGAGCTAGTTTGGCTGCTCTTGGCTCTCAAGTCATTTGATGCAGTTCCCCGCCAGCTTCGCTTAAGCATGATGGCTCTGAACACAGGCATTGACACTTCGGATGTATGTGGAAAATTGGAGTCCTGTCAACATCATTTGAATGCCTACTGCAGTCTTGGAGAGAAAGCCAAGTGTCAAATGCCACGTAAACTCCACCTGAAGACCAGTCATCAGTCACCCGAACTGCACCAACCACAGTTTTTGGTTGCGCGGTTCCTGTTTCAGTAGAAGATCTATTTTGGGGATCACCACCAAAGGCCCATGCTGTCGTTCAATCCTGGTAGCTGTAGCTTGTGACATGTCAGACTCTCCCTCCCCTCCCCATGGGGAAGCACATAAATACAGTGCTTTCACCACCACTTGTTGAGAAAAAGCGGAATCTTTCACCAAGTAAATGCACATATCAAGCCAGTCAATCGCCTCGACCCTTCTTCCCTTCTCGATGACTTGTTGGAACCATGGCAGCAACGATTTCATATAATCCACCAAGTCTGTCTTCATTCTTGACTGATTCCATTACCACCATAAAGGCAGCCGCGCACCCGCCAGACAATATCTCGAGTACGTCGGAGAAGAAGACCAACCACTGAGTGCTCTATCTCCCTACTTCGCACAACACGTCGGTTCACCTCGATTTGAGCCCCTCTGGCCCTGGTGCCGCCCCTGCATGTCTGCTCGTGAGTCGTCTCAACTATACAATTTCGACAAATGTCGTGAAGACATGCAATATCACTGTCCGCACCGGGACTACTGTCAAGACGATCTTGGACACTATCAAGTCAGCCAATTACGATCGATATAAGTTCGCCGAGGGGGGTCAGGGCTGCCGCTTCTGGGTGGACAAGATGGTGACGTTGCTGCAGGAACGTCAAATCGCCGTCAACGAAATTGAAACACAGGCAGTTCATAACGATCTTCAGCGAGTTTGGTCTTCTGAAGGTCAGCCCGTGCCAGCTGCTCAGCTTACTGGGATGAGCCCTGGTACTTTCTATTAGCATCTTTTGTTCACGTTAATGCACTTGATATATTTCGTGAAAGCAAATACGAGTAATTTGATTGTCACAACCATACTCTACGTGCAGGTCCTCTGCGGTACATGGCCAGATGGTTTTGTCCACGCTGCTGTCGTCAATGCAAAACCAATCGTCAGTAAATGTTCTGCTTCTTCTTGGTAGTTATCCATATATTTCAGTAGTCCTTGTGTAAATTCGGGAGTGCCAGTCCTCAAGAGCGCTGCCGTTTCAAATAGCTCAGGATATCCACCGGAGTGGGCCCAGTCGAGTAGCCAGATATTTCCATCTCCATCAAGTATCATGTTGCGAGGGGCGACATCCATATGGCACATAACAAGCTTGCGGAATTTGCCGGAGAATCCATGATGGTCGTATGTAACACGATTGAATTCTTTGCACACGAGGAGACGCTCATTAAACCAATCTTCCATATGCCGAGAAGTCAGGAATGGCCCAGCCCCGTAATCAGTAAAGAGCGGCCCGCGCGAGATGCCACCGCCGACTGGCCCGGGCCGTTCTATCTCGATGTCATGAATTGTACGGAGATAGTCCGCTATTTGGGCATAGATAGAGGACCGGACCTTGTTGGTGAGTGTAGGCCAGATATCACACAAGGGGCTACCGTTGATAAACTCCATCAGAATGTAACCCACCACTTGTTCCTCGCCATTATATACTACGGAGCGCTCCTCCCATGCATCAAAAATCATAGGCACTCGTATCCTTGTTCTCTTACGAATAAATTTTGTATTTCTCGCCTCGGCTAGGGACACTCCGTTACCGTACTTTAGCACGGCAGATTCATGAACTCGCACTAAAACTGCACCTTCCTGTCCATAGACAACTGGAGCGGAATGTATAGCACCCAAAAGCCGGATTCGAGAGATATCCTGGATTTTGCATCCAGCCAGGGGAAAGGGAGGTGCCATGACAACAGCGATGACTGGTATCTTGATGGCTGGGCTTCGGTAGGGATAGGCTAGGGAGAACCGCAGGCGAGCAAAGAAAAGCGTCGTTTTTCGGGGTTGTTAACAAGAAGCTCACTAAGAAACTGTCAACGAACAGAACCATCTTGTAATTTTTTCTGCACTTACAAAGTCTCATGGCATTCGGTTCATATGGGCCCTTACACACAAATCGATGGGATAGATCTCCAGGGCTGACCTTAAATGCGTCCGACGAAGGAAAGGGATCAGGCAATAATGTCTTGTCTCCAGTCTCACGTGCGGCACTACTCCCAAACTGTTGTGATTTTCACGATGAGAGTGTTACGAGATGAAGACTAGCTTTACCAGGGTGGATAGCAGCAGTATACTAGATCATATTGGAACTGAATCTTGAAGAAGAAGAAGAAGAAGAAGAAGAAGCTATCTAAGCTAGAGATGAGTGGGTGGATATGGGGTAGTGAGGCTTGTGTGGGTCACCTGATCATGTCCTATGCTCTAAGACCCTTATATTCTGCCTTCTCATCTCCACTGCAGGTCTCTCTTTCTGTAGTTAAAATACATATATATAATGATATATTAATGTTCATGATTCCTTACTAGTGAGACAAGCCCTGCCCTAGTTACAGCTGATGAGATAAGCCCTGCTCTGAGATTTCTAGCAGAACATACTCTGCTCTAAAGATTATAATAGTGAGAACTTCTGACTCTACTGTGTATTATATATACTAGTGAGATGAGCTCTGCTCTAGATTCAGTGTTAATTGTTATATCAGATCAGTGTATTGATATTATTATAACTTATAATAGTGAACTTAAAATAAGAAAAGTATATCTACTTAATTGATTATCTCAGTTAATATATCAGAAACAGTGTTATTAAGTGAGAAAGACTGTAATTAATATAAGTAGTTCTTATAAAAGACTTCTATGTATAATTGAGTATTGTAAGAGGCCTACGCTGAATAGATTAGTATAATATTGATAGGTCTTATATAACAAAGATAAAAATGTTAGAGAAGGAAAGAAAGAGAAAGTGTGAGAATCAGCAATCAAGATGAATATTTATACATGTGTGTGATGATGTATGTGATGGAGCTTCAGAGTGAAAGAATATACATGCATTCATAGCAGCTGAGAATCAGTGATTAGAAATGGCTGAGAATTGAAGTGTATGCTACACATGTTCATAGCAGCTGTGAATCAGTGATCAGAAATGACTGAGAATTAAAGTGTATACTATGTGTGTTTATAGTGACTGCAGATCAGTGATCAGAAATGAAAGAATCTATGAAGTGTAATGAAATAGTCTATATAATTGATCAGATGCAGCCTGTCACATTAGTCTTCTCTTTTCAGAAGCAGTTCTCATCAGTCAAGAGCTGCTGTTTCAGATAATATAGAACTCAGAGTTCAGGTCAGTTAATTATAGCTGACTCATTTCATCAGATATTATTAGTCACAGCTGCAGAATCTCTTATTAAGAATATCTTCAATCTCTCACTCAAGCTCATTGTCTTCTTCTATAATGTCTGACAGCTGTTAGTTAGAAGTCAGCTGAGAAGAGAATGAATCAGTGATAGTGCAGTGAAGCAAGCTTATGTAAAATACATTATAAATCTCTAATGATGTATCAAGATAGTAGTTGTAATTATCTAGAACTTCTATCACTTTATATCTGATATAATAATAGTCTAGTGTATAAAATAAACATATGATTTATATATTCTTAAGATTCAATTATATAAGATCTTCTATTTTATACTGCTCTGTGAAATCTCATCAGATATTAATTTAATCTTCTTAATCTTATTTTATAATTGCTATAAAGATCTCTGCTTAGTTATGAGTATCTCAGAGCTTTATTACTATATTATCAGTGATCTGAATCAGACTACAGAGATTCAGTGTGAACTGTATAGTCTCTAGAAGATTCAACACTTTCATGTAATATCTGTGTGTAAGAAAGAACAGACTTATATCTGTTAAAACAGCATTTTAACTGTTAATAGCAATCTCTGTATATAGAAGAAGATTATATTAATTATCTTATAAATAATTACAGAACTTATGAAGATAATTCTTTACAGTCTGAATTATCTATTTTAATATATCATTGATCTTAAGATGATAGACAGTTGATAGATAATATATAATCTTAAGAACTTAATAGATTCTTATTCAGAGAGTGCTTATGAATTAACAGCTCTAATTCAATACTATTAATCTCAGTAATTTATATATCTGATAGAATGAACTCTGTAAGAAGACTTCAGTAACTTATTCAGTGTTCATCTTATTATAAGATTTCAATATTACACTCTTACTTAGTTAATTAATAATGATCAGAATGTTTCTACAGCTCTTACTCTTAAATAAATCAATAGTAAAGTTAATCACTATATCTTATCAGATTCTATCAGAGATATTAAGTGATTTCAGTAGATCTTTTCTACAGTTCTTCTATAAGATAATAGAAGAATAGTGATTGCAGTTTCAGACAAAGTATCTGATACTATTTAATATCTCAGATCAGTAGAATTCTCAGAAGATTATTTTATACAGTTATTCACAGTCTGAATAATCAGTTATATATGAATTATATATCTCTTATATTATCTGAGTATGTAAGAGTTCAGAGTGAGAGACTCAGCATTATTCACAGAATTGTAGAGTATTATTATTATTAATTAAGTATTCTGAGATATCAGTTCTGATACATAGTTCTGAGAAAAATCAGAGTGTTTCTTGATATATCACTTCAGTAAGAGTCTGAAGAAGTTCATCAGTCTGAGCTGCTGTATATTATAGTTTATTCAGTGTAGAGAAAGTGAAGATATTGATGTCAGTTCTAATCAGAGAAGTATATATAATATTATAAGCTATTCTATCTTGATCAATTAATATCTTCAGATTCAAGAGCTGATGCTCTCAGTTCATTCAGTGAGTATCTGTTACATTAGATAGTATATTTTACTCTCATTATAAAAGAGCATCTGTTATCAAGTTCTGACTGTCAGAACAGTAGTGTATTGTAAAATAAAAGCAGCTTAGAAACTCAGATTATCATATCTATTATTCAGTAAGTTTACAGATAGTTATAAAGTATTTAAGATTCTTATAATCTATAACTATCTCAAATTCAGAGACATTTTAAAGTTTAGAGTCTTATTCTTCTAAACAGTATACAATTATGAGAAGTTTCTTATCATAGATCTTATAATTATATTCAGTGAGACTCAGTTTCTTAGATATAAAGACATATAATTATAGAACATCTTTATTATTATATTATAATATTGCTTCTTCTATTATATAGTCAGAGAAATCAGCTTCAATAACTATCTTATAATCAGAATTAAATATTATCAGTAGAGAGATATTAATGAATATCTTCTTCATCTGTATAAATGCAGCTTCAGTATCTGCTAATTACTGAAATACTGAGTCTTTCTTAGTAAGATCTGTAAGTAATCTTATAATATCTGAGAAGTTTTGTATAAATCACTGATAGAAGTTAGCAAATCTGATAAAGCTTTGTACATCTTTCACAGTATGCAGAGCTTTCTATTCAAGAATGACAAAGACTTTCTCAGAATTCATTTAAATTCTCTTATCAGCTTCTATAATAAAACTCAGATACTTAATACTCTTGACTTTAAAATCACACTTATTAATATCTATTGATAGTTCTGCTTCTTATAGCTGTTGTAATATCTTTTGTATATATTCTTGATATTCTCTTCTGAATTCATTGATAAAGATGAGAATGTTATCTAGATAAGTAGATACAAACTTATTAAGAAAATCTCAGAGTACTCAGTTAATATACTTCTGAAATATACTGAGAGCATTAGTCAGTTCAAAGAATGTAACTATTCATTCAAAGAGATCATAACATATTCAGAATACTGTAAGTCATTTATCTTCTTCAGTGATATGAATCTTATGAAATGTGATAATGATATTTAGTTTTATAAATCATTGAGCTTGTCTGATTCATGCTAGAGTTTCATTGATAAGAGATAAGAGATATCAATCTTTCTTTGTCAATCTATTCAGATCTCAGTAGTTTACACAGAATTGAAGTTCTTCATCTGATTTCTTTACAAAGAGAATAGAGACTGTGATGAAAGAGTTACTAATACATATAAATTCTTTATTCAACAGATTATTATTATTATTATTATTATTCTTTCATTATACTCATATGCAAGCGGAGCTTATAATGAGTCCTTGCGTGATGTTAAATACAGGCCAAGTGTTGATTATACAGAAGGAAATACAGGTGTTGAGACCACGTCAAGATAACAAGAACATAGGAAATACAAAGAAGTGACAATTAGATACATGCGATAATAACTTCCCAGCTCAGAAACATAGAGCGATTCATTGAAGCGATTTGTACACCTCTGTATTTATTAGGAATCTGAGATGCTTGAGTTCCGGATTTAATGTATCCCCTGCGGGTTTCGAACCCACACGCCTTGGTTTCCCACGCCAAGGCGCTACCAGGTGGCCGTATTAACCATTCGGCCACCGGGGCTTTATTCAACAGATCATTGAGTGTCTTTTAAAGAAGAAGAAGTTCATCTTGAAACATGTTATAAAGAGAGTCTCATAGCAGTTCAGAGTTCTTATCATTCTTTTTCTTTAACTTGATACTGTGATTCACTTCAGAACCTTGTAAGAGAAGTATATTTATAATATTATCTTATTAAAAGATATCTAGATATTCATGATATTATTGAGAGAGTTTTGTATGAGAATCTGTTATTATAATATGAAATAACTTTTCTAGAGTCTTTTTAATATTAATCAGACTGATGAAATAGATTGATATATAATCTTACTATTAATAACTCTGTTAGTGATTTTAATGATGACTTCTTTTTCAGAGTATTTTATACATATTGACAGAGATCTGTGTCAGATTCATGATCTTGTAAATATCATCTTTATAAACTCTATCATTGTTAGAGAAT